TACCCCCCCCCCCCGCCCCCCCCCCCCCCCCCCCCCCCCCCCCCCCCCCCCCCCGCCCCCCCCCCCCCCCCCCCCCCAACAAAAAGGCACGACGATTGACGGCGCGGCGTCTCATCCTATGTTACTACGACGAAAAGTTTATGCTTCATCCTACTTGTCTTATTTCATTATTTTCCAATTTTATCCGCCAACTTACACCCGCCGCCTCTTCTACCGTTCCGGCCAGCATTTATTAGACTGAACATCGATGGAGGGGTTCACCCACCACCTCCAGCATCACTTACGACATCATTTCACCACATATACCTATACATATCTGATCTACGACATGCATTGCATTGGGCGGCAGCGGCAGCAGCAACGGCGAAGGCGCACGTGCATATTTTGGTACTCACTGCTTTACACGGTAACGGCGCTGTACATATCATCATCATCATCATCATCATCATCATCCTTTTTTTTTTTTTGTTCATCTCGGGCTATGAGCATTGGGAAAGGTATAGGTGCATCGGTCGGCGGCGTTCAAGTATCTGGTTTTCTACAAGTCTGCTATACCACTGGCTTTTTTCTTTTCCTTTTACACTATTACCATGATCATCATTATCATTATCGATCGTCCTTACGAGGAACGACATGCATATCGCTAGCGACTGCTTTTTCTTTTCATTTGTGTATTTTTTTTATCTTATATTCAGGAGTTAGATATACCTTGATCCTTTCAGGAGACTCGGCTACGAGCGGGATCAGCTTGGCCGTAGAATAGATACCACGGATACCATGAATTTGGCCAATATATAAACTTTGGTATATTCGACCACATTTACATCGTTCACATGGGAAATCAATGGTTTGACTACCTGCGAAATATGTCATTTTCTATGCCGTAGTATCTTGAATTTATAGCTAATATCCAGAACTATTTCTTCTACCCCATTTACCTTAGGTATAATGCGTGACCACAAGTCTGTACGCACCCATTTTGCACCCGAAGTCATTACTTTCAACAGATGATCAAATACTTGAAACAAAGAGTAAAAAACTGACACAAGTTTATCGGTGTATATTTTTTTTTCTCGTTTCTAAATATCTTTTAGGAAACCATCGTTTAGGATAGGGTTGAAGAAGAAATCAACGGGGTTATGTACGAAGACGAGACAGACAATACTTTCGACCTTCGACTTTCACCAATACTTTAGATACACACTATATAAAATAGAGTAGGTAGTTTTACCATTTCGTGTTAAATTTAAGCAGCTGTTGAAAGTGATGATTTATGGTGTAAAATAGGGGAGTACACAGACTTTTGATAACACATTGTAGCTACGCGCTCCTTATTTTTAGGTGCTCAAGTTGACATTCTGGACCAGTGATTAAACCAAGTAGCTCATTTTGAAGCATAATTACAATAAACTAGGTAGTTATTGGTTTTCTTATGGATTAACGGAATAGCTTGACCTACAATCAACCGCCTTCTCACATTTAGAACTCGTCATCTCCAAGAACTTCCTCCCCTCTCGGTATACCAGCGTCAAACCATCCACCGAAATCCAGCTTCATAAGCAGTCTATCGATCCCGCCTGTCCGCCTGGGCCTATAGCCAGTCCCGCTCTCGTCTAAAACGCTATCGCCTATGCCCATCCCTTCATTTTCCTCATCTCCATCTTGTCCTCCGTCCTCAAGCTCGGCCATAAACGCCGAATCAGTGCTCAGAGCTCTCAGGGCAGCGATGACAGCGCGCACGCCATCCTTAACGCCAGCCTCGACCTCGCGGATACGCGTGAGCACGTCGGCTTCCTCGGCAACTAAGTCCGCGAATGCGTCCACGACACCCTCATCCGCTTCGAGGTCTGCTGCTGCCCAGACACCATGGAGGCGATGTACAAGAGAAACGAGGTGGTCGGTGTTCACTAGAAGCTCGTATAGGGGATCTGTGAAGGATGGCTGCGTTAGGAGGAGGCGACGGATCAGAGTTCGGAGATATAGTCGGTGGGCTACGGCTAGGGATTGAGGATCGTGATGCGGAGGGCTTAAGTCTTGTGATGTCCGGTCCAGCTCTGAGGAATTGCTCGCATTATGAACGTTACCCTGGGAATGGGAATCATTGCTATTACTGATATGCTTATTGTAGGATGAACTTGGTCTATCGTGCTGTTCGTGTCTTTCCTTACCCGTCAGCCAGCCATGGAAGTCGTCCCAGAGGCCTTCTACTACTTCAACCTGGAGGTAAGCTTCGGTTTCAGCTAGGAAGAAGATGGCGGCACTGCTCGTACTCCAGGCACTCCGCATTATGGATGAGCGCACAGATGAACGTTCGCGAAGGACGCGTGTTCTTGAAGCACCGCTTCTAGTAGTGCTATATGGAGGTCTAGGGGGAGCTGGATGATGCCGGCGCAAAGCCGTTATTTTCCATAGACCTGTAAGATGAAGATGAGAGCGACGGATCGACAGAAGGTAAGAATTAATCGAAGTGTAGATTTGGATGTCAGATATAGTCAAAAACAAATCCAGGGGTGACGGGATCTGCGATGTGAGGACCACAGGGACGGAGAAAAGAAGATTTTGGAAAGGAGTGTCGGCAATACCGGTAGATGCTTGATGATCCGTACCAGTCTTGCCCTTCATAGGTGTTGAAGCCTTGGTCTTGGACAGATTCAGCCGCAACACATCCCGTGCCCTTTCGAGGCCTTCATCTTCATCTGCATGCTGACCTTGCATTGAACCTAGCATAGCCCATGTCTTGGTGAGAACTGCAGCAACTTCACCTTCTTTCACCGTCACATTGTTAAGCCCAACCCTTTTCTCATAAGCGAGGTTATCGGCACGCCGCCAGCGGTTGCGAATTACCTCATCAGCTTGCTGCGTAAGGACCATGGCAAATTCTCCACGTCCAAGCAAAAAGAAATCACGAAATACAACTAACATCTCAAGGACCCTAGATAGTGGTAGTAGCTTCTGTAATATTGTCTGAGATAATGTGAGTCGGATCGATGTGATAGCCCTCGAAAATGCAACGCTATTGAGGGGGGACGTCAAGTCCGCGATGGTCTGGAGTTGGGATGAGAGGTGGCCGAGTCCATTGCTGCTGAGCTCTATACTGCTTCTGGTTTTCACCCTATTCAATGATGTGCCGATGAAAAGCATGGACGTGGCTGCAGATGGTGTTACAAATGATGGCAATAACTGCTGATTGATCGAATACCCCTAGTTCCATCAGTAACGATAAACTTTCTAAATCGGTGAGAAGAAAATTTCTCACCAGTTCATCGTGTTCATTCTTTTGAATGAAGAAATCGACGTCGCCCAATATAGGTATGGTACCGTACAGCACCCAAGCAGAAACTTGCTTCAACCAAGCAGTTTCAGCAACTTTGACGAGACCAAGAGCGGTCTTCCCAATATCAGTGTAGCCAGTCTGAAGCTCATCGCGTAGTCTGTTAATAAGTTGGGCTGCTCGACAAGGAGAGCGCTCATCCTCCTTGAGCATGAATTGGACCAAATCCCATAGCCATTCCATTCGGCGGGTCCAGGCCGAAAACTCACCAATAACGGCGGTCAAGGGCACGATGTTATAGGCACCGACGAGGGAAGCATCTTTTCTAAGAATGCTCTCTTCAACTTCCAGCACTTTCCTCTGAAACGCGGCAAGATAGATAGAATTGATAGCAGTTGACACGGCGCGGCATATGACAGAAGGGTGAGAAGCACTGATCTGTGCAGTATAAGTAATAAGTTTGCAATGAAGATCGCTTAGATGGCCAGCGATCCTCAATAATTCTCTCTCTGGTGGTGATAGGATGGACTGTGACTGTGCTCTGGACTCGGTATAGTCATTCCTGAGAAGGGGTGAGGGGTGCCCCGATAGGGAGAGCAGGATCTCATGGAGCATTGTGGAGCTGACGAGCTGTGGACGGTGTTAGAAACGGACTTTAAAGAAGACTTGCAGACTTATTCGACTACATAGTATGGGAGCTTAACCCTTGTAAGACATGTGGAGGCTTCTTAGACCGGATCTTATCACCGATATCCTGAATTAAAAGAATGATGGAACCGAGGCATTCGTAGCGGCACATCTGAACAGCGAACAGTGAACAGGTAAACGCAGAAAAAAAAGTAATGCGTATTGGTAAAGGTAAAATGGTGAAAAGTTGAAAAGTAATTTGTTAATCGGAATGGAAATTACATAGTAGATGTAAATCGAGTTGCACCTGATTTATTTATGTATGAGGCGCTTGTTCGCCCTTTTCAACTTCGTTTGCGCCTGCTTTCCATTCTAAGCGCGTCGAGCGTAGCATCGCACGTGATCTCAATAAGAGCTATGTTAGAGGTACCTACCTGGTAGTCACGTACCTCGAGGTACTTGCACATTCCGTGGACCTTGGGTATTAAAATGCGCATACCTGGCATAAGACTTTTACATAAATCACATTGCCTTAGGTATTATCTTTATTTTTTGTTTTATCGAACCCTCGTCTTATTAGATACCTTAAGTACCTACCTACCTCCCAGGTAAGTATCATAATATTACTATACCCAAGGTTTAATCCAACTGTTTTTCTCTATATGAGGTATGAGGTATGAGGTAGTTACCGTTTCGATGCCTTACCATTTGATGCGCTCTGAATGCTTGCTGAATCCGAAACTAAATTCGTCTTCGAGCTGTCAGACCTCTTTACTGCCATTTCACTACTAGTATCATCCCCTACGATGATTTCGCCTCCCCCTTTCACCTTTCCAACTACCATACCCTTCCCGACGGCTTTTATAATAGCCTTTCGAGAGACTCCTGTGACATCGATATATACCAAACCGACGTTTTTGACACTCCCGCCAAGGTGCTTCGATAGCTCTCCAGCTTCGGGTCCCCATTTGTGAGCAACTATACTTGTTGCGGATGAGGATGCTGAAGTTAAGAGATTGCGCGTTGCATGGTCAATTCCATCCGCGACAGTCGTAAAAGCCATTAGACTCTTGTTCAGCAGACCGGGCTTGAAAGACTCGAGTGGCTTGCCGTCCGGGCCGAAACCCCTTTTGCTTTCTCTAGTACCGCGCCCTGCGACTGTAGCTCCTACATTCTGGGCTAACCTGGTCACCTGCCCAACCGTTTTGGACGACAACTCGGCTACACCGCCCGAAAACGTACCTATCCGGCGGACTCGCTCATGTGTTGCGGGTGTGAACGTCACAGCTTTGCTATTGGGTTTCGTTTTTTTAACAAACGTGTCCGAGCCGCTTTGCATCGCATTGGTGACAAGATCCGAGGTAGTTATAATCAACCGAGATGCGTACGCTGCTTTTGATACGAGGAACGACTTTTTGTAGGCCGGGTGCAGTTCCATTTCTAATGTCTCTGGCGACGCGGGGACTACAGCGAGCTTATTTGTGCCTTCTTCCGGAAGAGTGATCTCAACAGGATCTGTTATTGTGTTAATTTTCTACTGTTAAATGAAGCCTTAGGGAAAAGTGGCGCATCCGTACCTTTAGAGCCTGGCTTCACGCCGGACTCGACGATTTGGAACCCATCCGATAGTTCTCCTATAACACTGCCATCTTCTTCGTCTATTAGTACGATCTGACCATTTGGATGAGCGCTTTGGCTACCCTTTACGTAGCCTTCGCCAGGTTTGTATGAAGCTGGATTATACGCTGCAAGTTGTTCCGAAGCTTCAGCTTTAGACTTGGACATTTTTGGCGATGTTCTGGTAGAAGTTGGCGGCGTTGGTGATGACTTCTCTTTCTCCTTTTCTCTTCTTGCGGCCTTTGGCGGCGGCGCTCTTTCGAGAAACGCGGTACATTGCGCTAGGATCGTTTCGAAAGTGTCTATATCCTCTTGGAGTCCTTTGCGACTACCAACTGGAGGGAATTCAATGCGCGTGAAGGCGCCGCTATCGGGCCCAAGATCCCATCTCGGAATGAGGTAACTCCTAGGCGGTTGATGGTAGATCTGAGTAGTCGCGGGTAGGGGAAGATCTAATTCGGGTGGTAGGTGGAGATGGAGGTAGAAATCTTCAGCGGCCGGTCCATCTTGTCCGTCTGGGGAAACTGGCTCGGCGAAGGGAGATGAAGTCGGTACCATCAACAGTGACAATGTCTGTGGTCCAGCAGGTGTCAGGGGCTCTTCCTTCCCATAGGCAAGGTGGTAAGCTGAGACTCCTTGAATAGCATATAGTAACCTCGGATCCTGTTGGATGTTTAATATTAGTACTACAATACTACCGCATGCACAATCGCAGCATCGCAACATTGCAAAAAGTGTACCAACATACATTATGTCCAGACGCCATATTTTCTCGAGGCACAGTAAGATAGCGGCCTAGGATTGATTCTTAGGATATTGGCGGTCGGTAGAAAATGGATCGCTAGGGAAAAGACTTGTCGTGTGTTAGGATTCTTAATAAGATCTAGATGCGGTAAAGTTGGCGGCTATCAGGTAGGATAAGAAGATGAGATCAGAGATGGGGTTGTATGAAGGTATGGAGTAATCGAATTATCTGGCGCAACCAACAGGGAAAAAAGACCGGAAGCAAACAAGATCGAATTGCTGTTGGCTCTGGTATATTTCGTGCACAATCGCTTAAGATGTATACAAATAGGCGGCGATTTTAATGAAAGAGCATCAAGCGCTTAAGACAAGCGCCGTGTGGTTACAAGATTGGAACGTAGTGCTTAAGGAGAGGCCTCTCGGCGACGTCATTGGGTGCTTTCAATGTGATTGCCACAGCGGGCGGTGACTCCCTGGCAATGCCCATCTATGATCTATAGGTACCTAGGTACTTTCGAGTTGATGTACGTAATGAGGTAGGTACTTAGGTATGTTATACCCAATACCTCTTGGTTCTTCCATCCGACTTTGGATAGGTACATGTCTGTATAAAGCTTCTACCCTAATGTACATTATTCAACATGGTACGTTGTAACTTTTGATGCGGTAGTACCTAGGTACTTATACCAGGGACTGGCAGGTGCCTCTTTACATAGTAGAAGTAGAGAGGTACCTGATGCTAGGAGGCATTCTAATTTCTGGTGGGGGTCTGAGGGGCTGAGGGGTAAAGTGGAAAGAAGGCGCTGCTCACCTAAGGGCTACGTTAAGATATTTGAACATATTTACCTACTATTCTCCCTTAGGTACCTAGGTACCTAATTGGAAGTCCCTTACCTCTCGGGCGGATCAAATGGGGCGTTAGGTGTTCCGTTCCATAACGTCTCCAAAAAAATTGTTCTTACCCACATACTACCTCTAGTAGCAAGGTACAATACATACATACATACATGTAGGTTAGGTATCCAGTTGGTGACCGGCGTAGTCGAATCCCTGACAAGTTCTTTTCTTATTTGGCCGCCCTATTACAAAGTCCAAGGAAAGCGGAAAGGGGATTCTATCTTCAGCCAAGTCGATCCCGTGTGGTAAAAAGTGCATATATGCAGCGGAAACCACGAGACCGGTCAAAGTTGCCGAAACATGAGCAATAAATTACCTATTGCTGCATCGGTCGGTAGCTCAAGTTACAGGTACATAGTATGGTAGGTACCTTACCTAGGTTAGGTAGGTAAGCAACCTAACTAAAACCACGAAAGCAAGATTCGGCGCCAACATTTCTTACCCAAGGCTTGTGGAAGAAGAAAAAAAAAAAGGGTATAATTCTCTGGGTTAATAATAGTCATGACCCTCTCACGCTACATACCTTAGCAGAGTTATCCCCCCACGAGTCTCGGATCCGCAAGCGCTAATGGTTGGACCGGGATCCAAAGCATGCGTCCCGAAGAATGTTACATGTTACCTCAGGCTACCACAATTGACGACTTTCAAGGCGTAAAGATGACCGACATTTCGCACCAACATATCACTCAATCTTCATGAAAAATGATTGTTGGACGTCTCTAAATATGTAGACGGTTACCTACCTAACCTACCTCTAGGTACCTACCTAACCTAAGGTAGATATAAAAGAATATCTAGGACTACCTAGGTAATAACTACGCTAACTCGGCCTGACGTACCTTCGTTGAATGCAGCAGCCTTCACAGTGTCTCGTTGTTTTTGGTAGCAACTTTACCGAAATCGAAACCCCCTTGTCGCTATTGAGAATAAGGAGACAGGCCACCTACCTACCTACCTACATAGGTTGACGGATGGGTAACATCTGAGCACATCGGCCCGTGGACGTGTCAGGAAAATGTTAATACGACCTATCACACCGAGTCTTCCTATCTTCCTTCGAACGAGTCACCAACATTGCCATGGGAGAGGGGAAGAGAAGAGTCGAGTTTACAGTTTATTTTACAGTCCCAGGATTTTTACTCTTTTTTCTTTCTTTTTTTTCTTTCCTTTTTACCTTTAAATTATTCTACGGCATGAGTGCTTTGTTAAATGCAGTAGATGGCGTGTCTTTCCCATGCTGCTGTGCATCCTCAGTTCTCTTTTTTTTTTCTTTAGGAATAGGGAAGCCCTCCCCGGGCGACATGCATATGAGCCTTGTCGAGGACCCGCCACCGCGGCCTGTGCGCCAGATGGGTGCTTTTCGATCAGGACCAAGCCGCTCGTTCATTGGACATGTTAGGAAAAGCCGATCTTCGTCCGCCATCCAACAACTGCTTAGCTTGGGTAGATTGGTCTCTACCCGACCCGTCCGTGTCCGGGGAACTTTAACCCTTGAAGCCTTTTACATCCTGGGGCTTGCTTTACCCGACAAGGACGAGCTCTTTTCCCTTTCTCCAGTGCCCACTTGGACGTAGACACTGTAAACCCATTCATCCATATCTTCGTTCTTCGTATACCAATATCAAATCCATACTCGCAATGCCTTGTACGATCTAGATTCTCATTTTTTTTTTTTAAAAAAAAAACTTTCTATCCACCATATACTCTCATACTTTGTACTGCTGCCCGCAAGTCATCTAAGTCATTTTCATCTCATGTTATTAATATGTGCCTACGATATCATAGCTAGATTACACCCTTGTCTATAGTTCTACCGTTATCGTACGGGTAATTACATTTGAGTGTGTTCATATCGAAGAGGAAAAACTACACAGTTCTATACTACCTACCTGACAGCATTAGAAACTCACAGCTACCAACCGCGCCCTTCAACCAGGTGTAGTTGATGAGTCGCGCTCCATTTGCGGACAGTCGCAGCTCCCTGATGCTGTAGCACATTACCAGGAATCGTATCTGCCCATTCAATTCGATTAAGCGACGATCCAGAAAGGGGTCCCCGGAACACAACACCCTGGTATTCCTGTTACTCAAATACCAGTTACCTTAGAAATACGAGCGAAATCACCTCCACCCAAACTTCATCTTCTCGAAATTTCGTGTCTACCTGTACGGCCTCGTTTGTTCTACGAGTTGTCTCGAAAAGGCCTACCAGGCTGTTTGTCGTTCATTCAAGTCTTCCGGGTCTACTTTAGACCCAGCCGTCACAATTTCCACCCCAATTCGCATCCAGTCCATAATTTCCCCTCCCGATCGGTCTGACGCCGATGACATTTCGAATATAGGACAGTATCAAGCTGTTCCTCAGAGGCAGTTTGACGAAGCGCCCCCTTCCGCTGATAATACCTTTAAACGTCAAAACCCACCAATACCGACCAGGCAACAGCTCCCAAATACCGATACGTCACGGATAGAGGCCCTTGAAAACGTCGCCGCTCGGGGGCGGGGGGATGAAGAACCCAGGGCCATGGTAACAGGCAACATTGAGGGGAAGAAACCCCCAAAGATGCGTCCCCCGATGCGATCCAGCATTGCTTGTACGCGATGCCGGAAGAGTAAAATAAAATGTGTGTTTTATTCCTTGATCTCTTATAGATTTCCTATAGATGCCACTGCTCTATGGTCTAGAGGTTAATGTTGCAAGCATTGTTCTTGCTTCATGTTTATCCCGACTAGCTACTAACTAATATGACTGATCTAGGTGAGAATATTAACGGCGTCAGCCCTTGCGAGGGTTGTATCAAGACGGGAAAGCATTGTGTCTTCTCACCGCCCGAAACCGCACCACCGAAAAGAGCTGAACCACCTACCGGTGCTAGACAAGAACGAGACGGAGGATCTGATAGGAAAAAGCTTAAAAAGATAGACGAAATATCGAAAGGTGATAATCAAAAAGCGAATGTTTACGCCGAAGAGGTTCTTTCCGCACCTTTCTTAACTGAAGACCTATGGGAGCAAGTACTAGATCTCTATAAATTGCATTTTGCCCCCGAGCTTCCCTTTTTACATTTACCGACGATGAAGGAGAAATTGGGGCGCAAGTTCAAGAATCCGCAGCCAGAGAGTAACCCGGAGTTAAATTTGGTACTACTTGGCGTCCTTACTCTTACCGCTCGTTTTCACCCAGACCTCGTCAAATACCTCGCCCATATCTGCAGTAATCAGCCCGGAAACGCCAGGAGTAGGCCGGTTCAGACGCCTCTTGATCCCACTGCAGCATCTGAATATTATGCCGACGTTCTTACCATGGCCTTGGGTCCGATACGAACGGCGATGAAAACCGCTTCCATCGAGAGGGTGGCCGCCTTGCTTATGTTGGGATTATACGACTGGAGTCAAACGCAGCCTAGTGCAGGAGGGCTCGGTGCCTGGATGTACGTCGGCCTTGCCATTAGAATGGCGCAGTATTTAAGGCTTGGGTTTAATGATTTTCCCGATTCAGGAGATGTTCGACCTGGATCTATCGAATTCCAGCGAAAGTCCCAGATTGCGTTAAGGAAAGAAATTTCGAGACGGACAATGTTCAGCTGCTTCATTCTGGATCGTATGCTTTCTTGCGGCAAAGAACGGGTGTCCATGATACAATCGGAGGATATACGAATTCAACTTCCATGCTCTGAGGATAAATTTGATTTAGCGATGGAAGTCCCCACGGGCTTCCTCAAAGATAAAGGACGACATGGTATGTACGACAGTGTGCTCGCTCGGTTCATTCAGTTGGTGGACATATGGGGAGAGATTTCGAAATTTAGTTCGTCGGGCGGTCGCCTCAACCCAAAGGAAAAGGAGCACCCGCCATGGACCAAAGAGAGCACTTATTATAAGCTTTCTCAGAAACTTGACGAGTTCGATGCGGAACTTCCGGACACTTTTACGTTTTCGCGGTCCAACTACTTCAAGCATGAGAACCACCAGGCATCCAGCGTGTACGTGCTGTTGCACATGCTCAGGTGTCTCTGCTTAATCATGCTGAACCGAGAATATATTCCCTTCGTACCTATCCGGTGCAACAAGCCAGTTGGGCCTCTCGACAGTCCAATCTTTCACGAGGAAAAGTTCGGGTTGCCTCCTAAAGAGTTTTGGATAGACAGTGCGATACAGGTATTTAAAGCGGCCCGTGGGATTATTGACCTAATTGAAATATGCCAGAGGAAGGACAAGTTGCCCCAATCAACCATAGTCCTCTTCGCAATCTGGACCGCCTCTTTTGTAGGGTTATACGCCGAACACTTCCCTCATATGGACACCGAAAAACATATGTTGGAGTACGACTTTAAAGATCCGCGGCAGCCCGAATCTACTACGCCCGAAGTATGCAGGCGAGGGTCGGTGGCGTTCGCGTTCGTGACGCTTCAGAAGATGTCCACGTGGCTCAAGATGGCATCTACGTACGTGAGGGTTTTGCGGCAGATGGACAAGTATTTCGAGAATATCAAAGAGGATTTTCATAAGTTCTCGGTGAAGAACCGCGGAAGCGGGGAAACATCGACCAGGCTTCGCGAAGGCGGTCGCGGCGCAGCGCTCGAAGAGTACCAGGGTATGTCGGGGAAGCTGAAGGACTTTGGGTTCGTCCGGAGGGAGGCTGAGAATATCGAGAGCCCGCACCGGAAATCGCCCGGTGCGGAGGCTCCGGATACATCGTCTGCCATGAGTAAAACACCGAAAACTGCTCCGCCCGGATCTTTTACGGCTATTAATCACGCTCCAGCAATGCCACCGCCGGACGCCGGACGAGCATTCACCAACGAGGCGGGCTATCCGACGCCTCACCCCGAGGTGTACTCCGTCCCCTGGCAAAACCACAACAGCCCGTCTCAGCTACAGCCGCAGCAACTACCGCCGCACGCGTACGCCACGTCGGAGGAACCGTCAGATACCACGACCATCACTCCCGAGATTCACGATCGGGACTTCTGGGACACGTTCAAAAAGGAAGAGCCGCGCCGTATCGGCACGCTGGGGGACCTCGGCTTCTTCTCGAGCGGGCATTCCCAGCTCCCCGAGGACGACATGCCGTTCGGAGACTGGACGTATACGCACCCCCTGGCGGATCCGTCTTTCCAATATCTACAGCAGATGGCGGACCTTTGAATGAGGGGTTCCCACGAGCCAAGGGGAGAAAAAAAAAGGTGAGAGGGAAGACAGGCAGATAGACGAAATGTTATCATCTAGTCGATTTACGCCGTGGGAAATTTCAAGGTCGCACGATGAGTGGAAATAAGGACAACAAAAAAAGGGGGGTGGTGGTAGAGGGAAAGGGGAGGAGGAGGAAGGGAGGGAAGGAAGGAAAGAAGGGGGAACATGAAAGGATGGGTTTTCTCATAACTAGGCGTTTAGCGGTGCTTTCACACACAACCTGGTGTGCCGGTCTTAAGCGTATCTTGTACGAGATGATTTTGTTTCGACGCTTGGTCGGATTGTATGCTCTATAATGGTTGTCATTATCTCTGTACTTGTCTCGTATTTTCAGATATCCAGGACAGTAAGTCGTAGATATGTAGTGTTTAGCCAGTGCCCGTTTGCAGTGTCGCCTTTGTTTTTTTTGGTCGTTGCTTGTGAATGTCGAAAAAAAGATTATTGATGTCTATGCATGTTTCATTGGCTTCTTATTTAGACGCACTTGCTTCGCTACAATGTCTTTCCCCCCTCTTGATTGGAGAAATGGGGCGGATGGGTGTATATTCGTTCGCATATGCAGGGCAGGCAGCTGCGTGTAAGGTATGTTACGTTGTGCTAGTTGAACGTTGGTGTTGTCGCAATATGAGAAATGCGAAATAATTATGTACAAGATCCGGGTAGGTTAGGTACCTAGGCAGGGTCATATACCTTCATTCTACGTGGACACGCATCCGCGAGTAAGTCTACCTTTATACATGACAACCCCGGCAGTTCCGGTAGCTTAGCCGGGAATTAGTATGAGGGCGGGCCGATCCCGTACCAATCGCCACTCGGCTATTTGTATTGATATACATTACATAAGGCACGTCATATGGATGATACGAGCCCGAGTTATCATTAGGCAAAGGGAGGGTAGTAAAGTGATTGGGCAAGAAACGCTAGTAGTGAAACGTCTGAGATAAAGTGAGATAGACTGCCGAGATGAGGTAGTAGTGAAGGGTAGGTTTCCTAAGGGTCTAGGGGCCTTATAGATATTGTACTCGAAAAGAAGTTCACGCATGAAGATAGCAAGCATTGTGGTCTGATGATTGATTACGCTGCTCAATTGCGTGTCTCGGCCACATCCCGCAAGATACCCAGATGGACTACAAATCCCGGGTTCGACCGTAATCCCTCAGATAAAGCGTTATCTGGGATGCGCCACGTCCGGAAATACTTGTTGAACTCCTTTATCCACGCCTCGAATATTTCCGGATCTCTGAGTTGCTGTGCGACAAGACAGACGGCGGGCCTGTCGGCACCGTTCTCGTCCGATCTTCTCAATCTACATACATCAGCACAGGTCTGCACCAACGGTTGGATCAGCGTGTCATTGTAGATACAATCGCAAGCAACGACGAGGTCAAAGCTCTTGGTCTTGTCGGTTCCTGTAAGGGACGGGGTCACCTCATCTAATTCCCAGTCCAGGGGGACGAATCGTAGCTCAGTTCTAGGACTGGCAGCTGATGGCTTGGATTTGCGCTTTTGAGAAGTAGTAGCCTTGACTTGTTTTGGGTTTATCAAGGGACTATTTTGTTCAATGTTCTTCTCTACTAGCTTCGCAACGTAGGACTGATCTGTGAGGGTGTACCTCGCTACCAATGGCGAAAGGACCAATCCTACCAGGCCAGAGATTCCACAACCCAATTCCAGCACGTCGGAACTGGATGATAAGATCCCAGAGGTCCACAGGGGATTACCGGATGCTGCTAACCAATCGGCAACGAGCGGAGTTATTTTCCATACAACAGCGCCTGTGGTGCTGCCCGGGCGATTCAAGATGGTTGGTGATTGATGAATCACGTAGTCCTTGCCAGCTACGTTAAGGTCCAACGTGGTCGCATAAGGGTCCACGAAGCCCAAATTCTGAGATGGGATATCCTGGGAGTACAGTAAGAAGGTTTCTAAGTAAAGGAAAGGTGTGTTAGTGGAAATTGAGAGATATACATGAGGTATGTTAGGTACGTATGTATGCATGTAGAGACGGGAGGTCGGGATGTAAAGAGGTCGGGATGTTGTAAGAGGGACGGAGACTCGGTCTCAAATCTTGCCTTCTTCTGGGTCTAATATCTCTGGACCAAACCGACCAAGCAGGGACCGGAAATCCATTATTGATTTAGCCGCAACGCCCTCGACGCGCAAGTCTACAGCCACACGCCAGGAACACCGCATCGTCATTCGTGTTGAATCATGAATTAATGCTGCACGCTGTAATCAAGAGAGTTGCTCACAGGAATTACGTGTACGAGACGGTTGGGGGGGGGGTATCTTATAGATCGTCTGAAACCTTGCTGGAAGAAGAGTTGCGGCTTATTTACCTACCTATGTCAGGTACGTCAGGTATGCCTGGAATATCCCGACGGTGAGGTTTTTGCAACTGTAACGCTAAGGTAATTTACCTAGGTAGCTGTCAGGAGGCGCGCTTTCGAATGGATTCGTTCCCAACTTCGACCGTCCCGTTGTAACCGAGGAAGTTGATGAAACTATAAAACGACTTTACTATGTATGTTAAGAAAATAAATATTTAAAGGCGACTAATTACTAAAAATTCGCGGTTTTATTGAAGGTTTAGTTTAGGTTGAACTAGTACCTTAGGTACCTAACCTGTAGTGCCGTACCTAGGGTAGTTCTGGGTACCTAGTCGGCTAGTACCTTGTACTAACTAACACCAGACGCTAAACTCATCTAGGGTCAAGGGGATCAAGTCTCGGCACCTCAAATTGGCAAGGGGTAAACCGTACCGGACAGTTCTATTGGAACGGATTGACACTAGTGTCGTCATGGGGAGAGTGAAGGTAAGAGCTTAGCAGCCCGGGCAGCACAGGAAACGCCCTTAGGAATCTTGGTTCCATTGGGGAAGCCCCAAAAAAAACCCGCTTGCACTTCCAACTTACAAGAACCAGGAAACCACCCAACAACTTCTTCATCTCTTTCTTCATAACCAACTCAATAAACTTGCCTTTTAGGTAAACCCCAAGTTCGCTTGGATAGATTAATGAATCAATAAGATAAATTATTAATTTTCTAGCCAGCCTGAATTCGATCATAATAACCTACTTACCCACCTAGGTACCTAAGGTATTAAGACAGTTCCTTGTCTTTCCCAGCTTCCGTGGCTAACACACCAAACTTGACACCTTCAAACGTGCAACCATGACGGCCGCGAACGAATGGCGAGAGTCGAAGCTAAGGCACGTTGTCCTTCAGCCGAAAGCTACTGCGAAACTTCCCTATTCTATTGAGTCGCCCGGAGCCGAAGCTGTCGCGGGTGAGACGAAACCCCGTAGACATCCCTTGACCAAGGACGGACTCATCACCAAGCCTTCCGATGACATTAGCACCGCCTATGAGCTCCTACGAGTGAGCGTTGCCAAGTACGGCAATGCAAAGGCCATGGGATCCCGGCGCCTCGTACGCACTCATCAGGAAAACAAGAAGGTCAAGAAGATAGTAGATGGACAGGAGCAAGAGGTTAACAAGGCCTGGACATTCTTCGAACTTGGCCCCTACGAATACCTCACATATAACGACTTTGAGAAGTTGGTTTTAAACCTCGGTTCCGGTCTGAGGAAGCTTGGCATGAATAAAGAGGACAGAGTCCACATCTTCGCTGCCACAAGCGCCAACTGGTTGGCTATGTCGCATGCTGCATCCTCCCAATCTATGCCCATCGTAACCGCCTACGACACACTCGGCGAGGAAGGATTAAGGCATTCGATGGTTGCAACTGGTGCTAAGGCAATCTTCCTAGACCCTCATCTGATACCTACGCTTGGCAACGTTCTCAAAGACGCTACCGAAGTCCGCTACGTCATCTGGAACAACCAGCACCAAGTTAGACAAGAACATATAAACAACCTGAAGAGCGCATATCCTCACCTCAAGGTCGTAAGCTTCAAGGAGCTGGAAAAGCTCGGCCGAGATGAGCCCTTTGATCCCGTCCCTCCCAACCCTGAGGATCTCTGCTGTATTATGTACACCTCGGGATCTACCGGAACCCCTAAGGGGGTCCCCCTAAAGCACAGGAACCTCGTTGCTGCTGGTGAGCATCCTTATTCCGGAATGAGGTTATACCAAACTGACTTGAATCAACAGTTGCCGGTGTCAGCGTTGTAGTCCAACCCTTTATTGGCCCCGGGGATGGCCTCTTAACCTATCTTCCATTAGCCCATATTCTCGAGCTTGTTTTTGAAAACGCTTCTCTATACTGGGGATGCACTATGGGTTACGGAAACCCAAAAACACTGTCGGATACCTCGGTTCGCAACTGTTATGGCGACATTCGCGAGTTCAAACCCTCCGTCCTGGTCGGTGTGCCGGCGGTATGGGAGTCGGTCAAGAAGGGAATAACCTCCAAAGTTCACGAAGGTGGTCCAGTCGTCCAGAACATGTTCTGGGGCGCGCTGGCATTAAAGTCTAGACTATTATCTACTGGTCTACCTGGAACCGGTCTGCTTGACTCTATCGTCTTCAAGAAAATCAAGGAAGCGACTGGTGGCCGACTTAAGCTCTGCCTCAACGGTGGCGGCCCTGTCGCAAAAGAGACCCAACGGTTCATTTCTTTGGCCATTGCACCGATGATCATCGGTTACGGCCTTACGGAAACTAATGCTATGGGTACTCTCATGAGCCCTCTTGAGTGGACAACCGAGACGCTTGGTTCAATGCCCTCATGTATTGAAGTCAAGCTCGTCGACTTCCCGGATGCGGGTTACTACGCGACAAACAAACCAAACCCTCAAGGCGAGATTTGGATCCGAGGCGCCAGTGTAGCAGAAGAGTATTACCAGAATGAGAAGGAGACCAAGGACAACATGGCCCCTGGTGGCTGGTTCAAGACCGGAGACATCGGTGAATGGGATTCCAACGGCCACCTGAAGATTATCGACCGCAAGAAGAACTTGGTCAAGACCTTGAACGGCGAATACATTGCGTTAGAGAAGCTAGAGTCTATTTACCGCTCAGCTCACATTGTAGCCAATATCTGCGTATATGCGGATCAGTCGAAGGCTAAGCCCATTGCGATCATTGTACCGGCAGAACCAGCGCTAAAGAAGCTGGCCGCTGAGAATGGAATCCAGGGGTCCAGCCTGGAAGAGCTTGTTCACGATAAGAAGGTAAACAGCATTATACTGAAGGAGCTTCAAAATACCGGGCGAGCTGGTGGCCTGTCCGGCATCGAAATCATTGAAGGAGTGGCATTATCAGACGAAGAATGGACACCGCATAACGTAAGTCATCGAACCCATTTGCAAACTAGTTCCCCAAGCTAATTCTTCTATCTAGGGGCTCGTAACTGCAGCTCAGAAACTTAACCGTAAGGGTATTCTAGCTAAGTACGAGAAAGAGGTGCAGGCGGCGTACGGCTCCTCGAGCTAGGTGTCAGGAGACGATTTCAAGCCTTTTTGGGTAGATTGGCTAGACTGGTTGTGGTCGCAGTTGTGGTGTTCTAGGTAGTCGATAACCGGAAGTTACCTAGGTACCACCTTATAGGTAGATTCACGTCGTTAGAACATCATAGCACATACCGGCGCGAAGGAGGGGGGGGGGGGGGGGGCAGATTGCCATTATATTTTCACGATGGAGACGATATTGAACGGGCTTTTAGTTGGCGATGGATGCCGTATTGGTTTTGATGTCCCGTTTGAGTTGAGCGTTTTTTTATTTTACTTTTCTAATTTTTTTTTATTCGCTTCTATACTCACGTGTACATTTTGTAGAGTTATGGTCAACCCGGGCGGAAGGGAGGTAGAATACGTATAATATACTAGTCTTACTACGTTTATCATTGCATATTACATATACCTGAAGCTCAACTAGTAGCTTTGGCGGTAATCTACCTGGTTAATGAAGCATATCCGAAGCAAACGATGGAAACATAAGCTTCGATAGTTCGGTAATCTAGAAGAAAGTCATTGTTTATAGCGCTATACTCACTGGTATTGTACAGGCAGTATCCGGCATTGGTCTATAGTAGGTACCTACCTAAGGTATCTACTATAGTAAGCCCTATAAATGCAGGCATTAGTTATCACTACAAGGTCTCTTCAATTCTCTACATGCCTCTATCTGGTATCAGATCCGTCTGACGTGCATCGCACTGCTTATACATACCGGGATTACCTAACTAGATCTTGTACGTCATTTTAGTTTACTCAGCCTGGGCCATTATCTACCTACCCTGGTATGTACATCATGTATCTACATAGCCTCGAGCCTCTTTGACGAGAAAGTAAGGTACCTAACCTATCATATGTATACCTCATATGTACGTATAACTTCGCCCCAAAGACATTACCTATGTGAGAGCTTCAACATGTTCCCCGACCTCAGCCCCCTTTAGCTGTGTATAAAGGGGGCGAAGCAGCTTGTGTATCTAGTTGACGTCATGCAATGCCACCCCAAGTAAGTAGAAGTCACATATATACATTGCGAAGCCTCTGATTCTGTAATAACGTATACGGCGTTAAGTATAATCTCGTACAAGGTAGAGATTGCCTATCTACATAAAAGGCTACTTGCCTTGTCTGCTGCGCCTCGTTCTAGAAAACTCGGGAAGCGGCTGCGGCTGCGGCTGCGGCGATGGCCGAGTGGCCCGGTCCAGCTTGGCCTGCGGTCCCAGTTCCGAAGAATGAGGTGCCTAGCCGGTGCTTGATCATCACATTAGACTATCCATAACCAGAGTTCCGGGGGTGGGATAAATCAGGATCTGGCTGACAACATACAGCTGTGCTCGTCCTTCTCTTCGAATATAGATACCCGTGTAGGAGAGAGAGAAAGGAAACTTTGATACATTGGTAGCGACTCTCCAACCGGGACTTCCATCACAATTTTACCTGTTTTTTTGTTTTCTTCTTTCAGGTTTGGCTCTCGTTCTTTGCCGGATTCTCCTCCAACGTCTCCAAAGTCGCTAGCTCTTGAAAGCCTCGTCGCTGTCTATCCCCTCTCTTACGTGGTGTGTGTATTACACCAGCCCGTCGTACAGAGAGAGTGCCGAGACAATTGTCTCGTCGCGTTTGCTACCTTCCTTAAACTCATCCATGTCTAGACTGCCGTTCTCGTCTTTATCCATCATGCGGAAAATCTTCCTAACGCGCTTTTCGGGGGTATCTTCGTCTTCGGGAAGCTTCACCATTGAACCGACCTAATTCGGGCCATGCTGTTAGCATGACTTACTTGACTGTCGTTGACTGGTTAACTCTGAGATTATGCATCCATACCATTTTGTAAATCGCTTCAACGATCTTCAGCATCTCGTCATAGCTAATCTTGCCGTCGCCGTCGATGTCGTATAATTGGAAAGCCCAATCGAGCTTATCTTCCATCTTTCCTCGACTTGTAACGCTCAGAGCGCAAATGAATTCTTTGAAATCGATCGAGCCGGACTTGTCTGAATCAAAAACGTTGAATACGTAATCAGCAAATGACGATGGATCCCCGAATGGAAAGAATTGTCGGTAGATCTTCTGGAACTCTTCTTTCGTGAGCATGCCGGATGGGCAGTCCTTGAGGAAGCCTGATACATGATAAGTACAAGTTCGACCAGTAAGTTGCAGCAACGCGACGACCCGGATGTAACCAACCCTTATACCACTGTTGCAGTTCCTTCTTGTCGAAATGCGTGGATTTCTGGAGCTCGGCTAGCTGCTCTTGAGAGAGCTTTGATTGACTAGGTAACTTGTATTAGTCGGACTATGCGACGCCTCAATGGGGAACAATGACGATGAAACTATTTCCGACATCTCCTGTATAGAAGGGAGGGTAATTCTCGCATTCCCGCGCAGCCGTACGTGACAGAATTATAAATCGTACGAGATAATTCAGGCAGACTCACGATTTTCCCATTTTGTTTTCTTATTTTTATTTTGGTAATCTCGCGGTGGCGACTATTCTATCAAGCAGGATGTTTCGCGGTGTTGATGGGAAGGTCGGCGTTCGTCGTGTGTGGAATCTCGCGAGGCCGAGGATGAAGGGGGGTTTGTTGATTATGCGACAAGTTCGAAAGCGAAAGCAAATGATGGCAAGGTGGGGGGGGGTTCTGTCGCAACGGTGGAAGATAACAATAAAGTCCGACTACCTAGGTAGGTTAAGGAGTTTCTCAAGTGTCGCAGCAGGGAGATCTAATGCAGAAAAAAAGGTGTGTTAATAGTGCAAATTGATGAAAAGGGTTTCGAATAACTAATACCAAAAAGAAAAAAGGAGATTGCAATAATAAGGAAAGGTTGATTGTGCTGTTCTGACTTAGAATTGGAATAATACACTGATGTGATTGATGTATGCAAGTTTGGATGTATTGTACGTAGGTAGGTACCTCGGCATGTACCTAGGTAGATAATGTAAGTTTAGGACTTCAGGAAGTATTACGTAGGTGTAAGTACCTACCTGGAAATGTGTAGCCTGTTGTGAATTAAGTACCTATAATTTTATAGGTACGGATGAATATATGTACCTACTACTAACTACCTATATGCATATGCATACATAATGTGCCTTATGACGCAGGTAGATGTAGGGAAACTTCCAAGGTTGGGACAAATATGTGTAGGTACTTAGTATTGTACCGCCTCAATGGTGCTTTGTAAGAAACTTTATAAAATATGTAACGCGGTAGGTAGGCTACTTAAAAAGGGCTGGACCTGGCCGGTTGATCAAGGCTGAAGGCGGCCGAAGAATTGGGGTACGCAGATGAGATCCGAGCTTCGCACTTATTTATATTGAATCCTGCGACCCGTTCGTGTAGTGTAATAGGTGCGTGCAATGGGTGCAACGGGGTGCCAATTACATTCACGATAAGAGGCAACCTACTATTGACTTATTAGGTATCGTATCGTATCGTATCATACACAATACGGCCATACAAGAACTAGAAAGAACAACAAAAAGGGGTGGGCCTCTTAGGATTACTTACACGATTCTCTTTAGGGATTCGCCAATGATCACGCTGATCACTTAGGAACGACTGCAACAATGTGATGCGGGTTGAGCCTCTTTATCCTTGTTGTAACCCTGAATTGTACAATATGTTTTTGTATGCTGGGTACGATACGTTCTGGAAATGATTTCCTTTTTTCTAGGTAATCAGGCTCGGAAAGAAGAATAACTCGATCAACTAGGGATTTGGTGAATATATAAACAACAGCTCATGTTCCTGGTTGAATTTAGAGTTGGAAACTTGGAAGATTACAATTAATTGCCTCCAAGATCAGGTAAATCAGGTAAGGGTAAGGTAAGGGGAATGGCGGGGTAGTTTTAGTAAGATCATATGAATCCGGGAAGAGGGGGGAAAGCAAAGCTTAGTATCCACAATTCGTTTCCCGTTACCTACTAACCTAAGTAGACTGCCCCTTAGGTAATTACCAATTATAGGTATAGTCCGGATAATGCTTAACTACGTCCTACCACACGCGTATAGGCTTCGACGTAATTAGGTACCTAGCCTAGGTAGTTTCTAATACCTGTGTTACTTCTCTGCATCTTCAACTTCGATGGAATTACCTCACCAGTATTTAGCCGAATACCTGTTAAACATACATACCTAATATGTAACATCCCGGACCTGTTCTATCTAACTTGACGCCATGTGAAGTCATCGTTATCTTAATCCATTCAGTTTTAACGCTAACAAAGCTATAGTTACACATTAGGTAGTTGTCGTATAGAATCAAGTTACAACTTAATAATATACCTAATGCATCTTAGGTACTAGGGCTAGGTAGATCGTAAACGATCTTGCCGATTATCATATAGGTCTAGGTATCAACGTTGATCATGCAAGGTTACGGGCCATCCCGTTTATCCGCAAATTATCGAACCTAGCAGGGTCCATACTCTCAATTTTAGGGTATGAGAACGATAACGCCGGTGGCTCGGGACATACACTAGTACCTGAATAGCTTCTTATAGTTAGGATGCTGGGCGTTACTAACTGCCTGAGTGAAAGTCACGTTGGCTACCTACCTAAGAACTGATGGCAGACCAGCCAATTCATATTGTATTGTACAAATAATTATTAAAATAGGTACATACCACCTGTAGTAAAAAAAAAAAAAAACTAAAAAAAAAAAAAAACTCGGGGCTACACGTTTGATGAAGTAGGTATGTATATATTCCACAACCATGATATATGTATGTGTCAAACAGTTGAACGAACCACGCCCAATTCACAGTTCGGCGGAGTATCTACAAAAATGGGAACCAAACGCCAGCCCAAAATCCTATCCGTCGTTCATGCACCGTCCAAGCTCCAACCGTGCTGTAGCAGACGCTCATACCTATTCGCTTCTCGTGAGGTGTCTTTAATGGACAAATAAGGGGCACATATTTCGTAGCTTATTAGACAGAACGCAAGGGCTTGCCGCTAACGCTCTGGAGTATCTTGAGAGATTTCAGAAAGACTGCCTTGAAAAAAAAAAACATTTCATCCGACGACGGTCTTTTGACTTAAGCTCTCGAGGAAACCGCCAAGGTCGTCCTTCCGAACCTCGACGACGCAGTGCTCAAAACTGTCGATTCGCACGCGCGCATTTGTCTCGCTAACCACATCCTGGAAGGCGGTGCCAAATTTATTCAGTCCATAGCCACGCTCCTTATGCTCTTCGATCTCGTCCTCTGAATCCGAATCTGACCCGTCGCTGTCTTCAGATTCTGTTTCCTCTTCCCCTTCGTCATCATCATCATCATCGGCATCGGCGGCTCTAGCCTTAGCAGCACGTTTCTCTTCCCTAATCTTTTCCTTGTTCCGTTGTTTCTGCTCCCGTTCCTTGATCTTAGCTTCCTTGGCGGCCTGTTTCTCTTTGGCTGCTTCCTTATCCAGAAACGCTAGATCAGGTCCACCACCACCACCGGTACCAACCACAACGTAGACGCCTCGTTTCTCATTTAGACTCGCTACGACGAGTGGTGTACCACGTCCACCATGTGCCAGCTTTCCGTTGGCATCTTTTTCCTGCTCAGCGAGGGCCTCGCCAACCCAAAGAGCAAGCTTCGTAAGTGCAGCGGGGTGCGTAAATAAACTGACGTCTGGTCCATCTTTAATAACACAAAGACGGAAGGCATGTAAGTGCTTGATTTGTCTTTTCCCGATCAGTGCCGTTCCTGTTCGAAAAATAGCACGGTGAAGTTCTTTTGCTATGGGAAGGCCAGCTTTTAGAGCATCGATGCTGGATACCATTAGTTTCTTACCCTAATTTCTCGTCTATTGAAACTTACTTTTCAAGAGCATCATACGCTTCCCAAAAGCGACTGACCCATTCTTGGGTCTCGGCCACTCCACTTTCATCTTCTAGGTCCTGTATTTGACTTGCTCGGATGCGGCCGTCCTCGCTGGTCACCGTATTCTGTTTACCTACCTCAAGTAGAGCGCCGATGATCACTCCAACATCCTGAGCGCTGAGCGTTGCTCGCCAACCCCAACTCCGGACAAACCCCCATCCGTCCTTGGCTCCTCCTCGATCCCTAGCATCTGTTTCTACCGCAGGTACCATATCGTCGAGGTTATATAGAGATGCATACTTTAGCAGCTTTGTACGCAGTTCTTTTTTTAGCATCATATCCATATGTGTATAGCTCTGCTTGCATTGAACAAGGCTCACGCCCATTTTTGCAAGTAATTTGTGCAAACGTTTGATACCGCTCTCGCTCCAAATGCGCAATCTTGAAAAAAGATATGGCGAATGTAGCATACTATCATAAAGGCTCCAATGTCGAATGAGTAAGAATTTTGGTTCGGGAGATAGTCGGATACTCGTGTCTTCGGGGTTCCGGGCTGTGGTAGGGATAATTCCAGCACCGTCCGAGCCCGAGAGCCTTCCCATCTCCGGTGGATTTAGTCGCCTCACCTCGTCCCGCAGGAGTTGCCGTATTCGGGCGCCACGAACGCCCATCCAGCCATTTGACGGCCTAGAATCTGAACCGCGGACCATAACAGCTAAGCCAGCTGAGGAGCGGCCATACAGCTCCATGGACGTGACGCCAACAATTGTTAGCCAGAGCAAGTCATTGTCTTCCCGGCCTAGCTCCGAAGCAAGAGAGTAAATCATTGCGCTAATAGGCTCAGAGTAAGAAGACCCCATCCGGTAATACTTCCGAAGAATCCCTTCATTTTCATTCCGCATTCGTAACAAACGCCTCCGAAGGGTACGGGCCGACGGGGCTTTAGGGGGTTGAGCTGCGGAGGGCGGATTTTCTAAGTCGTCCGATCTAATTAGATCGGAGTCCCGTATTGAAATTAGTCCACGCTGGGCCGGGCGTTGCGGGGAGTCTGGAATTGGGGTGGACTGAGAAAATGTTAGTGGGGGATTCTAGCTTTGATTGGAGAGTGACCCTACAGTATTACTCCTTCTCCTTTGACGGGGTCGGTCGTCTTCCTCGCCGCTGCTCTCATCGTCCCTGTCCGACCAAGATTTCCTCTTCTTGCCAGCACGTGGTAAGGGGTCTTGTTCTTCCACCTCGCCTTCACTTTCAGAATCACTTTCCCCATATGGCTCGCCATCATCTTCAACATCAGGCATGTCAATCAGTGCCAAGTACGCGTCTCGTTCGGCATCGAGCCCCTCTTCGATGTCGCCATCGTCGAATACGATGATACCACCTTTTCCGGGTTTATATGAGTTGCCCACCCGTCCTAAAGTTACACCACTAGGAGCACGAGCTTGATAACTGGTGACGGCGCCGGAAGTGGGCTCGAGTGGATATCCGCCGAAGACATTGCCAAGGTTCCACGGCCGATGCGAGTCTATAACCCAAACTTCAACACCGCTAAAACTCGACTCTTCGCCTTCAACCTCGAGGCCTAGAATAGTTCCCATGTCGACCATACCCCCCACGCCGAGACATACGACGACCCCTCCGCTTCCTCCACGAGTCTCCATCATGGGGCTGACAAGTTCCTGGCCGACGCGTTCGAGATCCCCATACCCAGACACGGGTTGGATCTTGTGTGGTATATAGTCATGTTTGAGAAGCCGTGTTAAAATGCGACAGGCACAGAGAGCGTCGGGTTCAAGGGCGACAAGAATGAGGACTGGAGGGGACAAGGGATGCCGGGTGTTCTGGAGATGGGTATAGAGTTTCGATATGAGATCGCGTGGCAGATACATAATTCGGAAGTATCTGAACGCGTCTTCGAGTATGCTACGTCGGATTCATAGGACCGGTGACAAAGATATAGCGGTAACGAGCTGTAGCCTTAGGGTTAGAGCCTTGGGGTAGGGTTGCGTTCGAGGAGGTTGAATCGAATCGGATATATGCCAATTGCTCGACAGTTAAGAAATATATTAGGAATTGAACCTGTGTATATATTCCATAAATGATTAACAAAAGACTTTAGGTATGAATGTTATCATATAGTGACGTTTTTGAGGAGCGGCAGGGTAGAATTGATTAATTTTAGTGTGGAGGAAGTATAAGTGTTGATGGCCGGAACGCGGTTTAAAGTGGGCAAGACGCGATTTGGTACTTCGCGGCGTGTTGGCGTAAAGCACTTTTGCAGATCCGCACTGTGTATTGCGCGTGGGACGGGTTCCACCATCCCATCCCGTATGTGAGTAAGTTCAACCGGGTCAGGTACCTGCCAGATCCAGACGAAGTCTTCAGCCACAGTTACCCTTGTACATCAAGTTATTGAAATTTGAACCTCGAAAGATCTGATTTCCTTTTTAGCATTAGCCTCGTAGATATTTTTCTTTTCCTTCTAAACCGAGAAATACTACTAAAAAAATACTAGGTTACCTATTTAGTATCAATAAGTATCTTCTTGCAATTGAGGTAGATAACCTTTGAATTGGACATTTCATAATTGCTATCTAAATTTAATGTTTCTCTCTCCTTAACATGTTTGGCCTTTGACTGACTGGACTGGATACCTCCTAAACAATATAACTATCGATATACATGGGTTACGATTGGTCGGGAATACAGCCGTACTCGTGGGACGTGTAATTACAGTTGAATTATCTTGACCATTCCATCATCCTACTCTAGTAAGAATGACTCAACCCTGCCCCACGAAGCAACTCTTGGAGCTGTGCGTCGAGGCAACATCCACAATCCAAAGCGAATGCGATTTAATACTCTCTACGGTATATCCACCTGAAGATACTTCACGGGCAGGGTTAGTAGGATGTGGTCCTGCTTTGGTTGATCTGCTATCACGGCAGGCAGCTCGGATCAGTATTTACTACCAACAGCTGAAGTCCGCGGGAATGAGCACAGCTCCAAGTCCATCCGAAGAGCAAAAGTTATCGTTAGACCGATTATCTGATATTATCTCCATCTCATATTCCAAATTCTACGCATATCTTTTCAAAGATCTTCCAACTTGCTGGCGGCAGCTTTATACCGATGCTAGTATTTTAAAATTCTGTCTGATCCTCCTCTCGACCCCTTGCGTCTATGATCACACTCCGGAATGTAGCAATGCTTCTCGTGAGCAGGTTGATAAGGCAGGCCGTCAGATTACTCAACTCATCAAACTTCTTGACTATGCGTTAATTCTCGCCGGTGCCGCTGGTGAGCAGAGAGGCAGGAAATGGGTCAATAAAGCCCTTCTATTACTCCAATCGGTCTGGAATGAACTAGGTATCGATCCAGGTGTGCCGAAGGAACTCAATACTATATTTTCGACAATAGAACCATTCACGCCGCCTGTGAAGCACCCCATCCAACGTGTCGATGTTCTATCCATCGAGGCGTTCCAAGCGTATATGGACAATCCCCGAGATTCAAAGCTAGGACCAGAACCGCTTATCATACGTGGTGCTATTGACGAATGGTCAGCTCTAACCAAGAACCCCTGGAATAAGCCATCGTATCTTCTTTCACAAACTTTTGGAGGCCGCAGGCTTGTGCCTGTCGAAATTGGCCGTAGTTATGTTGATGAAGGTTGGGGTCAGAAACTTATCACTTTCGGTGAGTTTTTATGCGAATATATCGATCCCTCCATCCCTCCAACCCAGGACAGCTCCATCGATGACACTATTTCCACTTCGTCGCAAGCGAAGCCTATTGCATACCTAGCCCAGCACCCTTTGTTCACTCAACTGCCCGCTTTGCGAAATGATATTCTCGTCCCGGATTATTGCTATACGGCACCACCTCGGCACCCAACAGACTCTAGCATTGACCAGCCGGAACTTGATGAGCCGCTTCTCAATGCCTGGTTTGGGCCGCCAGGGACTATTACACCATTGCATACCGACCCATATCATAATGTGTTAACACAGGTGGTGGGGCGTAAGTACGTACGGCTCTATTCACCCTTAAGTACGGAGCGTATGCAAGCACGAGGAAAGGAAAATGGTGTGGAAATGGGAAACACCAGTTTGATGGACGTTGGGGTAATTGAAGGGTGGGATTCGATACCCGATGACGAGGAAGACGGATTTAGCAAGGAGGATCTTGTCAATTTTAAAGCGGTACCATTTCTAGATTGTATCCTCGAGCCCGGTGACGCCCTCTACATTCCAATCGGGTGGTGGCATTATGTTCGTGGGTTGAGTGTTAGCTTTAGTGTGAGTTTCTGGTGGAATTGACGTAGGATGGAAGCGCTTATGAATAAAGTCCTTACCTGAGGTTAGCGATGTAAATCTGGAGTGTCAGACGTTAAAAGGTATATGCGCCTAAAAAAAATGCTTAGTCATAGCTTTTGTGTAATTAAGCAATATTATTCTCTTGCCAAAATATCTGAATAATTGTAACTTTACCGCCAAATATCAGGCATCTATCTACCTTAGATAACTTCCAAGTACCTAATATGGGAGTAAAAAGGGTCAAACGTTTTACTCAAAATTTAATTATTTAAGATCTCATATAACGACTCTCTCTCTCTCTCTCTCTCTCTCTCTCTCTCTCTATCCTTACATCGTCAATAATCTTAGTTCGTCTCTTCGCCAAGTTCATATATGCTAAGAAATAAGAAAAGAGTCGAATGCTCTCCTATCAAAGGCTATCATTCAACCCCTGGCATTATAACTATTCGACAAACCATCACAATAGTCTGGCTTTAACCTTGGTGTGATAATGGACGCCCCTGAACATGATCGGGATGTCGTCATCCAGAAATATTCCCTAGATCTAATCGCTGATTTTGATCGTTCCTTGATACCGTTTCTGAAGAAGCCCAATGGTCAACTTCGGAGGCGCGTGCGTATGAGGGAAACGACAAGATTGATGTCTCTTGTAAGTGCATATCCGTAGCTATAACAACCGAGAAAGGAGCTAATAGGCGGTAATAAGGTTCTGGAACCATTCCAAGAGCTGCCACAACTGCTTGATCCGCATTTGCCCAAGTGGTTGCCGACATTGGCGGAGGCATACCTGGGGTGTTTACAGGATCATCGTAAACACAGATCACTATCAATGCGGTCTCAACTTCTTCTTCCCCTCTCTGACGCAATATGCAAGCTTCTATATACGTTTTGCAAGATTCGAGGCGAGAAAGTTATCGTTAGGTTCCTAAATGTAGAGACGAGATATCTAGAGCTTCTCCTGCTCGCGATAGAAGAATCAGAGCGCAATGCTGATTCAGCTACTTCGTGGACTTGGCATGAAAGATACATTGTTCTACTGTGGCTATCGCAACTATTCTTCGCTCCATTTGATCTCTCAACTATATCATCTGGCGACGCCGACGATCTTGATCGGTTAGCTCTTCCCGGATTTGAGTGGCCGTCCCAAGTCCCAGGCATCGCCTTAAGGGTTATTCCTCTAGCGGTCAAATATATTGCGTCTCCTGGAAAGGAGAGGGATGGAGCAAAAGCACTCCTAGTTCGCGTCGCTATGCGGAAAGACATGCAGGAATTAGGAATCCTTAACGCTCTAGTGAAATGGGCTTTGTCGACATTAAAACCGTCGGGGGATGCTCCGGCTGAGTCTCCATACTATTATATTGGCACCATATCATTCTTAGCTGGGGTTCTTGGTGCTGCCGCGAATACATCTATCATGGATCCGTACCTTTCTGCCATTTTCGGTACCACACGGGCTATCGCCGCTGAGAAGAATCCCGTTTTCGACGTCATCACCGGCTCTGCGCTGGCTCGAAAACTGCTTATTAAAGTCACGCGCTCAGTGGTCACTCTGGTCTTGCGGAAGTCGGAGCAATCTGATGCTGATACTGAATTGGTAGAAGCTTCCATAGGATATATGCTTGAAAGACTAGCTGATAATGATACGCCGGTACGCTTCGCTGCTAGCAAAGCGCTTAGTATTATCACGCTTAAACTTGAGCCCGAAATGGCTTCACAGGTCATTGAAGCTGTGTTGGACTCACTCAACCGAAACGTGCTCTGGGTGAAAAATAAGACAAACCCGTCTGCTCGTCCTACGCGAGACATTACAGCTGTCGATCCGCTTGAGTGGCATGGGTTAATGCTTACTCTTTCACACCTTTTATATCGAAGATCGCCACCTCCTGAAGACCTATCAAATATCATCCATGCCCTATTGATGGGACTTTCTTTCGAGAAGCGAAGCCCGTCGGGAGGTTCAATTGGTACCAACGTCAGAGATGCATCTTGCTTCGGCATCTGGGCGCTGGCCCGTCGTTACAACACTTCCGAGCTGCTTCAAGTACAAACGAAATCCGTGTTAGTCGCTAGGGGACATGACCCAGCTGCGTCAATACTACAAGTAATTGCTACCGAATTGGTGGTGACAGCTTCACTTGACCCCGCAGGGAACATTAGGCGCGGTGCATCCGCCGCCCTCCAGGAATTAATCGGTCGCCATCCCGACATCGTCGAGAAGGGGATTTCTCTAGTACAGACAGTTGATTATCATGCTGTTGCTCTCCGCTCTAGAGCAATACACGAAGTTGCCTTACAAGCAACAAGATTATCACCACATTACGGCCGTGCGCTGTTAGAAGCAACTCTTGGGTGGCGAGGGATTGGAGATATGGACTCAGGGGCTCGGAGAGTAGCAGCTACTTCTTTTGGCGCGCTGACGGCCGAACTAATCAATATCGGAACCTCCGACCCCTTAGGTCATTTCAAGGGCGCTGTTAACTTGCTTTTATCTCGACTTGAAGCCCTTCAAGTAAGACAGGTAGAAGAACGACACGGACTTCTATTGAGCCTTGCGGCTATCTTTGACCTCCTTCCACACCTTCTCAAGGACAGAAAGCCTGAATCCCTTCAGGAAGTACCAACGACTGAGATCTGCACCGCTTTAAAAAAGGTCCTAGAGGATTTTAAAAACACCAAGTACAGGAAGCCGGAGCTGATCGCAGAGGCTGCTGGTCAACTAATAGTATCATCGACCCCGGTTCTCCTACTAAGTGTTATGCAAAACTGTTCCCCAGATATTCCAAAACCGAGTTTGCAGTCTGGTCCTGCGATTGTGGAGGAGGATAAATCTGAGTTATTGAGTTTGGTTGCTAAATTCTTGGACACATTACAGGTTGATCGCCCGAATTATGTCGTCGAGCTATTAGAAGCCTTGGAGAATGCTCTCGATAATTGGCTAGACAGAAATGAGAGTGAAGTAGTCAAGACTTCATCAAAAGCTGCTCTAGTTCTACTTCTTTTTGCTACCCAAGAACGCCGTAGTCAAATCATCGAAGAATGGTCCAATAAAGTACGCCGTTCACAAGCACCGCGTACTAAGCACGGTGACGGTTTTTTCCATGCCCTTACCTGTGCATACCAACTCCAACAACTCCAGCAAAATGAACACGGTCTTTCAGAGGGCGCTCTAGCGAGTAAAGTACTTGCAGAAAGATGGGCGCAAGACAGCGATATCGAAAATCATGTCGCGATTTTGCAAAGTCTAGTGGGCAGAGCTATCCTTAGGGACAGACCATTAGATTTTCTCACAATCGTCTCAGAAGGTCTGGATGACTATACTACGAACGCACGCGGAGATATCGGCTCCCATGTCCGTCTAGAAGCTATTAAAGCAACGAAGACTCTGCGGGAGTCGAGGAAAGATGAAGAACAGATCATCTCAACTCTCTTCCCACGTATACTTCGGTTAGCAGCTGAGAAGTTGGATCGAGTTCGTACCGAAGCACAATCAGCCTTAACCCTATTTATACATCCAAGGTTCGTAAACTTACACCAGAAAAAGTTGATAATATGTTATTAATCACCACGCAGAAATACTCAGACGTTCGGCAAGCTATCTTTTTCCTCGAAAGAATATTTCAATTTTCTGCTTCGCCTCTGCGATAAGGAGCAGTTAGACCCAACTGTGGCACAGTATCGGACACTCAACCTAGACGACTGCATATCCATACTGTTGGCTGGCCTCGTAACCTCAGCTGATACAGGTAACGAAGACTTGGTTATAGTCAGCAGAGCCGCACTCGCCGACTTCTGCGTGGAGTCAGCAGAGAATCTAAAGCAGATATGCGCCGCTTTCCTTCGCAACCTCAAGCAATACCAGGGCCAAGACCGGGTAATTGTCCCTACGCTGGAAGTCGTAGCGTTCCTGTTTCACGTTGGCGTCCTGCAGCAGTGTGCCGAGATGAACCTGCGGCAGCTCTGCGTCCTCGTGCAGAAGGCGGCGTACAAGACCGGCAACGTGCGCAAGCTCGAGGCCTGCATCAAAGTCTACGGCGCCATCGCAGCCGTCGACGCGGCTGGCGACATGTCGGGCATGTCGTCGGAGCTGGCGACGAAACGGCGCGAGGGCGTGCTCGAAGCGAAGAAGAGGCTCGCTGCTCTTCTGGCTCACCCCTGGCCTAGGGCGAGGTGCTTGGTCGTCGATGAGCTCTGGGAGTTGATAGGTGATGACGATGGAGATGCAAGACGTGCAAAGCTGCTCGCGGTGGATTGGGGCAAAGCCGAAAAATCCTACGTTAAAAATATCGTGGGAGAGCTAGGACTCGAGTAAAGGGGTAGGTAAATGGCTAGACCACGAGCTCGCTAGTTACTCGCAGGCCATGTTTCTACATAATTCTCTACTTGCTATATTAAATCAATGGACTCAAAGGGGAACCATAATGCGATTTGGTGTGTAGTAACTGACAAATGGTCATGTGCAATAAAAATGAGATGGAAATTAGATATAAATAAGTATCATGATGTTAACCCGGGGCATGTAAATAGGAACTATTCGCATATTATAAAACACCCACGCTCGTGGTGGAAGTAACAGGTGCCCAAACATAGCCGGCATACACATTCGCGCCGTTATCCGAAGGGGACAAAAAAAGGCCGAAAAGAGATGAAGGGTTTCATCGGTGTATTCGTATATGTTCCGAATTTGGAACCACGTCGCTCGTCGTTTTGGGCAGTTCGGGAGACACACTACCTCCTACGACCTACCTTAGGTACCTAACGTATATGTATAATAATATAACGAAGTGGAAGTGCGTGGGAGGTTTCAGGTATTTTTGTCAGCAGGACAGGTTTTTCCCAAGGAGGCAGCTCGCGAAGGGATGGGAAAGCTTCTCGCTGCGGTGTGACGGCGGCAGACTTTGTGCCGCATACGCCTAAATGTCATTGCTTCTCTACATATCCACATCCCATCATACCTGGGGAAAAGGAGAAAGGCTTTTTTAATGTCCATAAGGTACCGAGACGTCCGGTGTTGAAGAAGTGAAAATAGGTAGGTACGCGGGAGCTAGGATTCGTGTCTGAGGTCAAGTTTGGAGATAATTATATCAGACGGACCGCGCGCGTTCTCCCGAGTAAAACGCACATTTCTTACGCACGCAGACAATATGCAGTTAACCGTTCATGTTCGTGATATACTCATCCATGGGATTGCATGTATGATGTAGGTACTCAAAGTATCTCGACGTACCAGCAAACGGGTTACCGGATATGTACATGATAGGCGGTTCATGTTTTCTCATATCGCCAAACTGGGATAGGATAATTGATTGTCCTCTTAAAATCGAGCCCGCCTCTATGGGTAGTGTATCGGAGCTGGTCGTACGTACGTACGTTACGTGTCACGGGAATGTGTCTGCAGGCGCAAGACATACAGGCGCATAACCTGCGGTGAGAGACAGTATGATATTAGCCTCATCTATATGTATCGAGCTTTGTCTTAGCTCCAAAAAAAAAGTTGGACCGGGCCGAAGAGCTCTCTGGTGATGATGCAATGCCGAACCGCGCCCGGGTCTACCTAACTTGTATTTCCCTGCGCGCGGCTCGAGCCACCCATCAGCAGATGACATAAGACACGCGAGAACTTATGTGTGTGTTATTACTTAATTCTGGGCAAACCTGGGCCCTTACCTACATGATATATTAGAGGTACCTGAAGAGCTGTTTAAGACGGGATAGGTGGTGATCATGCCGTTTTACCGTGATCTGACCCTACGAGCCGTCGCCGCTATAAGACCGAGAGTAGAAAAGAGAACGGTTAGAAGATCCGAGGAGGGCCGGGCTAAACCAAGAAAGACAAGGACTCACGTGCTCAAGAGGTTTTTTTTTTTTTTTCCTAACCTCTTCTTCTCTCGTGAGAATCTGCCTGGATTCGAATTCGGCAACCTTGGAGATGGTAAAAGAGATGAAGCTAGACTGAAGTGGGAATAGCCGATTAAAACAGTTGCAGCATGGGGGACCTGTAGTAGAGAGGTAGCCACTTGGCCAAAGCTTTTCACCCCTGTCGAACTGCCCCTCCATGGACCCACTTGAAAGAGACCCTTGTCTAAGATGCGTGCGTCGATCTACAAGGCCTCCCCCGGTCCAGGCCAGCTTTTCCTACAATGGGAAGCTCTCAAAAAGATAAATCGTCCAGCAAATGAAAACCTTGCTATTCCAGCCTTTATCTCTGGTCACGCTTCCAACGTCGTTTTTTCGGTTGTTGGTAGTACCTAAGCATATGCTATGTTTTTAAATGTATCCCCCCGATTCTTTTAAAAGCTTAGCATTTCTTGAATATTTGTTCATAAACTCGTTGACTATGGCGAGATCGCCGAAATGTTTTTCGTTATCAATCGTCTTCCTACTTACCGCTCGCAAGCAGTCGCTCCAAACGGTCGGGTGCTAGTTGGATGCTTGTGGTTACAATTAATACTTGCGTTAATAACCACGTAGTTAGTACCTGGTCTGCCCTCGCGATGAAGGGGGACAGGCAAGGATAAACGTGGGAGAAGATTGGTACAAATCTCGAATGGCGTCGTCTATGCCAGACATAGTGGATATACTCCCATGATACTGAGGCAATTGAGAGAAAGCCTGAGAAGGCCTAGACTCCAAACTAAATGCCACGACATATGTATAGTTCAGCTTTCGCCTCAGTTCAACTTACTCGCGACTCCTGTTAACAGCGCTTGGTGTATCTTTGGATGATTTAGGTACTCGTAGGTTTTTAAAGTTCGTCATATTGTTACATTTGTAAGATATTAGGAGAACCAACCGTCGTAATTGATAGGAAGCGAAGCACCGGGCCAACCTTACCTCTACGGCAGGCATCCCGAAAAAGAGGTAGGGATGTCGCAATCCGAAAAACCTCATAATAGGTTTTTCTCCCCGCGTGATAGACATTAAGAAATCATATTTCATATAGCTATACGGTGCCCAATTCGAACGAAACTATTGGCGAGAGCATCTTGAGTACTATGTAGTAAGTGCTTCTTCACCTTTTACGCCCTTCAAATTTATACCTAGTACTTATATGCAATTTCACATGCGTGGCCTTTCGTACCACCACTAAAAAGATGAGCTGCATTAGCTTGAGATTATCTTATTAGTAGAAACGTGTAACATTAATCCGTTGCACAGCATTACTTGAGGTACATAAGTTTGTCTAACATGTTTAAATCTTGTTGATATCTATAAATACGTAGATAGATTAATTGATGTAAATGGAAATATACTATAGACATAGGAATAACATAGTGGCTTAAAGTGTTAAACCTTTTTGTAAATTATACCTAAATTGTGAACAAATTCCTACCTAAGTATGCACTTACTAGTAAGAAATTAGCTTCCATGTACCTGATGGTATAACCTGCTGATATAGTATGTAAATCAGGTTTGTTATCTGAGGAGCTGAACAAGTACCATACCAGCATCTAACGATCCCAGTAAACCGTGTTATGACCGTTGCATTACAGTACGAAAAAAATAAACGCTTAAAAATTCCTGAATAGCTGATCGAGCGTTCAAAAATATAAATATTTAAAGGCGTTTTGACATTTTTTTTTTTTAAAAAAAAACGCATACATATATAAACGCTTACATTCTCAAACGTTTGAGAATTTTTCAAACGCTTAAATCATGTGACGTTTAGGTAATATAAACCATTAGGTTGCGGTTTGGCTGCAGTAAGGTAATAGTAATAGCAGTAGCAGTAGCAGTAGCAGTAGCAGTAGCAGTAGCTAAGTTGAATTAAAAAAAAAGATTCATTTGCTTAGCCTTAGATTCGAACTATTACCTTGTATGGTGGTTTACTTGTACGTTTACATGTTTACATGTTTACTTCTACGTGGTGGTTTACTTCTAAGCATGCGTCTATTACCTTGACCACAATGGCCATTACGAATTACATATTACGTTACACGCGCGTACGACAAGCTACCTTATTTTAATATATCAAGGTAGGGAAGGTATCGTAGCTTCCTCTTGGAAAAGGCTCTTACATACTAAGACCCTGAGATATTCAAACGCTTATCTTGAAAGATAAACGCTTTTAATTTTCTAAACGTTTAGATACGATTAAATGTCAAAACACCTGTAGACGTTGAGAAACATCAACATCTAATATTTAAAATATTTTGACAAATTTAATTGTGTTATATCGGTTAAAAATTTCAAACCGTATATACACGGTTTACTGGTTCCCGCGGATCCCCGTAAGGTAGTTAATGTTAAAGCACAAAATCGGATGATTATTCCTTCGAGTTTCGCTCCGCCAGTGGCTCGTCTTCAGGACGGACGCGAGAATAACCTAACAAGATAAGTCCCGAAATAACGGCTCCCGAGCAAACATTTTACTTATCAACCTAGATATACTTTTGGGTACCCAAACGTTATGCACAGACTCGGCCCATGCCTTCGGGTCCGATAGGCGGTGCCAACCTTGAACGCTTTAAATCCTATCATCCGACATCTGTGCTGCTGTGGTTCATGTACACCTCCGACCACCTCCTACATAGTACTAAGTAGGTAGAGACCTCGCTTAACGAATTCGTACCAACCCCATCACGCCAGTCTGAAGATCGTATTTTTGTGACGGAGGCGACGCTAGGAAAGACGTGGGGACGGCATACATACATTAGGTACTACTATGTATGTATGTAGAACGGATGTACGTTACTATGTACGTGCTAGCAAACCCCGCCGCGCCCCTGCTCGCATCCTCACATGGGCCTAAGAGCATATCTAACTCGATCTTGACATCAAACCCTGCGACAGGTAACGGTGTTGGGCGCTTCCAAGTTCGGAACGGGCTGAGATGAAAGGACTGCACCTCGACAAATTTGTTTGATATCTCCCACATCTCCCACGCCATCGACTTTATTTGAATTTTATTAACCTGATCGACTTGATCGACCCTGTCGAACAGCAATCACCCGGTCTCACGTCTGTGCCTTTTCCTCTTTACACGGACATGGAAATGGTGTGCTCGCACAACATAGGTACGTGCGCACAGTACCTACGTTGAACGTTGTATTTCGTTGCACACACTTTGCCTGGCCGAGGTCATTTCAATGTTAGGTATTAATGTATAAATGTAGAAAAGGATGGGTCGCAAATCTCGGCTTGACAGATCGCCATCTAATGAGGATCCTAGTTAGGAGGTAAGGTTGAAGTAGGTACCTAAGTGTTATCTTTTCTAAGGACGCTGGAGCGGTGGTGGTGGCGGATAGGGTTGGAAGTTGGAACCATACGTGTATTATACACATGTACCTAGCAAATACAACCAGAAGGTAACCCCAGTACGTACATGTATCTCCATCAAAGTACTTTTTGCTGATATGCTCATACTTTAGATTAGGTATGCGCATAGACTAAATAAATCAGAGAGATATATCTACATATATCCTGGTTAAATACATACAATATATGTGGGACACTACGGGAGCTAGTAGCTCGATGTACACGATGGTACCTGATAACGTCTAGCCCTCTACGCTACCCGTCCTTTCCACTGCCACATCCATGTCACCACAAACTACAACTTCTCTAGTCTCCCCCATCCCATACCACGTTTTCTCTCATCTTCTGTCTGTCAATGTCGAACGCGATATTTACTACGATGTGCAATCCGAGGCCATTGACGCCACACAACTTTCACGTTCACAATTGGCATCGTTCTCATTGCGTATTATTCCATGTATCGCCCAGTAGACTTCATGCAAGTGTTGTCGGTAGAGGATCTCAGTCCACTTATTCATCGTCATAAGTTGGATACCGATACCATACTCTGGATACCTCTGGGCCGGTTTTCTGCAAATTGGAAATCAAATCGAAATACAACAAGCAACTCTCACACAGCTCCTTTTATCTGGATCTTAACGAGGAGGAGGAAAAGGAAAGACTTCGATCTGTTGCAGTGGTTCGACGAACTCATGTTCCGCCAGACAGATTGACCTTTCGTTTCAACTACGAACACCGTTGCTATTTCATCGCAAGCGGTGTCCTCTGAAGACAGCGTACCTATTCCCGCTCGTCCCCTCTGCGGAGGTTGACGAGCGTGGTCAAGTTCAGGCAGAGACAAGATGCACTTGTACTCATCGCCGCCGCCGTTCCGTAACCCAGACCAGGATAAGCCAACACTTTTAGTTTGTTGGTGGATTACGCTGTTTTGCACAGTCATAATACTATTGCGCATTGCCGGTCGTTTCGTTCGATCCGAGAAGTTGTTTAGGGAAGACAAAACGGCTGCATTGGCTATCATCCCGCTCTATCTGCGCATGGGATGTGTTCACATTATCCTGCTTTACGGAACTAACAATGCACATTTCACCGAGTTGACGGACGAAGACATTCATAAGAAGTCGATAGCTAGTGGCTTGGTGCTTGCTAGCCGGATATTTTATGCGGCAACGTATGTACTCTATCCCTTGAACCCTATGAGCTTTTCCTAGCCTATCCGGACTAATGAGCCGGATGCCCGTCAAACATGCCTAGTTTATGTTATATATGCTAACTTACTCCTAACTTAAGGCTCTGGATCCTTAAATTCGCCATTCTCGAATTCTTCAAACGCTTAACGAGTATTACCTGGAAGCGTTCACACGAAATCACTCTAATATTCATACGGGCTACCCTAGTTGCGACTTTCGTAGCTGTTCTAATAGCAGATTTGACAGAATGTCGCTCATTCGTCCGCTATTGGCAAGTTGTGCCGGACCCTGGCGGCCAATGCCGTCAGGGATTCGCCCAGCTCATCACAATGGCTGCTTGCAATATCTTAACCGACCTTCTCCTCGTTTTCTACCCGATTCCTATTATCCTTACTAGTCACATGGGCACTAAGAGGAAGGTTCAATTAACACTGCTGTTTTCTGTGAGCTTGGCTGTCGTGGCGATGACGGGGTATCGTGTTCCTCGTATAATTCGTGCGCATGGGAGCCAGCAGCTACGCTCTTTGCTTGCTTCTGTTGAGATCCTCTTCGCTACAGCCGCGGCTAACACTCTGGTTCTTGGATCATTTGTCCGAGATCGGGGCGTAAAGAAAACTAGGTATAGGCATAACTCCATGATTGCCGAATCTGTTGACTACTCGATCGAACGTAGGACTCCGTATCAAAGACATTGGGGCAGTGACGAGGATTTGGTGAGAGGTCTGGGTCTCGGTGCGGACCGTGAGCTCCAGGATGCCGTAAGACGACAAAATCAGGGCGAAAAACCAGCCAAACCTGTCTTAGCCGTGGATACTTGGCAGCTCTCTCGAAATCGTCAAAGCAACGCTACGCATAGTTTCTTAGACCGAGACCAAATTACTACATCTAGAAGCAACTCTGCCATAACACCTCGCAAAGTTTCATTCTTCGATGTTGGTGGACTACTTGATGGCGAACCATCTCGAAGCGGACGAGACAGTCTTAACTCTAGCCTTGGGCCACCATCATCTCTCACCCCAAGCGCTCCTTCCTCTGTTAAGCAAGCGACGTCCAATGGAATACGTCGCGGCTCTCAGGTAGTACTACAAGACTTAAGCGGTCTTCTCAGCCCTCTCAACCCTAGACAGTCTCGATCGAGCTCTAATAATGGAACCGAACTGGAATCAATACCTCAGCACCCTCAAGAAGCAACGCAAGATTCTTCCAATAGCCGCAGTAGTTCAAATGACACAGACGGGGACACAGATGCGGATAAAAAAGACTAGGGGTTGGTGTTCCTCGTGAGACGGCACTCGGGGCAATTTAAGGTTTCCCCAAGTCTATGGTAACCCACCTCGGAGAAGAAAGATCGACCTAGGTCAGCAACCATAAGTGACACATCGTCTTCCTTTACCACGACATTGATCATAAAGTAACCCACAGGGCCGCCTATCTCGTACTCTCGCATATTCAGGAACTAGCAGGTTTCTGCCGTCAAAACGCCTAATAGGCTTTAGGATCTACCGAGCGAAATATTGCTCTTTACTTATCTATTGAACATGATTATATCATGAGATTATGACGTGGACGTTTCAACTTTTTTTTTTCTACGTTGTTTAAACATACCTGCATACGAAGATTTTCAACGACACAAGATCTAATAAATACTTAATCACACATTTTCTATAACAGCGACCACGCCGGCCCAGAAGACTGGATTACACGGTGTTTTCGGATTAAGATAGGGGTTTAATCATGATACCACGAATACGGGCATATAGGGGGTTACAAGTGCCACTTTGGAGTTGTACAATATAGGTGGATATGGGATACCAAAAAAAGTGTACCGAGCGGCATATTCTAAGGAGTATGACATCAAGGATAGAGGACATATGAAATGGTGTTCTTGTCGCCATTTACTGATTTATGCTATATACCCCAAGCGCCATGCGCTTATATCTATCAAGTATCAAAATATAAATACGTGATATGTAGATGTGAGGTTCTACATCTCGTCTACACTTCACTATTTAATCATTAATTTATCTGCCAACTTTGTGATACTGCGTCTATAAGAACTGGAACATACGGGAATGGTCGAGTATGCTGAATTCAAGACATTGAATTTACGTTTGGCAAGGAACATCGACGCGAACCGGCAACATCCAAGGTCGTGCGTAATAAGTTTGACAGGTATTTGTGATTACTAGACTACAATTTTCCTTTTCTTCTTCTCCTCCCTCTTCGCGTAGCAGTTCTAAGTCTAAATTGCTAATAAGAACGAGGCCCTCTTCTTTCGTCTTCTCGATTAATAGGGAAAAATCAACCTCTGATCGAAGTACCTGCGGGGATAGACATTGTACCTAAAGAACAGCTCCCCCCATCGAGCTGCTGCAGACCAAAAAAAACGCCGCCCTCTGCCAAATCAAGTCAATGCTCGTAGACGCCGGTATTTTTGCAAAGCTTTTTTTTCTTTCTTTCCTTCTCGTATCCTTTTTCTTCTTTTTCCACTCGTTTTACCGTAGATAGAGACAACTTATGTGGATGGGTGGGTTGTCGTCGGTTCGGGGGTTCGGGGAGTTGTTTTTCTTTCATACGCACAATCTGTAACTGGCGTAACGACCGGCCGTCTCGCTGGAGCGGATGATCTTGACGACCTGGCCGCGCTTCATGCCGAAGTACTTTGCGACGGGGTCCTTCTGGAGGATGCGGGGGAGCTGTGTCTCCTTAAGGCGGTAGCGCTTGAGTAAGGCGGCCTTCTCCTCGCGGCTGAGGAGGACGTGGCGGGGGACGAGCTCGTGGTGGGTGATGTTGATGAGCAGGTCCTCCTCGAGGAACCACTCGATGGAGGTCCACTGGGCGAACTTGGCGATCTCCTTCTTGGCCGAGGCCGACACGGCCACGTGCGACACCAGGATTCCCGTGCTGTGGTTCTCCTGCGCGCAGAACTTGCCGAACTTGCGCATGTGCTCCGCCCCCAGCGAGTCCTCGTCGTGGAACTCCACCCATATCGTGCCCACGTCCGCTTTCGGGTCCGGGTTCGACGGCGTCGCGGGCGGGGTGAGCTTCTTTATCAACTCCGGGCTCGGTCGCGCTGAGAACTTGAGCTTCGAACGTCTTTGTACATTTTTGGCATCATGTTAGCTAGGTATTCTCCACCGGAGGTAGGCTTCCGAGTGTTTTCGAAATACGTACACGACAGTGCCGTCCATGTTACAGTAGATGTTCTTGAAGGATTCTAGCGAGATGTTGACTTCTGTCTCGGAGAGCTCGTAACCCTAGTAGCGCATTAGTATATACGCCTTATATGCGCAGTAGAACGATATCACGTTGCGCGGTTATGTATCGAAAACTGAGAGTCGTCGATGATGAGAATGGTTGTATTCTTACTCGGTCTTGGACCATCTCATGAACGGTTCTCCATGCTCGCCACGTCTTGACCGCGACCTTCTCGATCGCGACGTTGTTGGAGTTGTTCTCCTGATCCGACATCGCGAAAGCTACGCGGCTCTAGTAATTTCGTATGCGAAAAATCGAAGTATGTACTCTATTAGATAATTCGTCGTGAGGCTTTGATGAGGTGGGCGTGGAAGTTGAAGAATTGAAAAGTTATTAAAGAAAGACAATGCAAGTTCAGCCTTGCGTTACGAAGATGAAAAATTCCAAGGTATTTCGTACCTGTCTGGCTTTATCTGGATTCTGCAGGGGGTCAATGGGTCAATGCAGATAAGGTACGTACCTGTCATGTTATGGTCAGTGCGTAACCTTATATCCTTGCATGGGCACGTAACACTGTAATGTAGTGGGCCTCGCCCATTGCTTAGGTACGTAAGCCACCCTACAACACCAAGAGGAAAGCCCATCTAACTTATCTCACAAAGTATCTAAGGCGAGTCACACAACAAAATAAGGCTAGTAAGCAGATTGGCGGGGGACCTAGGACGTTTTAAGGTACCTGTAGCGGGAGAATCTCGGTTAGGCTTTGTGAATGAACACGGTGCCCACAGAGGAAAAAACGCTGAAGCACGAGCCACAGCCACTAAAAGTTAATGAATTGAAACTAGGTTTAAGTTTCAATTGTTAAATCGAAATCTTTTTTTTTAAACACTATATATATATCTAGTGGACGTGACTCCGAAATTTTCCTCCGCTGAACGTGGCAAGGCCTTCAAGGACCCTGAGATCTGGCCTCCTTTCCTCCTCCCCCCTTGGTATCTCTTGGGTTTACCATTCACTTTTTTATGACCTATTTACCTACCTAGGCATTACTCTCTTTCCGTTTTATATAATAAATCAAGACTTCGCTCTCTGATCCCCATCCTTTGCCATTTCGCCTCGTTCCATTCATTCTCTAACTAGTCCCTACGTTATAGAAAAGCGACCATGGCTGAGGTAGCTAACACACCTACCCCTGCCCCGGCGGGTGAGAACAAGAAGCCCGAGAAGCCCAATACCGAGCTCTTCCAGCAGCAATTGGCTAAGGCCGAAAAGGAATACCAAGATGCTCTCACTAGATATGTAGGTTGCGCACCCGCAATGGACCACGGGGAGAGTTCTATTCGTATTAATAAGGAAAACATAGAATGCTGTTAAGCAAAAGGTAGAGCTCGTCACGGGAAACAAGAACAAGGACACCCAGTCTCCTCTCCAGAAGCGCCGCCAGGAGCTTATCGCCCAGGCCAACGAGATCCGTAACAAGCAAGGCGCCGGCAAGAATGCTCGTAACACCAAGATGGATCAGATCAAGCGTCTCGATGAACAGCTACGATCCCGAATCGCCGAGCAGAAGAATGCGCGTGGCAAAGTAAACTTCAAGAGCGTCGAGGATCTCGACCGTGAGATTGAGCGCTTGGACAAGCAGGTTAACGGCGGCATGATGAAGCTGGTCGACGAGAAGAAGGCTTTGGCCGAGATATCCAGCCTTCGAAAGCAGCGCAAGAACTTTGCTCAGTTCGACACCTCGCAGAAGGGCATCGACGAGCTCAAGGCTAAGATCAAGGAAATCAAGGACAGCATGGACGACCCCGAAGCTCGTGCGCTAAGCGACCAATACACCAAGATCCAGGCAGAGCTCGACACCATCAAGGCGGAGCAAGACGAAGCATTCAAGAACCTGAACTCCCTGCGCGACGAACGAAGCAAGCTGCAAGCTGAGCAACAGGAGAAATACCTGGCCATACGCAAGCTTAAGGACGAGTACTACAGTGCGAAGAAGGCTTTCGGCGAGTACGAGCGTGAAGCACGCCAACGAGTCCGAGAACGACAGAGGGCCGAGCGCGAGCGCATCGAGAAGGAGAGGAAGAAGGAACGTGCCCAGAAGCTGCTCCAGGAGGCCAGCGACCCCGCCTATCTCGAGGAAATCCGAAGAGCCAACAGTCTGCTGAATTACTTTGACCCGTCCTCCGCCCCTGCCGAGAAGGCACCCCTTCTAGCTGATAGCGGTCTGAGTGCTCAAGCTTCACGTAAGGTTGACGACTCGGGCTTGAAGGGCGTCAAGCTAGTACGAAAGGAAGAACGCGAGGACGAATACCTACCTGCCGTGAAAAAGGGCAAGAAGGGCAAGAAGGGCGGCCACGCCGAAAAGAGCACCCACACCGAAAAGGGCTTCAACTTACCCCCTGCCGTCATCGACGACTGCTCATTCTTGGGAATTAACCCTCCTATGGGCCCCGAAGACGTTGCTGCTGCTGTCGAGAAAGTCAAGGCTAAGCTAGAACACTGGAAATCCGACCAGCAGGCCCAGACTCAACGTGTGAGTTATCAACCTAGAATTGGCATTTTGAAAAATTACTAACAAAGCGTAGAACATTGAGAAGGCCAAGAAAGAAATCGAGAAGTTAGAAGCTGAGGAAGCTGCTGAGGCTTCCGGTACTGCGACACCTAACGGCGTCAACGGGGACAACAAGTCGGATGACAAAGTGGCCGCCGTAACGTCGGATCTGAAGGAGGCATCATTGGAGGAGACATCGGCTTAGATGTCCGATGCGCCACCAATTGCCAACCACCAGTCAGTCGAGGTTAAATAGATGGATTCTCGGGTCGGGAAATAAGAAAAAGAAAAAAGAAAGAGAAAAAAAAGCCTCTATCGCCACACAATATCCAAGCTCAATTCCTGATTTGAGAGAGGAAGGGTGGACTACTGTTTTTGTTCTCTCACATGGGACAACAAAATTAACAAAAGGGGGGGGGCTTGGCTGGCTACAGGGAGGGATAAAAAACATTTTCGAGGGTCAGATTTCACAGCATTATTACCATGTATCTAGCACAGCACTAAGACGCCTACCTACCTAAGGTAACCCCATTCCCGTATTTCCCTCTTACATATTCATGTATATCCTTCTCTCTGTGTCTTGTGGCTCGTTCGTGTCCCATTTCTTTATGAGTGCAAGTCTGTCTGTTCTAGCTTGGTGAGATATAGTGAGCGGTCTCTTGTCATGTGTAAGTTGTATTGATATTGGAAGTAAACAAAAAGAAATAAGGATAAGATTGATAACCAACGCAAACGACAGGGCGGCGGCATCGGCCGAATAGCCTCGATTGCATCACATATATTGCATACATTAAGTACGCAACACCCGATCCCCCCATTCGGCGAGCTGCCTTTGCGAGCTTCGTTCACTTACATAGTAGCTGCTGTCCTCTATGCAGTACATACATACATACATCTATACTGTACATCTAGGTATGCCAACCTTACGTGATCCTCGGGGGGGACCCTATTTATTTCCTTTTTTTCGGTCTGAACAGGTATTATGATTCGCCCTTACGTTTTTTTTTTTTATGTCCCCCCTTCTAATAGATGGATGCTATGGGGGACGGGGGCGGGAACGGAAGGGGAGCAGTCTAACGCTGTATAATAAATGACTGACTTAAACGTGCATGGACGATGTCTCATAAAAACATTGGGTCGGGTCCATCCCCCTCCATCCATCGTCGTCTGTGCCAGTGGCTCGTCTTCCGTCCCGGCAGATCCAAGTGGAGACGAAGCAAGTTAGGTGGGTAGGTAGGGAGGCGGGATAGGATGGATGCGTGATATGGTAATATATTCCTAGGTATTATACGAAAGTCTAGTATATGTTTTTATTTACATGCTCGTGATCATATCGATATACATGTTTTTCTACTTGTCCTTGGTAGCTCACATTGAAAACATCGTGATATATCAGCTTATACACTACGAGTCAGAAAGAGAGGTAGATAGATAGCTGAGGTTAGGTTAAGTTAGGTACTCACTCATATGCCATGCAAAGTAAACTACAAATCTCGACCGAATTTACCTTACCACCCAACCAATATATTCGTCAGAGGCAGCAGACAGACACATATCATATCACTCGCATCATCAAATCCCCTAGCCCATACAATAACAACAACAACAAACATCACTCGGCCATTACTACCCTTTTCCTTCCATTTCCCTAAAGCTCCTCTTCACTGCCGAGGTCTTCGCTGATTCAACCCCCGAAGCCGGGGGACAGCTAATCACGTATAAATGGTAGGCTAGGTACCTACCTAATGTTATATGAATAAGAGTTAGATACGTACATGTATATATAAAAAAATGGAAGTCTCGCCCACTTCCCGTCGCCTACGTGTCAGCCGCATCGCCATAGGGCGGGGGGAAGCACCAAGGGGGCGCGTGACTTGAACGGAAAGCTACAGCAAGCAAGCAGCTCGTAACTCACTCGCTCAACTCACTCACTCATTCCCCTGTTGCCGTGTCCTGCCTGCCCTACCTGATCTGATCTGATCTGATGCTTTTCTTGATGCCCGGCTGGAGGGACACGTCTGTCCACCCTACCGAATCCGAATCAAACCAAAACGTAGCCCCCCTTCACCTCCCCCCAAATGGAAGAGAGGGAAAAAGAATGAGAGACGGACAAAAAAAAAGACGCACATGTTGGCTTTGTTTGCCTGCCAACGCCCATATCCGTGGATCGTTCCGGACCACGATGGACTAAGACAAGGTTTTAATTAATTTTGTTGTATATTGATTTGACTAAAGTACCTCGCTCTGCTATGCTATGCTATGCTCTTCTCTCCTCTCCTCCGCTTGGATGGATGGACAAGTCGATACAGGTACCTTAGGTAGGTAATATCGTACCTAGCTCCGCTCCCAATCACCCATTCACTTTCTTACCCAACCTTCCTGCCTCCCCTTCCCTTCCCTTTCCATCTCTCTCGCGTAGGTAGCCAACCAATAAAAAAAATAAAGTAAAAAATAAAAAAAAATCCCGTCCATACGTGCCGATATCGGGCACGGACAACAGCAGTAACATCGGCAACAAACACAGCATAGCACAGAAAAGTGAAACAACCACCAAAATAAGGGCAAGTTCATGAGAATAAAAAAAATGAAGCTTGCCGGACCCCTTGCCCTTGCTCTTGCTCTTGCTCGTCCAACCAATAGGTCACCCAATTGGAACAAACAAACAACAAACAGACCACTCCGTACGCCCACGATAGATAGATATTTCCCAAGGAAGAAAATTTGCCATCCGTCTTAGAAATGACTCCCAAGGTCGAAGTAGAAACCAGCTCCTGGAAGGAAAAAAAGGCAGCAAAACAAAATGAATAGAATATGTGTGTGTGTGTCTTGTTTGAGTTGTGAGTTGTGTATATTTGTTTGTATGTGAGTTGAACAGTTTGTCCGAAAAAAAAAGAGCAGATGTCTCGCCGCTATGCAGAAAAGAAATGGTATCTGGGACGTCTCTTTCCCTCCCCTTCCCAATCCATGCAACAGATACGGTGATCATGATGCGTCTTTCGTGGTCTCGTCAGTTACTTTCCTTCCTTCTTCTTTTCCAATTAGCTTCAATGAAAAGAGAAGAGAAAAAAAAGAAGTATGTCGTATGTCGTATGTCGTCGTGGTTATTGTGCGTAGGTTAGGTAGGTAGATATGCCATGCTGTGTGTGTGCTGTGATCCAATTTTACAAGGGTGACGGAGAGGGTTGAGGGACAGGATAAGTCTAGGCGTAAAGCTGTCGAGGTCACAGGCCGGTCAGATAGAATAAATAAATAAGCTTCTTCTAAACCATCCCTCCAACCATTATCATTCCAACTACGACTTAGGTCAGTAGGTCTGGAAGTAAGCAGTCGGCGGTGCGGTCGGCGGCCGGTACGTGCTATGCCTTCTTTGAGGTCCGGGTGGCGGTGCGAGTGGGTTCCCAACCGGTCCCGGCGTCCTCCTATCTATCCTATCAATCCTGTCCATGGTGGGTGGAGGCGGTGTTCTTCTCGCGAGAGGGTTCCGTTCCCGTTCCCTCTCGTGGAAAGTATCCCCTGCTACCGTAGCATTAGACGCACCGCCCCGTCTGCTAACCTTCCGTGATCCGCTTAAGGCACTCAACGGAGGGTCTTTAACTGCAGGCTCGTCGTCTTGCGGGAGGGTCAATTCGACCAAACTGTAAAAGTATTCAAGCACTTCCGGGTATCGCTGAACGCTAGATTGCCAATCCTCGTCGATTCCTCTCTTCAGAGTCGCTTGGGCCGCGGCAATCTCGTTCGGATGCGGTGGAGCTTGGTAGTAGTGGTATGCGTGAGCCGCTAATCGTTCAAGATGTGACGAATGTGCAGCTTTACGTCGTTCCGTGAGCAGCCGGAAATATTCGAGTATATAGTCCTGAGCGTGTGATCGAACCCACGTACTATTTGCCATGTTAAGTTTAGTAGGCTGTTGTTATACTAGGGCTTGGCGTCGCTCGGAGATGCCGTGGGAGGTGTCGTGAAAGCACTTACCGTACGTCATTATATATGGATTGCATCATGCGGGCCTCTGCTTGCTCGACAGCAATCTCGAGCCCCTTAGCCTCGCAATCGCAGGCGAGGCTGGCGGGTGCGTGACAGATAGCACAGTCCGGGTCCATTCTGATGATGGACTTGCGGGGTTTATGTTCCCTGGTATACATCTTAGCGGCGTGAAGCCGGAGGTGGCGGGCAGGAGAGCCGGAATGTGGAAAGTGGTGAACATGGGGCGGAGGTGTAGAGTATAGATGGAAAATATTGTACGACAGCACTGTTCACTTGACGACCCGAGAAGGGTCCATGGCAAGAGGGAGAAGAAGAGGGAAAGGGAAGAAAAGAAACCGGGGACCAGGGCAAGGACAGGAAAAAAAAAGTGACTGACCTGTATTATGAACTATGAATAATAGTGAAGAAACAACACAGCAGGCTTGACAATGGGCAGAGTCGCAGCAGGACAACGTGGGAGCAAGAGGGGGAATTGGTCGAGAGGTGAGAAGCAGTCAGTGGCTAGCTTCAATCAGAAAGTTGGCCTGCAGGAGCCAGAGGCTGACCGCCCTGTTGAGTGTGCCGCGATAGTCAATTGAGGGCAGCAAATAAGGGGGACCGTAGTCAGTTTGCGTCCCGATGGCACCGATATCTGGGCGCGCAAGATACCGCTTGTATGGAGGCGTGGGGAACGCGGAGAGCGAGGGAAATTCCAAGAACCCGCGACGGGAGAGGCGAGGAATAGACTTATCGGGTGGATCAAACCGGGGTTGTCTTCGTCCCTCCTATGCGGAAGTGGGAAGTGAGGAAGTGATGGTTTTTGAGAGGCTGGTGGCTGGGAAAGAAAAAAAAGAGACTCTTTCTTTTGGACTGCGTTGTGTGTGTGCTGCAAGACTGGCGAGACTGCAAGAGGTAGAGAGAAAGCGAGCAAGCAGCGAACAGCGAACAGCGAACAGCGAGTGGGAGAAACACAAGTCAACCTATGGTAGGGGATTGGGATTTGCAGAGTTTACCTGCAGCATCGAAAAAAGCCCACAAAAAAAAGAGAAGCCAGACAGCCAGACAAGCCAGACAAGCCAGGAAGAGCTAGGAAGAGCCAATGGCTGGTGGGGAAAGGTACTTAGACGAAGAGCCCAGCGGAGCCCAAAGACGAGCTTAGCGAGCAAGGAGGTTCGTGAGGGGGGACGACAGTTATGTCCACGTTTGGCCACAAGGAGGAAATTTAGCTGTCGTGGCTCGAATAGGTGGCAGGATTACTAGTAGCATGCAGTGTGCATGAGAGTAACCCAATCGAGAGTTTGCATAATCCGGCCGGCCTGGTTGTTGCTGCACGAGCCAGTAGTTAAATCGAATGTTGGAGAGATGTGACCAGGCAATGTATATGTATACGTATATGTGTATGTAAGGTAGGTAAGGTAGGTAAGGTAAGGTAAAGTAAGGTGAGGTAATAAGTAGGATGTATGTACGGTTAAGATATAAATATGAATTGTAAATAAATATAAATGTACGATGGTATTAGTCGTGTACTATTACCTATATATCAGGCACGCAAAGAATAAGAAGAGGGAAAAAGAAGGGTGTGTTTTCCTTTCTTAATAATGTTTATAATAGTGTATATAGGTAAGGTTGTTGTAAAGCGAGTGGTTGTTATAAAAAAGGAATAACTAGAGACATAACCTAAAACGGATCAGGTGAGGGCGTCGAGATGGATGATAGAGCAATTGGTAAGGGATGGCTCGATGGTTAGATGTGATGGTTATATGAGATTAAACCCCTACTTTGTGTGATGACATGTTCCATTCACGTTAAGGTAAGGTATATATATATAATAACAATTATATATATAAGGTACCTACCTTTTAAGCCGACCAACAGAATAACAGAATAACAGAAACAGTAAAAACAGAGCAAAAAAAAGAGACGATCCTTCGAAGCGCTTGCTTCCCCGGCTTTGTCTGGGTCAGCTCGACATCCAAACGTGGCAGCGGTAATGGCGGTGGTAACTACGAATCGTACTAGTGGTAACAGTGCCAGTGCCCGTGTAAGCCGGTGGTGGTATAGTAGACCGTAGCGTCACTGATGATGTTCGATACATAAGGAGACGACCCGCAATCTCGAGACAGTGTTTGAGGCTCCGAACATTTCCATTTATTTGACTGGACGCCCGCCAAGCTTCAAGTTGCCTAGGGCCTGGGCTGCCCGCATTCTTTACCATCGTGCAAAGTGAATGGCGTCCTTGCTTTGGGGGCCACCCCGGCACTGCTCACCGCCTTTCGGGCGCATCGAGCGGCTCTAAAACACCTCCGGTTGAGACTAACCATTGGCGCCTATCAATTCCAGTGAAGCCCTTGTTTGAGCCAACTATGTTAAAAAGGGCTGTGACTGGACTGATCAGAGTACCTAAGGTAACTACACATCTTTGAGCGGTACTATATTAAGGTGTGCCAAAATCTCCTCGATTGGATGTTGTTCTGGTGATTTTCGCACTTATACATTAGGTATATAAAATTTTGTGTTGTGTTGCGTTGTGTTTTGTTGTGCTGCGCTGTCGTGCGAGGTTTGGGTCCTGTCTAACAACAATCCCGCGTTTTTGTTCCTTTGCCCCTTCCGGAAAAGATGATCCCGTTCGACCATGTGACCTGCCATAAAACCTTTAACCCGAAGCCGGCAGCCGGCATTGACCCGACCTGAAGCTAGGTAAAAAGCTAGAATGTTTAAATGGGGTTAAAAAAACAAAAAAAAGAACAAAGCGCTAGTCTTATCTTATCGACAACGCAATGCCACTTCGTCGTTATCAGATAAAAATTCATTATTTGGGGAAAAGATGACCTGAGAGGAAATGGCTTTTGGTCAGGTTCATCTTCAACCCAACCAGCGAGCTACCTAGGTTAGGAGCTTAAAAGCTACAGCTTTGCAAACGTCACCGACGACTATGAATTTAATAATATAGTTTCAAACGATACCCCCGCCCAAAATGCCTCCAAGGTGTACTCCTCCGGGCTCCGGCATATTCCTGCCGTTCCTCTACCCGACCCTCTTTCGATCCGCATCCTCGCGTATAATCGGCCGGGCGAAAATCACCACCACAGTCCTACACTCCTCTAGCCCCTCCCCCTCCCCCTCCCCGAATTCTACCCAGCCCTCGTCCTCAAGCGACGCCCTGCCCTCCTCACGCCTCAACCCGGCGCCGGACGACTACGCGATATCGACCTTTGCGGACAAGGCGCGCATCACGGTGCACGCGGGGGGCGGCGGTCATGGCTGCATCTCGTTCCTGCGGGAGGCCTTTCTCGCGAACGGCCCCGCGAACGGCGGCGACGGCGGGCACGGCGGCAACGTGTACATCCAGGCCGTGCACGGCGAGACCTCGCTGCACAAGCTGGCGCGGCGCCGCATCCTGCGCGCGGGCCGCGGCAAGACCGGCCAGGGGGGCAACCGCGGCGGCGCCCGCGGCGACGATGTCGTCATCCAGGTGCCCGTGGGGACCGTGGTCCGGGAGCTCAACCGCATCGACCCCGTCGTCGAGGAGAACATCCGGTACCGCGAGGCCAGGGCGCGCGAGCGCGAGTACGAGCGGCTGGTGAGGGAGTCCGAGGCCGAGGACGTCGAAGAGGCTATCCGCGCTGAGCTCCCCGAGGCCCCCGAGCACCCGCACTTGGACAAGTTCCTCCTGTACCCCGGCATATCGAATACCGAGCGCCGCAGCCTGACGCTGCCCCGCCTCCCGCGCCGCGACCGCTTGTACGTCCAGCCCGAAGCCCCCATCTATCTCGACCTGTCGGCGCCGACGCCGCAGCCCATCCTGCTAGCCGCGGGCGGGATAGGGGGCCTGGGCAACCCGCACTTCGTGTCGAAGGAGCGTCCGCGACCGCTCTTCGCGACCAAGGGCGAGCGCGCCGTAAGTCTGCAGCTGGAGCTGGAGCTCAAGCTCCTCGCCGACGTGGGTCTGGTGGGGCTGCCCAACGCCGGCAAGAGCACGCTCCTGCGCGCTCTGACGAATAGCCGCGCCCGCGTCGGCAACTGGGCCTTCACGACCTTGCAGCCGAACATCGGCACCGTCGTGCTCGACAACCACAAGGGGCGCCCCGTCGTGCCCCCGCCGAAACCCTCGCCCCCGGCCCCGCACGCCGTCATCCGTGACGCCAAGTACGGGTCGGTAGTCATCTCGCAGCGGGACCAGCTGGGCGCGCCGGCAGGCTATTACGGGACGGGGCCGGCGGCGCCGGAGCCGCGGACGCGCTTCACGATCGCCGACATCCCGGGGCTCATCCAGGGCGCGCACCTGGACCGGGGCCTCGGCATCGAGTTCCTGCGACACGTGGAGCGCGCGGGGGTCCTGGCGTTCGTCGTGGACCTGAGCGCGGGCGACGCCGTGGAGGCCCTCAAGGCGCTGTGGACGGAGGTCGGGCTGTACGCGCGGATGCGCGAGGACGAGGAGCGGGACCGGGAAGCCGCGGGCCGCATCGATTGGGAGGGGGACGGTAGCAGTTCCCCGAGCGCCCGGGCTGCCGGTAGGAATATGACGGGCTTCGGCGGCGGCGGGCACATGATGGTAACGTCGAATTTCCCGGAGCCGATGCCCGGCGAGGAAGGCGGGTTGCACATCGCGGCGAAGCCGTGGTTCGTGATCGCCACGAAGGGCGATTTGGAAGGGACCCAGGAGAACTACGCCCGGCTGAAAGAATACCTAGATGCCGTTACGGATGGGCGGGAACCGCATCCTAGCGGAGTCGAGGACGCGTGGATCGAGGACTGCGCTGCGATACCCGTGAGTGCTATTAATGGACACGGCATGGGCAGGATCATACACTGGATAGTAGGATTATTAGACGAGTCATGAACAGAATAAAGAGAGAGTGACTCGGATCTCGGAGCTGTGGACGGATGCATTTTTTATACGTGGCATGCATGTATGTACCTATACTGCTAAAGTCCGAATCTGCTATAATGTACATAGAACGACTTATTCCCATAATGAACCTCGTAGCAAGTAAAAAAGTGAAGCTTTTCGATATATCAACACAAAACAGCATTTCCGCCCATGTCTTTGTGTTATACGAGTCCTCGACTAACTTCAAATTAATTCATAACCTTGGACAAATTTAAACCGGTTTAAACAACGGGCGGAACGCAAGGCAGGTTCCCTAATTAGCCTCCATCTTGGCATCTTCCGCCATTTCATCACCGTTAGCTTCACCAGGCTGCTCGGCCGTTTCGTTTTCGCCGCCAGCTTCTTCGACTGCGGGCGCATCTTCCAAGACCTCATCTTCCTTGGTCTCGGGATCCGCCTCGGCAGCCTCCTCTTCTTGTTTCGCCGACTCCTTTAACGTTCGGTTGATAACGGGTGTAGTGTCATTGAAGACACGGAGAAGCATCGCTGAACGGTCCTCCTTTGGCAGCATCAGGTTTAACGAGTGGAAGCTCTTCCACAGCGGAAGCACCATGCGCTCTGAGAAGTCTGGATCGCTTCCATCGGGCTCGACGATGAGAATACAGCAACCCATACCAATTTCCTTGGCCCGCTCGCCAATTTCGTTAAGCTTTTTCCAGTCCTCGTCGATGAACTTCGGGAACATCTCCTTTAGGAGCCTATGGAAAGTCTCCTTGTTCATTAAGCGCACGACACGCTCGGGACCGACATAACCTTCGATGATAGGCATGCCCTCTGATTGTATTCGCCATCTGCAAACCTCCGCAGACGGGGCATCTTGCTTCATGAACATCTTAACACCTCCATGCACAAACTTAACCCCACGACCTTCGTTTTCAGATAAGATGTCCCTAAGGAGTGCACTTGTGTAGTAGATAGCTTTCGCAGGTTCGCCCGTAGCATTTCGTACCATAAATCGATCTGAAGGAAATCTTGGAGATACTTTATAAAACTTTTGAATATCCTGGATGACGTGATGGTCTGGTGGTAAGTATTTGAATGGCTCTTCGTAATTGCCATCAGAGGGCTTGACTTTTCGGTCAGGTTGGGTATTCTTTTGAGTTGTTTCGGGCTCCGGTTTGGCTTCTTCCGGCTTAGATTCCGAAGATACTTGTTCTGTTTCGGGAACAACTTCGGAGACAATTTCAAGTTGAGCCTCCAAGATCTCACCTGGAGGCGAGGCAGTTTTTTGCTTTTTGGTATCTACTTGTGTCTCCGCTTCATCATCTAGAGTCCTCTTAACCCCAACTGTTGGCAGTACATCAGTTGGCTCGCCCAAAGCAGCCTTCTGTTCTTCTATCTCGATCTTGGCTTCCGTTTCTGCCTTGTCAGCGCCATTGGTGCTGGTGGTGTTGGCAGGGGCCCGACTTCGAGCTTCTGGCTTGGCTTTGAATTCCTCCTTCTTTTCTAGCACTGTGATGAAAAATCCGCCGGTATCCTGTTGGTGGGCGTACACTCGCATACAACGGTCCAGCTCTAGGCCGGAACAGTCGCTAGTATCTGGCCTGGGGAACATGGTTTCTGTGAGCTTGCCGGGTATCTGACCCTCCGTTGTTAGGACGTGTTGCTGAACTTCTTCCCAGCTGCTCCAAACGCGGCCAGATTTGTCCATAATCTGCCATTGGTGCATTCCCGGGCTTCGCTTCAGTAGAGGAAGTCTATCTTTGCAGTCGACAATCTGGATCTTGCTGGGACCGCCACAGCGCTCGATCGCGGAAACAACAACCGCTTCGTTCTCAACGGGATTCATGCTGCACGTCGAATATACGACTCGACCACCAACCTTCAGCATCTGGAGAGCACGAACCAAAATCCGAACCTGGGTGAGATGAAGTCCTAATGCGTTACCCGGTTGCCAATCCTTCCACAAGTTGATGTTCTTCCTCAGAGTCCCGTCCCCTGAACAGGGCACGTCTGCAAGTATCCTGTCAAATTTTAAGTATTGCCCCTTCTCCGGGTGGTCTGGGTGAGACGGCAGCTTGATAGCGGGGTAAAGAGTTGCGTCGTGGTTTGTAACGAGAAGATTAGGGGAAGAAAGTCGCTTAAGTTGGTGGACAAGCATGTGACTCCTCTTATAATCCGCATCATTGGCGATGAGTAGTCCAGTCGCGCGGCCGTCATCGCCGGCATCCACTGAAAGGTCGACGTCAACGTCAACGGTCTCCGACTTATTCTCGCCGAATGACTGCATGAATTTCCGGACTCTAGCCTCCTCTCCCGCATGGACCATCTCGAGCAATTGGGCAGCCTTGCTTCCGGGCGCGGCGCAGAGGTCCAAAACAGTCATTCCAGGCTCGACATCCATCAGTAGAGGCGGAATCATACTGACAACTTCCTGTCGGCTGATATTGCCAACGGTAGTTTCCGAGACTAGGAACTTCTGGAAGGCGGCAAAGGGAGGAAACTTGCGGATGACATGCTTAGGGGTATTCATGGAGTATGCGAGCTGGTCGGGGTACCAAGGGACCGGCTGAGGAGCCTGTACAGGCTCGCCATCGTAGCGCTCGATCTTGACGATCTCAGGCGCATACCTCGTTTCTAGAAGTCGCTTGACCTCGAGCGCGTGGCCTTTCGATCCGCAGAAACGGAACGAATTAGGTAGCTCCCTCTTCAATGCTTCCCAAAACTCGGATCTTTCTTGATCCTCAAAAGGTAAAGCGCTATTGTAGTACTTTTCGAGGTTCTTGTTCTCCTTCACGATATCGTTGTAGGATCGATACGGCGCCGGGCCGTCGCCTCGAGGAGCACGATTAGAACCGCCTTTGCGACCACCCTATTGTAAATGGTTAGAGTAATTTGATATGAGTTTATAAGACATAAATAAATAATAGCGATTAATATTTACCCTGAACTTCTTTCGCCCCATTTTGATATTGTTTGCGAAAGTTATTTGAATTGAAAGCTTTCGCAGACGAAATGTTGAAAGGTTTAAAATTGAAGCTCTTCTGCAAAATAGACGCCAGAGAAAGCTTAATTAAGTTCGTGCCCCACTACTATGTATCTTATCTGCCCCACCAAAGCTTTTTAGCCCTTCAGGCTTCAGCTGATACATTTAGCCCATTGTTACATACGTATACTGCTTAGTAGAATATATGTATTTGGGCATAATGTTTTTCTTAAGAGATGACCCCTATTAGTTCCCTCAAAACATACCTATTTTTAAGATAGGGATTTTAAGGTATCATTACAACTTTACCATTGAATTACAATAGTTTTTTTTTATCTAGATACCATGTTTGCTACGAGTATAGGAGACTTAAAGTGGGCCGTGGGTCGTGGTCCTACAGGTGCTTCTCACGTCAGGTTAACCTCATATAAAGTCCCTTGTGAAATGCCTCCTCGTTAATTTATTAGGATTTTCAGTCAAATAAATAGAGAAGTAGAGGATCTATCATGATACTTCTAAGCTATCTTAGCTTAATGCAACAGAAAACAGCCCAAGTAGAGTGCAGTACAGTACTGCCTACACAAACACCTTATTCGCCGCCTATCCGGACTACTCAAGACACTACAAAAAGAGAATCCTGAGGCCGACGTAAACCTATGCCCTCTTATTCATGAACTCCTTCCTATCTTATTCAGCCTGAGCCTTTCAGAACTTTCCAAGCCTCCTGGAAGCTACTGATGTCCCGCTCAAGCTTCTCTCTTCGTCGCTTAACGGGTATGTCCTCTGCCGCGATCGCGTCTAGTTGCTCATCGGTGAGCTCCAGTACCATTTCCGTGTTGAATATCTTCAACGGGTTGCATTTGCCGTGCAATAAATCGTAGTTCACAACCTGCTGGCAGACTACATCGACGAACCGCTTGCGGGAGACCTTGTAGTAGCTCTTAAGTATATCATGCATATACTCCTGAACATGTTCCGAGTTCGCCATATTGAAGGACAGATTATGCAATTGTGCGTGGGTTAGGAATATGCCATTTTCATACTTGTTAGTGCTCCCTTCTGGCGCGCGGATAGATGTTTCTGATCCGAGCTCTTTAATAGCGTCTACCAGACGACCGCTCTGGGCCCGTTGGAGGGCGTCATTGAAATAGTGATTGAGCGTTAGGGGCTGGCCATCGTGCTCAACTTCGAGTAGAAACATCACGCGACTAATGGCTTCGCGGTAGGCTTTCTGAAGCTCTTCCAGAAGGAATCCATTCCACAGCTCGTCACGGACGCGTTCGTCAGGGCAAGATTCTTTGATTGCCTCGAAGATGAAATGGTGGACGATCCAAATAACTCGCTTCACGTAATCCAGCGTAATATTCTTCCAGTTCTTAGATTGCTCTTTGAACATAGTTGACACAAGAGCATTGCTGAACTGCCAAGCATGTTAGTTGGACAAGGTACCAGAAGTTTTACGTTTTACATACTGTTCCAAGGTCTTGACCACGACTATCACGGTAGACTCTCGCAATATAATCCATGATATCATCTTCATCGCTAACGTCTTCTATCACCTCCAGAGAATCATCGAGGATCTCTTCGAGTTCGGGGTAGGTGCCGTCATCGGGCTTAGGGGCCCTGCGAGCGCGGTCAGCACTGCCCACTGGCGTGCTTATTCTAGAGACGGTCTCTTCCTTAGGTATTGAGTCGGATGAAAAAGGTCTGGTGTGCCCATGCGCCAACATGGTATCTGAATAGATTTCATTCATTTCGACAATGCGTGTAATGAGCCTAAGATCATGCCTTTCCGCAAATATCTTGTTGCCAGCATAGTATGCGTTCAAAGCGTCCCGAACTAGGGCCTGGAATGACTGGCATATTTTGTTCAGATACGCCCTCTGCGCGTCTTGGTGATCTCTCGATGGACCCATCTTGTTGAGATCTGATTTTAGCGTCGATAACTCCCTCGCGACATCGGTTTTAAGTTTTGGGAACTCCTTCTTGATAAGCTCAGTAAGGAGGTCACGAACACGCTTCTTCAACGCTTCCATACCCGCCCTTTCCGTATTTCGGAGTGATGACCAGGGCGACTCAGAGAAGAACTTTTTCTCGTCGGCTTGGCCCTGTTTAAGTGTCTTATGGGCGTCATCAGGACCGCGATTCTTGACAATGTAATATCCAAGCACGAGGTCACCCCTCTTGCCATTAACGTGGTCGATAGCAATCTGCTGCATAACTCTTTCGATTGCTAGGTCCGGCTTGGTAAGAACGGCCATAGTACGAGTCATCAAGGGGTCTGCCTCCTTGGCCAACTTGAGAATTTCCTGAGTAGCAGGATCAACCTAGTAAATGAAAACATGCTGTGTCAGCTTCGCTATCATACTATCCTGGACATCGCACTTACTAGTAAACGTTAGCAATCTTGAACCTTGTAAAGGCAGGTTTTCCAAAACATTCTAGAATAATAATGTGAAAATAACTACACGAGACGTTTTTATACATACCGTTACTGGGCATTATCGCCAATATACTGTAAAGGGATGACCGTATTAGTAGGTCCGATTACTACTGGAGTATCAGTTGCAACTTACATGGTTCTTGGATCCTTCACTAGAGCGCAAAGTCAGTGGGTTAAAAACTAGGAATAAGGGTCAAGTATGAGCTGATTGGAACATACTGTACTTCTTCACCATGTTCCTCACAAGCTCTATATCTGCCTCTGTGGTGATGCCTAAGCATTTGTTAGCATTTAATTCCGAACCTCTCGGAGACTTATTTAAGATAAGCTTAACCTACCTTCAGTTTCTTTTCGAAATATGCCAGGGACATCGATAACAGTGAAGTGGTTCTCCTAATGTTGTCGTGTTAGCAATTCGACTTTTGGCAGAGGTCCAATGCTGCACTAGGTATGTGACCTACATCTGGACCGAGCTTCTCGATCTTGAGTATATGTTCGCTAAATGCTGGAAGAGTAGTGCCATCAGGCAATGTAGCCTTTGTAGAGCTTTTTATTCCCATCACTTCATTTGCCTGCGAGTGAGAGTTAGTATTTGCTCGTAAGAATAATGCTTATAGTACTGACTGACCTCTGTGAATACCTCAGCCAGGCTTTCGGGGGTCATGGCTTTTAGGCTGCGATAAAACTTCTTGATGCGCGCCTGCTCACCAGCGGATGCTTCATCGTGAGGAATGATGGAGACGTTTATAATTTCTTCTTTCTCACGGCGACATGTTATCTGGGTAGCGTATCGTGTGCAGAGCTCTGCATCACGAGGAAACCCGAAATTGGTCAGACCTTCAAGGACGGAACTCTTTCCTGAGGACTGATCTCCCACAACTACGAGCTAGAACATTACAGGATGTTATTATCAGGACATCCACACAGAGTTTCCTTAGTAGTGGAAAGAAGGAATATATGTACCTGAGGTAGAGCAACTTTGGTTCCAATAAGCTCGCGCAGCTTATCGACTTTGGTAAGAATGGAGAGGTTTCCGAGGCTTGGCTTCTCCTCGAACGGAGTACTCTCCACCATGTTGCCCATTTTGGAGGGCGTTACTGTGTAATTAGGCTTGTCGAGGAATTGGTGAAGTTGAGCGGTACTTTAATGTATGAGGTGTTATGAGTTTTGTGAATGTGGTTATGAAATGGGCGAGATTATGGAGTGTCTCGAGTACTTAAATGCCACTGCCTAAGGATCAAAAGAAAGTAGGATTCAGGTACGTATTGGTTTGATTGAGGCCCGAATGGTTTTCAAGGCTACTTGCCATATTAATACTGCAACTTAACGTGTAGGTATGCCTTGCATTCGGTTGTTCGGTGGCGTTTGTATTACCCCCTGCCGATTTGCAAACGGAAATAGGTAAAATGACTGGTTGCCTACCTGGTAGTCCTGGTATTTTGAGGCCAAAGCATAGTTGAAATCGAGCATTCAACGCCTGAATCTCGTTTGCGCGGGCGGCTACATGCAAGTGAGGTCATGAAATATGATACGTAGGTTAGGTAGGTACCTACCTAGGTACCTACCTGGTATATACTCGAAGAGGCAAGGCACTTTTGACAATCACTTAGGTACCTAACGTTAAGTTAAACTGTAAAAATGCGTTAATTAGGTGGTAGGTATCTGATGAGAGGTAGGCAGACACATAAATTCACGGCCAGGTTTATGGCCAGGACCTCACCATAGCCACCAAGCTGAGGACGCCGGGCGGCACAGTTAGTTGAGCGCACCAAGCAAATATATCGCCAAAAATTACTAGTTGTTGGTTAACCTCCATATCCGTTACATATGATAGGCCAGGGACCATTTTTGGTTTGTTTCAGGGAGACCGGCGTGGCAGTAGCTGCAGCCTACAATCTGCAGCCAACCTCAAGCCAAGAAGGCAAGGCTGAGAATAAGTCTGTCCGGAGGGTGCTTAGGTATCTGGACTAAGGTCCGCAAACTTCGAAGTACCACTTTCAAAGTTTAGCTTGGCGTGGATAGATAGCAACGTAGACGGCTAGACATAAGAAACAAACCGATAGGAAACATCTTGAACGAAACCTATGCTTTATGATACAGATTTAATATACCTACAGGCGCATGTATATACACATGCGCGTCTATTGATGCAACGTAATTTGCTTTCATCTCTTGATTTTCCAACGGAACCATAGCATTATACCATTCCCACAGGTAACTAGAGGTCCTTTTCTCTTTGACCGGTAACCTTTTCGAAAGTCTCCAGGGCCATCGTCAAGGTATGCCGTCCCTGAGTCTTTCCCCGGAGCTGCGTATCGTAGTCGAGCATTTCTACAAATGGTATACGAGCTATAATTTCCAGCATCCGCAGACGGCCCTTCTGCGTCTCCCGCAGCGTTGTTTGGAACTCGTACGGGTCTGGCGGAGCGTAGATGTCGGATATGTTGATGAGGTCGCCTTCTTGCGCGTGGCTTTCTTGCATATCCCTAACTTCGAGAACGTGACCGCCGCGACCTGTGTGTATGTCGTGCTGAACCGCGCCTGCTGATACTTCTGGGCAGACGATTGTGACTTTCATAACTGGCTCTAGGATACCAATCGTCCCCTGCTGATGGGCTTCCTTAAGAGCTGTCCTTACTGCTTTGTTTGCAGCGCCGACTAGGTGTGAGCTTGGAGTTGAACTGGTGTTTATCGACACATCATACGTAACCGTAACAAGGCACTTATGCATTGGTGAACCGCGTCGAGGACCTCTCGCAAGTGCTGCTATTACACCATTGGTAAGATGCTGCCTTACCTCCTCAATATTAGGCAGGGCACTCTCCTTTGGAAACACAATTTGAATGATGTTCCCGTCTCGTTCGACATGATTTCCTAACAATTTATCGCCATGGTCTCCTTCGAGCGGCTCGATTTCTACTGAACATGCTGCCTTGCCTGATTTACCTGCTACCACCCCTTCAAAGACGGTATGATGAGGGGCTGTCGGTGCCGTCAAGCATTCTTTGTAGTCAACAGAGATTTTACCCCAGTAAGCCTCCGCCTTATAATGGTTCTCCAGGCGATCACGGGCAACTTCTAAGTGAAGCGTACCCATTCCAGAGAGCGTATACTGTTCTGTCTTTTCATCCTTGAACCATCGTAGGCTTGGATCTTCTCTAGAAAGATTCTCTAAGGCCGCCTCGAGAATTTTTGCACCGGTTACACTATACGCATCGAGAACGATAAAAGCCACAGCGGGAGGTATTTCGGGCGGTCGGACTTGTATGGTACCAAGTTCTGTTTGTGGCGTCGAGTTTGAATTGAAAGTCAGTAATGTGTCTCCAGTTCTCGCGGCCTTCAGACCCGTGATTGCACCTATCTGCCCGGGAGCTAGGTGAGATATCTCAGTCGTGGTCTCTCCAGATATCTGCATCATATTCAGAGAGCTTTCAAATTGCTGGAGATTAGCATTCCACATGCGCGTATTTTTCTTGAGAACCCCATGGTAAACCCGCACAAATGTAAGCATCCCTCGGCGGGGGTCATGAACTACCTTGAAAACCGACGCCAATCCCTCAACACGTGGCGGAGACTTTTTAGAAGGTTTGGGTGGTTGAATAACGTGACCAAGGGGTTGGTATGTTCGGCCCATTCGGACTTGGAGTTCAGGACGGTCTGAAGGACTAGGCAGATAGTCCACGATTGCATCAAGTAGAGCAGTAACGCCGGTATTTTTCAAGCTTGATCCCGCGAAGACAGGCATCACGGATCCATCGCCACGATTTACTACACGGCGTATGCTCTTTCTAATTTCATTGCTAGGCAAGTCATTCCCATGAGTAGTCCATAACTCCATCAGCTCATCGTCGTGCTCGCAAAGTCTCTCGATCAATTGCTCTCGTGCGCGCTCGACCTCGTCCGCAATTGTACCCTCAAGTAGTTTCGTCGAAAGTTCTTCAGGGCTATCTTTGGTTCCCATCCAACTGACAACAGAACGATCGATCACGTCCACTACGCCTCTCAGCGTGTCCTTTTGCCACCAGGGTATCTGACAGACTAGTGGCATTCCGTTAAGCTTCAATCCGATATCTTGTACAGACTTCTTAAAGGAGGCGCCTTCACGGTCGAGTTTATTAACGAAGACAATCCGAGGTACTTTAAACTCGTGAGCGGAGGCGCAAACTCTTTCCGTATGTGCCTCAACGCCTTCTACTCCGTCAATGACGCATATGACCCCATCGAGAATAGGAACGCAACGGTCCAGCTCAAACCGAAAGTCCACATGGCCAGGAGTATCGATCAAGTTGATGATGTGCTGATAGCCACCCGGTTTTAAGCGTTCTTTTGTTGGCCAGTTGAAAGTAATGGCGGCAGACTGAATTGTGATTCCTCTCTGTCTCTCCATAGGCAGGAAATCGGTCACGGTATCTCCCTGATCAACATCTAGGGCACGCATCAGTCATAAGAATGAAAGGATTAACGGTTACTTGCCCTGTTTCTCTTTTTCTTCTTCTTGTTTTTTTTTTTTTTTTTTTTTTTTTTTTTTTTTGTTTTCTTCAAGGGGCACTTAAAACACGGGTTTTACAAGTTGAGCAACTTACTTCCTGCGCGTCTTAAAGCACCACAGTTATATAGCATTTGCTCTGTGGTAGTTGTTTTCCCCTATATATTTTGTAAGTGCTACGGTCCGTAACATGATAGTTATACCCATAATAAACCTACTGCATCGACGTGGGCGATGATGCCTATATTCCTGATGTAGCTAATACTAGCATCTCGAGGAGTAGCCGTATGGCTTGAGAGCCGCCTGATGCTAAACCATGTGCTCCCGTGGTGCCTCGAGCATATTGAGGAAGAAATAAGCAACCGAGAATATCCCAGGGGAGCTCGGCACGTGAGTGCGAGTAAGCTCATACCCGTAGATTTCAAGAAGAGAATGTCCCTCTCATTACGAAGTAAAATCTTGGTATCCGCCGATTGTACCAGGTATTATTTCAATTCTTTTTGCAAGTTATTTAGCTCACGTTAGAGGTAGTTTCCTATTTTTAAAATTAGATTTTTGTTAAGTTAAAGCCGGTGAAGAACCTTATACATAAAATAAATAAATAATACATACTAACATATTTTCTCATGTAAAAAGCACTGAAGTAGGAGTCGCTAACAATACCTATGTAACTTACCGTTGGTGCACGGACCAGGACTACAGTACCTAGAAGGTTACCTACCTTTAGGTACCTAGGGTAGATGCATCCCATATTGCGGAAAGTACCTAAGCAGGTAAGTATCTTACCTTACCTAGGTACCTAAGTATAAGGTAGGTGGTAGGTGTCCCCACCGATGATGATTTGCATTGGCGAAGACAGTCTGTACCTAACCTAACCTATTCAACTTTAATAACTCTCTTCATTTTCAACTTATTACTTTGACCTCAGCTTAGGTAACCTTGGTCAACTTGATAGAGAATTTAGGTTACATTACAATCAACCCATCGCCTTCTCAATCGATTTTGTGGAATGCGACCCCTTATCTAAGCCTACCTAACCCAAAGGTATCCTATTTGTCTCCCTCTCTCTCTCTCCCGTTGGTCCTATCAACTTGTACCAACCTTTTCCTCCTACCGCCACTCTCTTTCGGGACACAATGGATTACCGTTCTACAATAACCGATGATGAACAAGCCGCAGGTGCTTCTCCTTGGGGATCATCACCTCCGGCCTCACCGCGCCATAACGAGTCTACCTTCAGTTCTCTAGGCAACGAACCCTCGCCGTCCTTACCATATCAATACACAGCCGGCGACTCGAGTAATGGATTTGCGCACGAAGACCCAGGAGTTAACGCTTTCGGGCGTCCCGGAACGGCTAGCAGTACGGCTTCTACGCCAGCGTACGATCCTCCAGAGCAACCAGCACCCTCGGAAGGACAACAAGAACAACCTGCTGCCGGAGCCGGAGCCGAAGCAGAACAACATCAACCGGTCACACCACCGAAATCGCAGCCACAAGCAAGGTCGAGAGGCCCTCAATACAAGTTACAAGCGAAGATTACGGGGCTGGAACGCACAGGTCGCAAAGATCCCATCCTGAGATTCGACGTACATGTGAGTCGACGCCGGGAATGATCCGCGCGCCTTATATTAATTAATACTAATCTTTCTAGACAAATATACCTAAATTCCGAACCACCCAATTCCGCGACGTCCGCCGCTTACATTCCGAGTTCGTCAAGCTCGTCGAACATCTCATCTCCGCCAACCCTGATGCCTTTGTCCCCGCGGTGCCACCTTCGGTTACATCCGCAGGCGCCGGTACCGATGAAGACGAGACAAGAGTAAAAGCACTTATGCAGAGATGGTTTAACTACGTATGCAGTAACGAAGTCCTTATGAGGGATGACGAAATGGTCTTATTCGTGGAGAGTGATTTTGGGTATAGTCCCATGGTTAAGAAGAAGCAGCCAGCAACTGGTGTGCGGAGGAAGGTATTGAAGCAGTTTGCACCACCTCCTGACGATACACCGGAGCTGGCGGATGCACGACCGATAGTGAAGTTATTCTATCTGGGCTCAATGGACGCCGGACATAAGGTTGATAAACTCGTCAAGTCTCGTAGAGGTACAAAATCCCTACTCTTTCCCACGAGATTTATCAATAGCTAACATTTTTCGGCAACTTAGGTTTGGGATTAGCAGAATCCGATTTTGGTGTCAAAATCGGCGCAATGCATATTCAGGAGCCGCATCAAGGCCTGGCAAATGCATATCGAAAGCTAGGAAAGATTATACAAACTGTGGGCGACTGCCATGCGGCCCAGGCGACTGCCGAAGCGACGACTCTTAGCGATCCCTTTCAGTATCACTCTCAGGATGCATTCATCGTCAAGGAAACCTTGACAAACAGGCAACTTCTAATCCGCGAATTCTTACAAGCTCAGGAGACTACGCGAACCAAGCTCAGCGCGGCAGACAGACTGAGAGCCAACTCTACCGTGCGACGCGAGAAGGTAGATGAAGCTATTGCTGCTCTAGATGAAGCAAGAAATGTTGAGGTAGAGCTTGCGCAGAAGACGTCAAGGGTAACGCAAACGCTAGTACAGGAGCGTCGCAAGTGGTTCGCAAGAACTGCAGCAGACCTGCGCCTTAGCATCAGGGAATTTGTCACCCGCGAGATCGAGGCGGAGCGGCGCACCCTCGCGCTCCTGGAGAGCGTTCGGCCCGATATCAGAGCCATCGATGCCTCAGGCGGCCTAAGCAGACTGGGGCGCGAGGCCCACCCCACAGTCCGCCGAGCCAGTCTCGCAGCAAGTCAAGGACCCAAGGGCGACGCTTGGAGCGGCGTGCCCCGGCGCACGGACAATAGGAGCATGTCGGGTAGCTTCATATCGAACGTGGCCGATGACGACGACGGCGAGAATGGGCAGCGTCCCGGGTCGAGGGCCCTCAGTGGTAGTACTACCAATCCAAGCCTGGCTGGTCTTGCAGAGGAGGATGACGAAGACCGGGTGGACGCCAGAAACGCTGCAAGTCGATTGGCGACGAGCACATTTTAAGAGGTTAAAGCAAACGAAATCGAAAATTTCGGGGAGGCGGGCAGGTAATAAGAGTGGAACTTGACCCCCTTTCTCTTCGCAACGAAGGGGAAAAAAAGAACTTTTTTTGTCGTCGTATACCTACCTATGTACCTATTGTATCTATCCAATTATGTGGGATGGTCTTCTCCCGCAACCCTTGGTTGTAGACCTGCTTTTTTTCGAAGCGTTAAATGAAATCAAGCATTGCATAGGCAGCTTACATGCAATGCTCCCCTTTGACTAGTTGGAAGTGAAAAATTCCAGATCAGATATGTACCTAATATACCTGGTGAGAAGCAGCAAATCGAATGACGACGCTTTGGTGTCACCCTCGAAGTGGGATCACTCACCCCCCCCCCCCCCCCGAGCGCGACTTGGGACGTAGGTAGAAAAAGCTTTACTCGGCTACCGCTTCAGTGCAACGGTAGCCATGGCGCCTAGCCGGTAGTATGGATATGCAAGATACAGCGCGCGCGCGCAGGAAGAGGTAGCCTAACCTATGTAGGTAGGTTAGGTATCTAATTTTATGCGGTTGTTCGTTCCCATGCATGTTCATCAGGTTCTCTCTCGTCAGATCTCTGCTGCTGGACGACGGGTGTTTCCTATAGAGTGCAAATCTGCAGCTTGCACCAATCTGGAACTTACGTACCTAGGAGTATGTATGAGGTAATGTAGGTATATTGTATGGTGGTGGGTGGCGAAAAAAGGGTCTTTTGGGGGGTTTGCTACTGATCAGATCAGTATGTGCCTCGTGTATGTATAATCCAATATAATCACCATTGGTATGCCGGCACGAAAATCCCTCTTCGTATTCCTTAAACCCTCTGTTCCGTATGGCGTCATCGGGTAACCACATGGACATGCAGTATATAGTATTATCGTACCCCCCGCTGCCCTCTCAACAGCTCGGATCAACGTTCTTCTTTGCTTTTATAACCATATAGGGCCAAGCTACACAACACAAGCTGCCTAACGTGCATGCATAGCAAATACATATGCTATGCTATGCAGACTGACCTTTAAGTTAAAGAATCGTCACTCCCATCTGTTAAGTTCATAATCTACATCTAAGGACATCTCGTCAGACTTACTTACCTGTTTTCGCCTTCCTAGCCGAAAGTGATCACTGCTGCATATGGTTGATGCCGAAAGACATGACGAAACTGAGCCGATCACAATTCTTATAACCTGCCGGCAGTATTCTATGTGCTGATCGTGGGGTCAACTTGGAGGTAGGTTGTAAAACTACCTACTAGTTGTAAAACTACCTACTAGTTAGTACTTGAAAGAGATGGTCAGCACGGAAATACAGCAGCAACTTCATTTTCAAGTACAGTCGATTTCTGGATGAACGCCATACTAAGTGGCAATGATGCTTACCATAGCCACATACCTACAGATATACCAATATCCAACAAGATGGCAATATGTTTCGCACGCCTGTATACACTTACCTACGTTGGTAAATACATCTGAGGCATGACATACAGGGTTATATGCGGTGTCTGCCCGGATAGCTGACCCGTACATATCTAACCTATGTGCACGTATATGAATGGTCATGTTATATATTGGTGCCGTAATATGTTTTTTTTCTGAACTTCGTCGCTACTTCATTAGAATACCCTTAGAGCCATCATATTATAGAATTATCCTCCATGGACCAGGATATTCACGATATAAATGTCGCTGTTCAATCGATGAGACGATCAATATACTACGCTGTAAAGCTTTTAGCCGGGCCGAAATTCGCTAGCTCGAGATATCATCGACATCCATTCGAGGTGAATTCTTAGCAAGCATCATAGCGAACGTCCTCGAGCCATTCATATACCTAATGCTGCAAGAGCATGGTACGAAAACCGCCAAGAAGGATGGAAGCAGAATAAAAATAACTTGGGTACGTCAAGATAAGCAGCACAAGCTAGAGAGCTATGCAAAAATATGCATGGCTGCTTTGTAACCCAACTAATGCTGGGTAACCTGCCGTGGTCCTCAACGTCGGTAGTTCGACTTTATCGTGTTCAAGTACTCGAGATGACCAGAGTCGGGGAGTTAAGCAATGCTAGCCCGGTCTGGTGGATATAGTGTAACTCTGTATGTCATTCAGGTTGTATATCCTAGTATTATCAGCACAGACCGGGATAAACCAACTTCACCACTAAAGAGCCATTTTGAGCACAAAGTTTAGCTGCGTGGTGGCCTATCACAAGCTCTGCGAGATCGGTCAGCGTGGCGTACGGACGTTTCACGGCGACCTTTCTGTTGGATGGAGTAGACATGCTTGCCATCTTACAAATTGACGTAGAGAAGTGTATTCAACCCTACCGCCGAAATTGCTCCCGAGAGCCCCGTTGCGTTGCATGCGTGCAGCCTCATAGCCCTTGGGGATCCATTTACGGAGTAATAAGATAGCTTGTAATATGCCTAGTTTCTTGGGAAAACAGGGTAAACGAAGTAGCAAAAGACAGTGAATTGTTGGGCCTAGACCAATCTTAGGATGTATCTTTTCCCATACGCTTGTTGTGAAGGAGCCGGAGCCTGGAGGTTAGGAGGTATGTTCTCCAATTTCCCCAATTCTGTCCAGCGGGACGGAACCCCTCAAAAACAATCAATTGGGGCAAAGGGACAATTTCATCGCCCATCTGTCGAAGATTGACAAATACGATAAGATAGTGACTGCATGATGCTGTATCTAGTAAATGGAAAAGTATTCCGGCTTCCGAAATGACTGTTAACAAAGCTCAATTGGCTGCGCCGAGGCATGCCTAGAATTTTGTCGATGAACAGGCAGATCTGCACAAACCGAGTCACAGTAACATGACATCGTCCCAGCAGTTGTTCCCTACCTGGATGCAGGAATACCGGCCACAGCTCCGAATTGATTTCGAATTTGTTACGATAATGGTGTTTCTTGGAGCTGACTCCCAATAAGGTAAGGGACCTCTGCACCATCTCTCTATCAAGCGAATGCCGGAACTAACATTGCTCTTTTTTCATATGTGCTTCTGCAGAAATCTATAGAGAATGTGAAAAATGATGTCTTAGTGTGTGTCGTACGAGAGAGTTGCAATATGCGGCTTAGATAGGGACCCTGCTATACTCATGTTGTGTCCGCGTCGAAAATAATTTGACGGCACTCAGGCACACAACACGATACGATAAGTAAAACATGGGCATTGGCCAACATGTGTAAGCGCATTGCGGCCAAGCCTATGACGGTGCAATGGATGAAATCTAGCCCGTATCGTTGTTAACAGGGAGACCCATTTTTCAAACGATCTCTTGAAAAGCCCCAGTCCAGTTAGAAGTATCAGAGATTTTCTGCGCAATACTAAAGACAAGGGCGGTTACTTTCGTAACGCTCGTTTATTGCTGTCCCTGCTGCCATGTGCAAACATCTTGATGGGGGGTGGGGGGAAGGACCCGAGTATGGCCGGCAAAATAGATCCATGAAGAAGCATCGCATAGACGAGCTTATAGAATGACAGCGTGGCTCGTAGGCTAATAGTTCCTAGAGGATCTGGAAAGAACTTTGTACGTTCCTAAAAGCCGAATTTTTAGTTGGATGAATAATGCGAGTTCTATTACCGATAGTCATGATGCAATAGAAAGATGTTGGTTGTTAGATGTTAGGTAGCAGTGGAAGACAAATTAGGAACGGACAAAATGTATTGTATCTACATAGTAAGTGGTAGTGATGATCCACCATGTTCCACTCAAATAAAGGCTACCTATTGGATAGATAGTGAGACGACGGGGCCTTTTTAGACTTTTTTGACCGTTTTTGGGGACGACGTTCCTTCCCATCGCTGGTATAGAAATGTACCTATAGAAAGAAGTATTCCCTTATACTTACCTAATGTTATGTAAGGGCAGCTTCCACTCTATGAGTCTATACCAACCTGATCATATACCTAAGTCCGATAGTAAGTATTGTACCTAACCTCAGCTTACCCTGGGCAGGTAGGTGTAGTGCATATTGTGCACTGCATATTAATGGTTACGCATATGCTTGAACTTGAACTTGGAAGACATCGAATATATCCCGATTGGGAGATCCAAGCTCCACTTTTGAATATCCATTTTCATTCCCTACATCTTTTCCTTCCATCCTCTCACCCTTACCACTTTCATCCTCACATACCTACCGTAAGACACCCGTTTTGGTCAATTGCATGGGCCGTGGGATAGTCCCGTATGTTTGGATATCCTTTATCCTTGTTGTGTATTGCACTAGCTCGACATCCCAGATATCCTAAGATTTCAGGGTCTTCCCCCAAATCTTTTAATCTAATTACCTCATGGATTTTTATATCAGCCTGACGGCGAAATACCTCCCGTTTTCTTTGGCCAGTGTTTCCAGAATCAGTCTCGCCCCTCCAGGCGCGATGCTAGTGGAGCTACGATTCAACTCTCACTAATGCCGTACTTGGGATCTACTTCCGAATTCGCCGCAGCGGAAACCGCTTTTTACTGCTCACCCTAGATATTGAATAGTATCTATACTACATTTCAGCTACTGTCGATGGTTGGTGTGAGGTGAAGTGCAACCATGTGCCGTAAATTGGATTCCACACATATGTAACGCTACAGGTTTACTTACTAGCCTTGTCTGCAAGTAGGTAGATACAATTAATATTATATGTATAGGTACGGAATATGCAAGGACGAAAGTCTACGACTACACCACACCCAGATGCAAGGTGCCATCAGGGACCTCGTTACCGAACTTGACATAGTCACATCGTTGCTAGCTTCCTACATATGACTTCTCGAGCTTGTATAGCCCACTCTATACTTTTTTTTAGATAGCTTGTTGACGTTTGACTGGGTCTGGGAAAATTCGCACAATATCTTACCTGTCCATTAACCCTGGCTTATACTCCGACATCAGGATCTCTCATAATGAGAAATGACATAGATGTACGCAAGGAGCTTATTATGGTATTCTCCCAACACCTCAATACATAAGGGAGTGGGGGTGCTCTCGAACTCTTGAGGTCAGACTCGCTGATATCTTAGTCACGAATTATTACCCCTTATATCCGTTATTTTATCAACAGAGTCGACACACGCCGGCTTGGCTTGACTCGGCTCCTTCAATTTTTCATATTATCCTGGGAACTACTCGGACTACCTACTCTGTAGAGCTTGAGCTGCCCTGTTTAGTTACCTTTATATTTAGCTACTTCCTCACGCATCGAACCCGTGCCCCGTAGCTCTAATTTCAATTCATATTCGACTCCTTTGATAGCCATTTGACAATGGCACCCTCTGCAATGACTGACACAGAGTTCATCCAGCTACCTGTTTACTCAAAACATTCAAACCAGGTTACTGCCTCTGTCCTACACGGGCCTCGAGATTTGCGACTAGTACGTTACTTCGAATGTCCATTACCCTATCATTATATCGAATGGGGTTTATATTCTGTTAGTGCTTTGCTTGAAAAGTGAACTAACTCATCTCGATAGGAAGTCAGAAGTATCGAGGCGCCTGACCTTGGTGAATTACAGATTGCCATCAAATCCACTGGCATATGTGGCTCAGATGTCTCATATTATAAAAAGTTCGCCAATGGCGATCTATGTGCCTGCGCTCCTTTGTCCCTAGGGCACGAATCGTCCGGGACGGTCGTGGCTGTCGGGCCCCAGGTGCATGGATTCAGAGTTGGCGATCGCGTTGCCCTAGAGGTTGGAGTCCCTTGTGGCCAGTGTGGTATCTGCCGAAAAGGCAGGTATAATCTATGCAAAAAGATGCGATTCAGGAGTAGCGCCAAGAGTGTTCCTCACTTTCAGGGGACCCTTCAGGAGAGGATAAATCATCCAGCAATCTGGTGTCATAAGTACGAGATGACCCCTATTTATTTATCTCCTATATAGCATTAACTTTCGATTAGATTACCAGACCAGGTTTCCTTCGAAGCCGCTGCCCTACTTGAACCACTTTCCGTCGCTATTCATGCTGTGAACCGTGCTACTCCGGCACCAGGCTCTACAGCTCTAGTCATCGGTGCTGGAACTGTTGGACTCTTGACTGCTGCGATGGCACGCCAATCTGGTTGCACGTCTGTCACCATTACCGATGTAGACGCTGGCCGTGTCAAGTATGCGTTAGAAAAAGGATTCGCTACCCATGGATTTGTTGCTCCTAATCCATCAAATCCCTCGTCTAACAACTCAATAAACACAAATTCCGGGAGCTCCACTCCCTTAGATCCTGGCACTATGACCCCAGCAAGTCTATTTTCCAATACTATTCACGATCAGCTCGAAAGTGCAAAAGGACTCGCAGCAGAAATACTCTCTCTTACGAGGTCAGATCTACAAAGCGAGACCGAAGACGAGGGCGTCGATGTGACTTTCGAGTGTACTGGAAAGGAGGCTTGTATGCATACTAGCCTCTACGCAACCCGCCCGGGTGGTAAGGTGGTCATGGTTGGCATGGGTACGCCAATTCAGACGCTCCCAATGTCTGCCGCGCACCTGAGGGAAGTCGATATCCTCGGAATATTTCGATATGCGAACACATACGGCACTGGTATACGATTACTATCTGCCCAGGGACAGGGCGGAGCTGGTTTCACCCTACCAAGCCTCGACGACATGGTGACCCATCGATTTAAAGGCCTCGGCGCTGCAAAGCATGCATTCGAACTTGCTAGCAGGACTATGGATGATGACGGCAATCTAGTACTGAAGGTCGTTATCGAGGCTTAATTTTCCTCGTTTACTGGACCATCATGGGTGCTATCCCTTTTTCCCTTCCCCTCCCCATTTCCTTTGAAAAAAAAGAAGAAGAAGAAAAAAGAACTCACAAAAAAAAAAAAAAGCATTTAGAAACTTGGGCGGCATTGTACTGGTGATTCGGGGAGCAACGCTTTTATGAACGGCTTGATAGCCTGGTAATGAAAAGTACTGCAACAATTTTTCGGACTGAGAAGCACATCTGACATCAGTTCACCGGCTGCGCCGAGATATTTCCTTTGCATACTAATATTTTTTCCTATGGCATGTCATTACGCAGATCTGTTACAATTGGGGTAGACTAAGCCATTGTTTATCCCGAGGATGCCAACTCTATGATTCGGCTGGTTAATAATTCTTCTTTTCCTTTTTTAAATCTTAAGGAGAGGGATGATAATAATGTCACAATGGTCAGGTGATAGAAGCAAAGCAGTAATTGTCACTTAGTCTTAATGAGCAGCGGTATTTCATAAATCAATCCATTAATCATTTATCTCGTGCCCTTTTCGGTCCACCATAACCCTCAACAAGCCTTATTGCTAACTCAAGGGCCTATTGATATCATAATCCTGTCGTAACTTGATTTATGGGTCATTGCCCAACACACAGCTTGATTACCTAGCCTAACCTCTAAAACGCCTTGCAGATGCAAAGAATCATATTGCGAAGTGCACCCCGTCTTGGATCTACCCTCTTCCCCCTAAGAACAATGTTCTCTGCTAAATCGCAAGGTCTCCCGGGTTGGAGGGACCGAAGCCCAGGCCCAAGCTTCCTGAACTTTCCACCATTCGCCTGTGGTGGGCTTTCGCGCTCTCCACAATACTGTGCTTCTTGCCAACATCACGGGCTTCCGTGGCACTCTGAAGCACCTCGTCTAGAAGCTCCATTAGGTGTACATCGTTGGCCTCGCTGGTCATCTCCTCCTCGTAAGCATCCGTGTTTGATGGTGCTAACAGCGATAGCCTGTTGACAAGGGCCTGGATAGATCGGAGGATTGTGTGCGAGGGGGTTGTCTGTTGAGCCTCGGCAAGGTTTGTAGCGTTGTTCGGAGATAAGTAAGACGGAGGTAGTCGTTCCAGATACGTTGTGAGGAGGTTCACGCGAGATTGTAACATCTTGATTGCATTTGCCTTGGCCGTGAGCGCCGCAATCAGCTCCTCGTCCTCGCTGGTCAGTATGTGCTCTTCAGATTTCCCATCCTTCTCTTGAGGGTCTGCCGCTTTTGCAGGCTGTTTACCCTTCAGGTCCGACTCCGGTTTTTTCTGCTGTCTAGGCTCGACCACGGTCGCGTTTCCAGCGCCTCGAGCGACAAAGTCCATGCTTATCATTTCTGCCTCACCCGTCTCCACCGAATAAGGTAGCTCTCTGAATTTCAACTTCAAGGGAGGATCCCCATCCCGCATCTCTTTGTCCTCGCCTTGCTCCGCCTTCGGCTCATCAACCTCGTAGTTGGATTCGTAGATGGTTAGAGGGAGCTTGCTTCCTGCTGCTTGTTGGACGGCCTCTTCAGGGTGGAATCCGAGAAGGAGGGGGGAGTCGTTGTGCTGTGATAGGATCCAGTTGTGAATAGGAAGTATCGACGGGGTAGGGCCACTCTTGGGCAGAACGGTATACCAGCCGACAAGATCGAGTTGGGGAGATTTGTGTATCGTTTTCACTATGCGATTCATAGGTAGTCAATAATTAATGAACTCAACGCAAAGGGTAGACAGGTAGACATGTAGCTTACTCTGATCTAATCGCTGTTCGAACCAATCGGGTTCAAGAATGACATCGCCATTCTCGACGATTGTAGCACACTCAAAAGCATGCTCAATAGTAACTTCTCTTCCATTTTGCTGTCCTATCAAAGCACCAACCACAGGTCCCTTCTGTGCTCTCAGCGTGTGTCGCGTGATGTAATCTGAGATTGTGAGAAGGACGAGGGGATGGAGAACAGCCTGAAGTCCGGAATCTGAAGATTTCTGTGACGAAAGCAGAGGGTTTGGGTCTTCCGAACCCATCTTGATTGATTGATTCTTAACCTGGCCAAATTGAAAAAGAACGCAAGAAAGGGATTTGTAAAGCTTGTTTAGTTGATTATTTCTTGCGATTTGTCGCAAGGCTGCAGGTGCAGCTGGTACCTTTAAGAAGTTCAAGGAGTACTTACCGCCGATGCCCCGCGCGTAGGCGGTGCGTTGTGGCTTTGCGGCACTCTAGGTCCCACCAACCCTATGCCCCACTAAGAGGTACGTACCTGTGACAAGGTACATGCACTATGTACCTCCGTTTAATCAATTCAATTCCCCTGGCAGCCTGGGGGCCTGCACTGTTCTTTAAGGCTAACGACATCTTCAACTTTCTAAAGTTTCTTTCTAAAATTCACTTTCAACCCTCCGTATCCTCTTTAATTAATCACATTTACTTAGTCCCATATTCTGTTACTGCTTCTATAATGGAAAGCAGAGTAATTTCGCTACTTGGAAAGTATATTCTCTAATTCTTTCTACATTAGGTACGTACCATACCTGGTAGGTACCTAATATACATATGTCTTTCGACCATCTTCTAATTTGTTACGGACATGCTTCCAAAGACAAGCTGCGTGAATTTCTGTGTAAGCACACAGAGTATTCCCTTATTCGTCTTCACTTTGGCTATCATTGGCTTAGGCACTCAGCTTGATAGATGTTTGATCATCTTCTTCTCATTGGTCTTCCACCATGTGCTTCTGAAAGAGACAAAATGGTGTTCTGTGAGGTTCAACACCTCTTTCGTCTTTGACTTTGATATCTCCTCTGTGTCTTAGTAGATCTCGACTATTTAAATCTTGATTAAATCTTTTTATACCAGTACTTAGATGATTGGCATCGTTGCTCTCCTCTAGGTGCTTCTGACCCTTCAAACTACTGCAAATCATCAGTCTCTACCGCTTCATTGGCCAGTCTCACATTTACAAATAAATCTCACTCCTAGCGATATTCATGAGTCTTCAACATCAGCATCAGGCCCAAGGAAGCACGCAGTATTCAGGTATGTCGGGGCCTCTTAGCGAATGTCCTTCACTTCCTTCTGCCCCAAGGTCGACTATACCTGCGAAGCGATCAGACGATGATGACATCCAATTCATATCATGCAAACCTGTTAAGAAACGGAAGACAAGTGACCGAGCACCAAAACCTACAGGCCAACACCAGAGTATATCTCCAATGCCTATCACGCCTACGCCACCTGTTTTCATCCAGCCTCCTGAATTAAAAGACTTTGATCGACGGGTTAGTACAGGGATGGTTGGTCTTCCTTCAGATTTTAATACCATGGAACTTGCCTCTATGTTAAGAGGCGTGTCACTCCCCGTACTGGAGAAATTCGTCCTCAATCAACCTTCCCGTGGGCCAAGAACACCAAGCTCACCAGAGCTCTCTCCGAAGCAGCTACCACGAACAGTTGCAACAGCGATGCTAAATACCAACACCAACACAAACTTTCCGTCCCCTATATCAGAAACATCATCCATAAAAGCAGATGCGAAGAGTTCAACGATGCCACCGCCTCCAGTTCCAAATACTGAGGTATTGGCAACCCCGAAATCTACACGATCTGGTTCTCCTTCGTCAAATCCAGCCACCTATTTTGCTCCGCGGTTAGATACGATAAAGCAGCCGTGTCAGATTTGCTTGAGAATGCGACAACAAGTAGATCTTGCAAAATCCCAAGGATTTCCTATGTTTACTCATAATTTACCGCATCAAATGGTTCCACAGATTGCCTGTCATCAGCCATTACATCAACATCTTCATCCTCAAATGATAGCTATGAGCCCAAGTAACATGCATTCCTTCGGCCCGGGCTTCGCGCCAATCATGATGCCTATCAATAACAACAGTTTTGCCCCTCTCCCAGATCATATGACCAATCCTGCCCAGATGAAACAGCAAATTAATGAGCAGAATCATGGGCCAAGCCGTGAGAATGTTAGCAGCCACACACAACCTTCAGGTTCAACCGCTGCAGAGCCACATTATCCTGCGGCTTCGAGCCCGGTAAAACCACCAGCATCTCTTATCCAGCCTACCTACCGTAAGCCCTCGCCAAACCTAATTGTGGATGTTGCAGAGACGTGCCAAGAGAAGTTCCCTTTCGAGGATGTTGCGAAGAGACATAATGTACCCGTAGAGAAGGTATTCGACGTCTTTGCGGCTATTATTCAAGTTCCGCTTTTACGGTGCCCGACCGATAGGCGAAGAGCAGGAAAGCTTGCTACAACACGTGTCAAAGAGTATACGAAAGCCAAGAAAACAATTGAAGAGACCAGAAACCAGAACCATCCTGACTCTTCAGACCAAGCAATCGCAAAGCCCTTAGATATTGCGAAGCACCTAGGCCAAGTGGATCTACCGGAAAGTTTTTACCTGGGATAAGTCCTGAGAATTTGGAAGAGGATACGATTACGTCTAAGAGTGAAAACAATATAGATTTTTACGGAGCTTAAAGATTGGTATGTATTCTATCTATCCGACAATATGTACGTTGTTTTGTTGATCTACGAAGGCCATCTCACCTTACACGCATTTATCAGCTATTCTTAACCAAATGTCTTCTTCCTCTTCTACCTCCTCTTGCCTCTCCTCGTCTTCAGCTGCTGGTAGGACATATTTAGTATTCGAGCTACTTACAATAGAGTATGTTGTGTTATCGCTATTCGAGGATTTATCGGACCCTTGACTAATAGAACCAGCGTAGTTGAGCTTATTGATGTACTTCTGAGATCGCCGGAGGCGGGGTTGCACTGGCGAGGTTTGCGGCTCGTCTTCCTCTCCGCTGGAAATTACTACGTTATCCCCACGGGGTCCGACGTATTCCTTGTTAGTCCGTAGACGCGGTGGCTGGCTCACCTTGGGTGGTTGGTCCTGCTCAATCTCGCGCTCTGATTCCTCTTTAAAGGGGTCGACATAGCCTTCTTTTGTTGAGCGTAATCGCGGCGGTCCCAAGATTCGGGGCTGCTCTTGCTCCTGCTGTAGCTCTGCTTCTTCCTGGAAGGGATCACGGTACTCCTTCGTGGAGCGCAGTCGTGGTGGCCCCTGGATCCGCGATTGCTCTTCTGACTCCTCATGTTTCTTCTGGGTGGTAACTTTTTTAATGTGCCGATTTTCGGGTACAGAATACGGCATCTCGTCTTCCCAGATACACTTGCCATTGGCCCACTTACACGTTCCTCTGGGCATAAGAGCCTCGTGCCCACCGCCAGGGAACTCGACATGATCGGAAGAGGGGCATAAGAACCGCGTCTCGCCCATCACTTTATTCGCCTCAAGCTGTAAAGTCTTCACACGGTTCAATAACCGCTGTACTTCCTCCACGTGCCCTGCACGCTTATACGCATACACCTGGTCCAAAAGCTCGCTATGTCGATCCCGATGCTCGCGGCGCACTTGATTCGACCTGTAGATTGGGTCACAGTCGGCGCATGAGTCGTCAATGTAAGCGCGTGGCGCACTAAGCTCCGGTTCCTGGCACGGGCGAGAATGTCCCTCTTCGCAGTACTGCGTATAGTTCGTTAGGGCGTGCCCACAGGACATCATGGTTTGGTTACCAGTGCACATCGTGTAATTTACCTTCTTAGACTTCTTAAAAATAAAATAAAACGCGACAAATTAACCTTTCTGAGAATACTGAGGCAGAAATCCACTCTGACACGCAACCTGTACTATGTAAAAGTGTGATTCTCTGCTTCGCTGATGTGTGGAAGCCTCTAGAGACACCTCCCCACGACATGTTAAATAGGAGATGTTCAGTATCGTCAAGGGATTGTTTAGATTGGAGTCTCACTAAGGGCTGAAGAGAGCAGTTGTCTTCCGCTCTTGTCTCTATGCTATTGTTTGATATGCTGGCCTTTCTTCCCGTCAACAAGCGCATTGTGGACGGCCCCCCTCAAAAGGTAGCTTATACAAAGGGCTGACCCCTATTGTCTAAAAGTCACACCAAAGGTTATTGAATGCTATTTCTCTGTATGTCTTAGATTATACATGCTGGTCTATGGGCCATTTATTGCCAGTTGATGCATACGTAATTATGTGAAAGGCTGATCTCTAAGTCAAAAGAATGAAGGCCTTATTTCAACTACAATGTCTTTTTTACCAGCGCTGAACCCCCCTAAATTACTAGCAGAATGATATTTAGTGGTCACTCAACACAAGTATACCTAGGAGTATGGCCAGGAGGCAGAAAAGCATACTGAGGCTGCGGCTACACTGTATCGTAATCGCTATCTCAACCAGGTGAGTTGGGCGTATGCTTCCCGTCTGTTAGTCTAATTCATCCCAGAGCTGTATTGAACCTTGGGTACACTGTAATAGCGGGAGTGATATAGGGTTTCATATGAAACTACCTAGGTAGGTAGCCATCATGTTAGCTTGCAGAAAAGTAGTTGATGAATGAACCTCAGAAATGCCATAGGGCTCTATTAACAAGATCCGCAAAGCGTGACATGGCAGCCATGGAGGAATTGATAAACAAGTTTTCTTCCTGCAAGACGATGTACCATATATCATCATACGTCAGTCTATAGACCTTTAAACCCGGTAAAATAGAAGCCTAGGTACCTAAAGTATAGCTTGTAAACCTTACAGGACGGTCGTAGTAGATCACTACAACGACACCTTGTAGAAGCCACGTCGAATGAGCAAATAAACGCGGCAGGGTGACACGCGCTTTTAAGCGAGAAGACTATGAATTCACCAGCCAGGGTTTCTACCATATTCAGAGTGATCTTGGTAGGCGAATAGGAACCATAGATCAAGGTCTTACGGTAAGACGGCGCGGGGAGTCCGTTGTATATCCCGGCCTAAGGGAACGCCAAGGCGGTGGAATATCAAATTGTTAGCTAGGAGCGTTGGGTACCTTGTTATATGAATGTATCATTTACCGAGGGACGTATTATCTACGTAGTAAAGGCCTAATAGATCTAAAAGTATGATGTGATGTGGCCAGGGCCCAGGAATGAACGGAGCGAAGCGAGGGTAGTACCTTGCCGGCAAATTCAGTCTCGTCCTTTCGAACTACAGAGCACCAGACTCCCGACTTCGGCAACAGATATTGCACCAATAGGTGGCATCTAGACGGATACTAGGTAGGTAGCTTGGCGTTCTATGCGTGACCTAGATAGAAGTTGAGCCTACCGAATTACGTGTCTAAGATTTCACCCGTGATCGGAGTCCACGATAGCTACTCACAAGTCACAAGTTCCAGCCCTCAGAGGTACTATAATCCAATATGACCACGGTACCCCTTTCGGCAATGAAGCCGGTGGTCCGGAACAGTAGGTACTCATGGATATAGGGAACCGTTGATCTCTCTACAATTACATACCTAATATAATAGTTTCAACAAGGATCATGGCCCCCACCACAAGATTAGAAGGCGACGCAACATTGTAGGGTGAAGGGCAGTCGTTATCCTCTTTTGGAATTATTCCATAGTAGTTCCTTGGGTGTTATTGTCACGGTTGCGAATCCGATGGCAAGGGCCGATATGCCTGATATCCCTAGACTGGTTCCGAAACTGGGTCTGATATCCTGAATAGGGCCGTGATGCTGTTCCGCCTACCCACGCACGTCTTCCCCGGGGGCGAGGCCGGGTGTAAGTTAGATTGTTCCTGTTTCATTGGCACGTCTTCGATCTCTAAACAAATATATATAGAGTGTGTATCCACAGATTGGCGAATATGCCAGGGCTCGCCAGGATGGTCACCCCCCCAAATAGCTAGCCTTGCATAATTAGTTTTTGTACTGTGACTTCTGCGACGATCAAGAAAAATCCTGATGAAACCTCCAGCTTGTGATAAGGTAGCGGGAGCGAGAGGATAGGGCAGATTGTTGCAATAGCGGGATAGGGTACCAGGTGGCAAGACGTACTAGGATAAAGGACGGCTCGCGGATGCGAGTGATTGCATAGCGTTACTTAGCTTCCTGCAAGGTGAATTGGAATATCAAGCGTACGGAACTGGTAGAGAATACGGAAGGCGAAAAAGGAAGAAATTTAGTAGAGTCGAGACCGTTTTCAGGATTATTAGTTGAAGTTGAAATATAAGAACTGAGCACCTAAGGTACCTACATATGAGGTACCTAGTATCCTTGTATTTTTGTGGTTGTGGCGTTAGCTAAACCCTGTAGGTGCCCTGTCTGCCTGTCAGATGCGGGATGGCTGGATGGGTCATCTCCGCCCGGGGCCCCGGACTTGTTTCCACCCTTACTAATTTAACGGGTCCAAAGATAGGACCAAGATACGGTACCCCTGTAAACCTTATCGGCTAACGGCTGTCTCAGCCTCAAAGTTCAATTTTCGCAGCCTCGCATGACATGACGTCTCCCAAGCTCACACGCTTACAATTGGAGATAAGATACCAAAATCCAAGTACTACTTACTATCTTAGGTACCTCTAGGTAGGTATAATACCTACGAACCCAGATAGTCAAACCCGCGCAGACACGTCGCAATACCAATTAAATGCTGCACTCTCCATCCTGCCCCCTAAAATGGCGCACATGACCAACCCCCTCGCGACCGTCGACCAGCTATACCAGCGGACCTCCTTCAGCGCGCTTCCCTCCGACCTCCAAGACGCCATCTTCTTCACGACCCAATGCCTCACCCAAGCCGCCGGCATCCTCCTGCGCATCCCGCAGTCCGTCACCGCCCAGGCGAACGTCATACTCGCGCGCTACTGGCTCGTCGAGTCTCCCCTGTCCCACGAGTTCAGCGACACCTCCGCTGCCGCCCTCTTCCTCGTCGCCAAGCTCAGCGCGCACCCGTGCCCTCCCCGCGACGTCTGCAACGTATACGCGTATCTCTTATCCCCGAGCTCCGTCCTCTTTAGAAGGAACAGTAATAACGACAACAACAAAGGAAAAGAAGTAGAAGGTAGTGGCGGTAATGGCGGAGTAGACGACAAAGACAAAGCCGACCCGTCATCGTACTACCTCTCAGAAACCGCGTACGCGTCCTTCCGCACGCGCATCCTCGCGCTCGAGGCGCGCATCCTGTACGCGCTATCGTTCGACACGCACGTGGCGCTGCCGCACCCCCTGGCCGTCACGTACCTGCAAGCGCTGGACTTCCTGGGGCTGCCGCGGGCGCGGATCGCGCGGCGCGCCGTCGCGCACCTCAACGCCGCGCTGCTCTCGCCGCAGCTCCTGTACCTGACGCACCAGCCGCACGCGCTCGCCGTCGCGGCGATCTACGCGGCCGCGCGCGACGCCGGGGCCAAGATGCCGGACTGCGCCTGGTGGGAGGTGTTCGACGTCGACCGCGAGGAGCTCGGGTTCTTGGTCGTGGGGATGCGCAGCCTCGAGGGGTGGGTGCGGACGCTGAAGGAAGGGGATGGGGAAGACGGTGATGGTGTGTTGGCCAGGGGGATGATTACGCGGGCTTATGTGGAGCGGGAGATGAGGAAGAGGGGATTGAGGATTGGGAATGGGAGTGCTGGGGTTGGGGGTGATGGTGATGGTGATGACGAGATGGAGGACGAGGAGACAGCGCTTATGCGGCAGATGGATGAGAAGGCGGCTGAACTAGAAGGCTAAAAAGGACGAAGTAATGCCTAGATGGATTTCAATGGAACACAAAAAGGGGTCAAGAGGGGGTCAATATTTACCAGTTAATCCTAATGACTTGATTATCTGGATTTATAATAGGTCTCGAAAGTTGCAAATGCAGACTGAAGTCGCATGAAGAAGCTATAGGAGTAGAAGACGAGAACGGCAAGTATTAGAGGATATACCTAAGAGGTAACAGGCACCTATCTAAAGGTTCTCTTGCGAATACTACGTAACTAATCGCAATCCCTCATGGAATAAATTCCGAGGCCATTCTTCCTTCTACATACAAACGCACTCGCATCTGGTCAGACTCATTGTCATAGACTTGAGGTCCTGGTTGATGATTTCCGTAAACATCGCCCTAATTCATGAATAGACCGCCCCCTCGCAAAACGGAACATAGAGGTTTCTGAAAACGCAACGCAGTTCTTTATTAAATCCTCATTCGGATATTCATCGGATCTCTATTATCCTTTTTTTTTAGTATTTTGCTGAAAGAAAAGGCGCGCAGAAAAGGACATCGCCCTGCCATAGGTCAGGTGTATCTTATTCCTTGTGAGAAACCGCCCCTTGAGCAGCGATGATCTGTAAATTGACAGGCCTGAAACCCGAACCGAGAACTGGAAAATAGTAGAAATCGAAAAACAGCGCGTCATATCGTATCCGGCCTAGAAGGGAATACATAGCATAGTGAATTCTGGGTGTTGTGTCTTTGCTTAACCGGCTCGAGATATGACCCAATAACATAGTCTGATGGGACATCAGAATGTATGGATGGAGGTAGCGTCTCATGAGCTGTTATCGGGATGGAACGGATCGGAAGTGTCCAGTAGCACCTTGACCTGCTGCATAAGCTGGATGGTGAATTCCTGTCGATGGATCTCGTATTCGACGAGCGCGGCGTCGAGTAATTCCTTCTCCAGTCCCTTTCTGTCTTGGTGAGAGGCGGGGATCTGATCGAGTTTGCGAGATAAGGTCTTCTTTACCTCCAGCTCCTTGCAGCCAAGACCAAGAGGCGCCCACTGGACTACCTCCTTAGTCTTCTCGAGGAGATCCGCGCACTTTTCGTTCTTGAGCACGCGACAGACGATGGTGCAGTGGTCGGAAATCTCCACGACATTCGGAACTTGCAGGTCAGAATGTTTAGAGTAGGCTTGTCGACAATTGCGGTACAGTTTCGCCAGAGTTGTGCCAGTGCCTTGGATATCCATGGCCTCGGACGGTACCATGTACAGGTTGTGCTCGTAGTGGTCCTCCACGTAGTCGACAGATCGGATCCAGTCGAAAATCAAGGCGAAATCCATATGAGGACACCATTTGTGTAGCCATTTCACCATTACCTCGTCGGTGACCTGCAAGGCAGCCTTGGCGGCTAGATCGAGGGTATCGTGATTGATGCCTTTGAATCGCATCTCGGGGTTATCCATTAGAACATCTGCTAGGCCTCTCATGGTGTGAGAAGCGGGAGCAGGCATCGCCATGAATCGCAGCTTTTTAAGGGTCAGTTGCGAATATCTCAGAAATTATCAGAATATCGAAAGCATAGGAAGCACCGTAACTGGGATGATATTGGTAGAAGAAACGGGCCAGATATATTTGTATTTGCTATTTGTGTGGCTGTTGGTAGGGTTAGGCACTTACAGTGGGCTTTGAGAATCGAGAATCACAAGGAGTGGGAGAGCCGAACAGTTGTTTCTTGCTAGTCTGCACGATCCAAGCTGCCGGTCTAAAGGAACGACTACTAAGTCGTTGGCTAAGAGGAAATTTACCAACGCAGTTATTGAAACGCAGCATACCAGGTGCGGTAGCGTAACTCTTCCACTTGTTCTTTTGGGACTGCCTTCTTCTACCCTCCCGTCGCCTCTCAGTTCTAATACTACCCATGATGAACCAGTTGAATAATGGAGGCAATGCAAGATCACGAAAAAGGAACTAAAGAAAGTATGAAAGGCACAAGGGAGATCTTAGAGGAGTGGGATAGTTAACAGTTAAATAGTTTTAAAGGAAGATGAGAGTATGTATCAGGTGGGCACCGTGCTTATGCTTCACGTTTGTGATAGACCCGGCAATGAGATCACGGCGATATACTTCTAATATTGATGTTACGTGAATATACTCTGCTTATTATAACAGGGCCACCTTCCCAAAGGCCTCAAGGGGTGAAGGGGTTATACCCGGAAGGTGTAGCTGAGGAGCCTACTTCTTGTTTACATGTTATCTGCTATCCTGTCATGCGCTTTTGGGGAAACGATATCTACGTAGCTTTAGTAGCCCTAGTAGCCCTAGTACACCTTATATTAGGTAACTGTATATATATATATATATGCCCAGCTATAAGCCACATGGTGTCTGTTTCATTTCTTATCATACCTCATGTGATAAACTGCACAGTAAAGAGATAAATAAGTCTAAGATAGGTAACTTTATGATTTTACTTCCAACAAAGAGCTTGGATTTCATTCGGCTACCCCTGGGAAAATGAAGATACTCAGACTCTCTTGGTCATAAATAATATACAGGTTTGTATGATGGTAGGTCACCTATCTTGAAGCGTTTTTAGAATGCATCCTTACAAACCGGAGTTGGTAAAAGGGGTTAAAGCAGGCCAAATACCAACGGCTATGGTCTAGAACCAAGGTATCATGCCTGACAGGTAACAATACGAACTATTACTACCGTTATCACATAAAAAGAAGAAAATACCCGAATATATCTGCAAGTGCGAGTGTTTCCATTCCCAAAGACTTATGAGGTATCAATCTGAAGCGAGCAAAAAGCCTCCCACATCCAATCCAACTCAAGCCCGACCCGTACGCCACGCCTGTGCTCCTGTATAGCATTAAAGTCGCCTTGAACCTTATATAAGTCCTGTAATTACCCTAGGTACCTAGGTAGTCTAGAAACCCTTACCTCAACAGACTTCCTACGTCTTGCAAACGTATATTATCCATACCAAGGGAATTTCCTCCCCTATCTATCCTGCCCCAGCCGACCCCCCAACCTGGCAACACACTCGCGCTCGCCACCATCGTCTCCCCTGACGTCGCGAAACCTGCTGTTGAACTCGAGCTAGCGGCGCAGTCGACCGTATTATTGCTTTCAGTACCCCTGTTGCGCTTCCAGAATTTCCACCTTCTTTTCGGCTGGACGTTCTGCACCCTTGCTTCGGGCGTTGTCATGATGCCTGTCCTACCGCTCGGTGCCATGCGCGGATAGAAGAAACCGGCTGGCTGGCCGCCAGAAAATGGGTTCCACCATCGGCCCTTGGATCGTTCGATAATGCTGCCGTTGCGGCCCGAGTTGTATGACGTCGGAGGCTCTCCCGCCAGCTCTTCGAGAGTATACCCCTTGGTTTCGGGGATGAGTAACGACGATAAGGTCCCGCAGAGCATAAATAGCGCGAATATCTGCATTAGCCGGTCGAGCCACGGCGTGCATGTTTTCCCCGAGCAGGGAGTAGGGGCGCCCTTTGTGAGAAGCGGCCAGGAAATAACCTGCGCCACGATGGCGCCGACTTTCCCCATAGCTGCCGAAAGGCCATGTCCAGAGGAACGGTATCGTGTGGGGAAACACTCGCCCGGGACGATGAAGGTAGTAGTATTTGGACCGAAGTTGAAGAAGTAATTCGCAATGACGTATAGGGCTAACAAAGCGCCCTTGCTGAGGCTGTTATAAAGGAACCCTAACACACAAAAGGTGATGGTGAGGATAATGAATCCAATGATCTGGAGGGGTTTACGACCGATACTATCTACCGTCAGTATAGCAGTCCAGTATCCGGGCAGAGAGCCTGCGACGACCAAAATGATCGTGCCAACTGCGCCGTTGAACAATATTGTATAAAGTGAGTCCCCATCGGCGTAGCCGATTGCTTGTAATATTATTTGGTTATTCAATCCCAAACCATAGAAAGCTAGGTCCTATACCTTGATGTTAGATGAACGGATATAAAAAACGGTGGTGAAAGGGATACATACTAGAAAGAACCACGATAAAGTGGTCCCCAGCAAGACCTTAGCATTCTTCCATTGTGTGAAGTAAACGTAAAGATCGTGCCAAGATGCCGAGGGGATATTTAACGCTGGAGAAGCGACTTTTTTCATTCTAGCTTGAGTGATTTCGTCCACTTCTCCTTCTGACTGGCTCGACATATACGCTTTGATATCGGCAGCCGCCTTCTCAACATCCTTAGCCACCTCGAACGTATATCTAGGCGTTTCGGGGATTGTAATGCGATAGTAGAGAGCAAAGCAAGCCGGGAGAGCTCCAACCCCTACAATAATACGCCAGCATCGATCGGCGGCTGTCTGACACGCATAGTCGCATTGGTCGACGGACGGGGCATTTCCGAAAGCGGTTTTGAAAGATATAGTGACGATAAGAGCTACAACAGCGGCTAGAAGCTGGCCCATCCCCTGCATCGAAAATACGGCAGCCATCATAGCACCGCGCCATCTGGTCGGCGCAAACTCCGAGGTGATGACGGCGCTCAAAGGATAGTCCCCTCCTATACCGACTCTAGTCATCGTATTAACACAAATCCTCGCGCGAGAGTGTTTTTCACCTTACCCCATCATAACCCTCCAAAACGTCATTAATCCGGTAAAGCTTATAGCTTTAGAAGCGGCAACTACGCGGATGTTAGTATTCTGGAATTTCAAATACTGTCAGTGGTTCTATGTATATTCTTGAAAGCGCGAAGTGAACCATGATGAGCGTAGGGAGTTTCAAATCGACTGGCTGTGGATGATGGTGATCCATGGCGATCCAAAATACAATGGATTTCAATAAGGGGTTTCTTTGCTGTACCCACCTAAGCAACAAGATAGAGTTGAAAAGACAATAATACCCAGCTCAACTCCATACATCCGCCGTCTTCCGAACTTGTCCGCCAACCAACCAAACAGGATCTGGCCCAGGATAATTCCCGCGCTTGTCGACGCCTTCAGAGTCTGGCTGACCGGAGTCGGTAGGTGTCCAAAGTTCCCCCCATACCCATTCTTAGCATTCTCCGGCGCGCCATGCCAGAACACAACCCCGAGAAAGGTCGTTACGAGGTTAATGGCGAAGATGTCGTACGAATCAAGAAAAAAGCCTATGCCAGCAACCAACACGGCCCTCACATGGTACATTCCAAAGGGCACCTTGTCGATTTCTGATAGCGCGAGCCGTCGCCTTAAGTTCGGGTCTTGGATATGGCTGAAGTCGTTGAAGAAATTATGAAAAGCACGGTTGCCGCCGTACGTCCGGTCATACGTCGCTGGCGCCATAGGCTCCGACGAAGCCATTGTCGAATATGAATACCTCGGCAGGCTTTTGGCCTTATCGTAAGTATTTCGTGATATCGGTTGCGGAAGCAAACAAATGCATAGTTATTAGGTACTCAACGGGAAAATGCGAGCGCTAGATTTGACCCTGGCTACGATGAATTCATGGTAATGTCTGTTAGAGGAGCCTAACCGCTGGCGTGGGAATATACGATGCGGCTACCTATACGGGACAGAGCGTCTTACGGCCGTAGAGTGTGTGAAACCGAACCGACTATGCTGTGGAAAAGACAGAAACGTGGCGGGTAGAATATACTATGAATAGAATGGAAAATGGCGGGAAAACGATAAAAAAAAAAGCAGCATGGCTAGGGTTCCTAAGGTAAACCGAATAAAAGTTGTGTAAGGGCCTTTAAGATCTGAGACAGAGCCTCGATGCGTGCCGGGGTAAGAAGGGATGTGATCTGACGTACTTTAAAGATCGCTACGGTAGGTAATTAAACCCTTTTCTTGTGTCTGACAAGGTCCCATCGACCCAATAGCATGGGTGGGCGGATTTCTCGGGAGGCTCCTAAAGGGGTCTAGGAGGCGGACGTTAGGTACATAAATGGGCTGAAGTATCCATCACTAGGATGCCATCCAATGTGAAAGGCAAAAGCGTTAGATTGGTATAAGAGTTGCAAGTGTCTAGGCCTTGGACATGCCTCTGGGGTGATATTGTTAAGCTAGCCTTAAGACATCCTTGACATTCCGTCCCACGACCTACCTATTCCTGTCTTGATGCAACATCTTATCATCCGATCATCTGGAGTGACATGGTGTTGAGAGGTGACGTGATGAGTTAATAATGATAGCTTATAAGTATCGTAATGTGCTAAAAAAGCTCCTCCATTAAGGTTGTCCAGGTACCTCTTAATCCAGCATTCGGACTGAGCCGGTAATGTGATTGGGCTAACGGTTGCCAGGGCTCAGTGCTGAATGCTGGGATTGACACAGGACAGGAATGGTTCAGGTATACATGTAGCTTGTTGAAAACGTGGGTGTGGAACTGGAGTTCCTCATTGTCATATGCATGAGTTCGGTGAGGTTCGAGTGGGACCTATCTTTTCCATACCACCACATCTTGGAGAATCGGGGCTCACACCAAGGATGTTGTGAGCCTGCTGTTCTGGTTCGACTAGGTAGGTTAGGTAGACATGTAAAAGATCAAGACGTGGGGAGGAAGTATCACATGATTGTACAAGGGCTGAAATTATATTTGTTCTCCGTGACGCCCAAGATTTGCGAAACACTTGACCTAGGTAGTACCTGACCGAGAGTCACTCAAGGTCATAGGTTTGGAGGTTTAGGAGATCCTTCGGAATATGTAGCATGGGCTTGGCAGTGTTAGATGCCTACCTAACATATGTACGGCGAGGATACGGTAAGGATGTAGACACAGGGATAGGTTAGGTACAAGATGAAGTTGCGAATGAGCCGCGTTTACGGGTGTGAGCGGGACTTCGCGGGGCGAGTTGACGCACATACCCATCGGCCCGAGATACCTTACCTTGATTCTTTTCTTTTTCTCTTTCCCCTGACGCCAATAGGTATTGATGGAGCTCAAGCATGAATATCACTCAATGTAAGTATGGCCAAGTGCTCTTTAATCTTACAAGTATCAGCTTAGTACCTCAGCAGGAGGCGAGGAGTTAGGATGAAGCTGCGCAAGCGGTCTAATGAAAAACCATTTAGCTTGGCGGTAAGCCTCCAAGACCGCGTCGCCAATCGGAACATCGACTTTTAGAACGTGGTCTGAATTATTCGATACCAACGAAGTATAGGTCTGCAAGCCACCACGCTTCCATGTGCTACGTGCTACCATGCAAAGGCAGTGATATGTTAGGTAGGTATTTACATTACATACCCGGCGCTTCTATCCGAGGATTAGTACCACGAACCTACCATCCAATTATCATCTTTTTTATTTATAAAAGAAAAAAATCACTTTTGTGGATTACAGATATAGGTCAGGTGGGTATAAGTATAGATATAAGCACAAAGTAATTAGAAACCGAATCACGACATATGCTTTTGTGGCTTTTCTCTTCCTTCTATGAGAAGGTTTAAAATTAAATCCTAGCCTTATAACAATACTCAATTAGGAGACCATGCGCTTCTATTCATCTCTTTATATTCCTCTTTTTGCTCACCCCACACTACTCGCAGCGGATGCTACCGTGATAGTTTCAGTTGAATGCGCATGTCATGGGGAGCATGTCTGATTTGACGCTGGCTGTCTTTACCCAGTAAGTCGGGACAACTAGACAGGCACGTCCTGTGTTGTATTATATTGTATTGTACAATATGAACTTTTAACCCCCAACGCTGCTTAGTACCTAATGCATCGCCCTATTTCGAAACATGATCAAACCATCAAAATCAAGGTTGAAAAAGCATCGCTTTAATTCGAATAACTCTACTATCGAATTGTTTGGCGTTGTCTTTGCGCACGAGCTATCTACCACGCTGTGATATCTTCTACTTCTACTTCTGCCTCTCCGAAAGTGCTTGACTTAGTTAACTTGCCGACGCTAGCTGCCTCCATCTGCTCGCCTTCTCTAGCCATAATGTCCGGTAACGTCTCGTATAGGAACTCTAAGATATACTTGTTGACTTGTTCGAATTGCAACAGGAACGCATCGTGACCTTCCTGGCTGTCAATTTTCTCAAGTCGGGCATTTTTGATATGCTCCGCCAATTCCTGCTGTTCGGCAAATGTGAAGAGCCCGTCGCTTTCAATACCTAAAACCAGCGTGGGCTGCTCAATGAGAGCCAGTGCCTCGGCAACGCTGTTAGCGCGGTATCGAGAAACGTCGTGAGTGTCCAACTTCCTGGTGATGGCAATGTAACAGTTACTGTCAAAGCGTTTGACAAATTTCTCGCCTTGGTAGCGAAGATATGACTGTGCTGAGAAATAAGTCGTCGTCGGTAACATATCTCCTTTATCAGAAACGTCTGTCTTCGGGCCGGAGAATTGGGGATCGAGTGATTGACCATTGGTATCGTCATGTATGCTCACAGCAGTCCCGCTAGTATGACTGTTGTTCCTTGATTGCCGATTTGTCTTGTGCCCGTCATTGTGAATGTGAAAATGAGCTTCGGATGGAGTGCTCGGGCGGGGTCTTTCCCTGATGGTCTGGCGCCTAGCCGGGTCTGGGATATTGCGTCCAAACCTTGCCTCAAAGGAATTCCGGCTCCGATAAGTCAAAAGGGCAGACATACGGGCAGCACCAAGGCCGGTCGTAGGCGGATCGGAAAAGGGGTAATACCCATCGTCATACTTTGGATCTGCATATATGCTCTGCCGCTGAGCCTCGCCCCAACTAATTCCCCAAGCGCTATGACGGCTTGAAGTAGCGATTGGAACAATACTTCGGACATAATCTTTACCGAAATACGCCCACTCGAGCACAAGCATACCACCCATAGATCCACCGACAACGACAGCCACCTGGCGTACACCCAAGTCGTCAAGAAGAAGCTTATGCAAGCTGTTCTAAGTTAGAAGTGAATATATATATAGTTTCGGTTGAGTTGAAACCTACTTGACATCGTCTCTTATGGTGGTAAGAGGGAATTCAGGACCGTATCTTTCGTTGTTTGGATTGCCATCCTTGGCGGTTACCGGACTGGCCGTGCCATAGGGACTGCCCAGACTGTTCATACAGACAACAAAAAATCTGGAAATGTCAAATGCTCGACCAGGACCGCCGAGGAGAGGCCCCCACCAGTCGCTAACATCGGCTGAGCCCGTCAAAGCATGGCAAATGACCATAGCATTGTCTGCATTGGGAGACAGCTTTCCTCGCGTTGTATACGCCAATGGCACATTGTGCAGAGTGACTCCAGATTCAAGGGTAAAATCCGGAATGATAGCAATTTCCTGGTCTGGAATCAAACTCGCAAACGGGTTCTCAGGTTGCTGCCGAATTCTTTCTTCCAAGTATTCAGTCACTGCTTTATACCATAAAGATTGGGGAGTAAAGGATATAAAGGATAAGTTGCGTTAAGAGCATATCAGATATCAAAATCGAAAACCGCGATAAAGAAATGAGATGTGACTGACCATATTTTTTTGCCCGGTTTCCGGCTTCGGATTCCTGTGCCATCTTTTCGTATAACGGACACTTTCGGACGTACAATGGGCAAGATATATAGAGAGAGGAAGAAAGAGATGAGAGAGATGGAAGATGGAGGTATTATAAAATACCTTAGGTAGTAGCGAAGTAAGTACTTAGAAGTTAAGCGAATAATAGGTAATTGAGAGATTGTATCAATTCTTCGTAGAATACTTTCGTAGAATACTATGACATAATTTGCCGGGTAATTTGCTTGTTGGGAGAGGTAAAAAGAAAAATTCCATATATTTTAGATGCTGTTTTGTATTTATACCAGATTTAATTCGCACGTCATGCCCAGCTGGTCATGCTGTTTGTGTTATAATGAACAAAATGCAAAACGCAAAATGCAGATGGTGTTATGGTGTTCAACGATGACTCCCATTCCCCACTCCAAATATCGGGGTCGCAAGGAGGTACAATTAGCTCTCGCTACCTACCTTCAACGCAACCTCTAACCAATAAATTTTCGCTTACGTAATTATGTCCTCAGTGGATGGCGATTTTTTTTTCTAATAAGTTGTAACCCGTTTGTTCGTAGGTACTAGTATTGGTGGGTCTAAGAGAGAGATAGAGAGGTTGATGTACCTAGTACTTCAAATTATAGTGTAACACGCTAACTGTTTAAAGTTCCTTCTACGCTTGACTTGCCTGCATGCAGCCTTACCTTTTTGCAAGCTCTGAGGCTGCATCAACCAAAACCTATCCACCACGCGATAGGTACCTGCTTCTTCATTCAACGCGACCTAACCACCTGCACCGTCTAGACCGTACTGTCCAACGGACATCATTCTTTTTACAACCAACTCAACGTTATTCCCCTTCTCCCAGGAAATCATTTCCCACTATTCAATATTGGCAATTAGCTGGGAGATACCTGAACCTGTAACGAAGGGTGACGCTGTACAACACTCAAACAGTCACGCTTTCTTTGTTCGCATTCAAACTCTTATCATCAATTCATAACCTGTTTTTTTTCTATTCCTTTAATCGTCACTATTTTATCTGGCAATGTCACATTGCTATCCCGACTTTTTGTCATAAATCATACCGACCTCTCCTACAGCAGCATTCATCTAGTTCTACATTACATTAAGTATGATACGCTGAGATCTATTTCTTCATCACCTTTTCGAACGTCTCCGTTTACTACTTGACCATTCGGTCTCTAGTCTTATATTCGATGACCCTTTCTGTAACATAGAATCAGTCGCGCACAGTCAAAATGCCTCCGAAGCGAAAGAGAAACGACAGGCCATCTGATGCTGGAGCGAATCGACCGGCTCCTCATCGTCCTTCCGACACAACCCTCGCCCAACATGATCGAGATTTTCAAGAGAATCTGGCATCGCAGAATCGCCGCGCTTCAGGCGGTCGAAACACTAGAAGAAATCCTGATCGCCGCGATTCTTCGGGTAATCAACTAGCCACCATAGGCAATCGAGGCCCCGTCTCTCCATCAACTGTTCGACCATCTAGTTCATCGTCGCAGGCCGCTCCACCCACTATACCTTCTACGCCGTCAGCTTTTCAATCTAGCCAACCTAGTCAACCTCGAGTACCCGTCCCGTCGAACTATAATTACGCTATACTTACAGAATCTCGACTCTCTGTGTGGCAGCAGAAGGGTCGACAGGAAGTTGTTGAGCATGGTGTCAAGTCTCGTAACGACGAAGACGTTGAAGAAATCTCAACCATCTCTCAAGAGTTCACACATGCTGTTCTAGAAGGGCGCCTTGGTCCAACTGACGCAGGAATTTGCGTGAAGCAAATACTAGGACCAGCAGTTGAAAATGCTGATGGGCCTGGATTTGGTTTCGATGCACAGAGGCTATTTCTTGATACCCTCTCTATTTTCATCGATTCCGAGGAGGGTGCTTCGCGGCCGCAGCTGCGTGATTTTGTTGCTGCCACAGAAATACCTCCCAAGATTCTGCGTGAAGTTCTGGACGCACCAGCCTTACAGCAACTTGGTTTGATCCGCGAAACCTTCGTCAAATTGGGCATTCGATATGCTACAAATCAACTGTACCGACAGGCTAACTATAACCTACTTCGGGAAGAATCCGAAGGATATGCCAAGCTTGCTGCAGAACTCTACCGCACACCGTTTCATGCTCGTGACCATCATGATTTTGCCCTTGTGCAAGCTTGTTGGGAGCGGGTGAAGGGTTTGATTGGGACTTTTGACCTTGATGTCGGCAGGGTTCTCGATGTTGTCATTGACGTCTTTTCCGCAACGATGCTTAGAAACATCGTGTTCTTCTCGAGATTTTTGCGAATAAGTTCTTGGTGGCCTCGCAACCAGGTCGAGCATTCTGAGAGGGTGTTCGCTGGTGGGCTGCCAAAATGGGCTTTGCCGCAATACGAAGATACTAGTCTCGAGGATCTTAAAGCCGAGCTTGTCGAACGGTGCCATCAGCGTGACCTAAAGTTCTGGGATAGAGCTCGAGAAATTCATCTGGATGCTTTCTTCGAGCTGGGCGGGAGACGTATTGACGACGTCGACCAGTACGAATCGGCGGAAACATCTGGCGCTACTACGAATAACGACTCTAGCCTCGATTGGATAAGAACCACAAAGACCCTTCCACCTTGCGGCAATAAGATAGCTGCGCAGTTGTTGGGCTTTAAGTTTCGATTCTACGCGTCTGACGCTCGAGATAAGCTAGAAGCGCTCCCGGCAAATCTGTATTACCTCGCTGCCTTCTTCATCAAAATTGGGTTTATTTCTCTACCTGATCTTTATCCTCACCTCTGGCCTGACGATGACCAGATGGAAGCTTTGAGAGAACGACGAGAAAAAGAGCTCGAGGAGAAAGAGTCGCTCAAGAGACAGGGAAACGAGCCGAATGCGCTTCTTACAGCTGGTGCCCTTACCGATGACACCTTACCAACCTCTTCCAAACCACGAGAATCCACGGCTGCAAACGGTGACAGTAATGAGCAAGATGCGAATGCTGCAAAGGATGACGATGAAATGAGCTTGCCCGACCCAAAAGAGGCTCATAAGGCAGACATTGTGGCCCATCTATTGATCGTGGGCGCCATCCCTGAAGCTTTGTTCATCATTGGCCGATTTCCTTGGCTTCCCGAAGCCTATCCCGACGAGATTTACCCGGCTCTAAATCGCATTCTACTTCATTCTATCAACAAGATTTTCGAAGAAACTCGGCCTATTGAAATTCGACCAGTGACCAACAATCCCGTTAAACCAGAATTAGCTCAGGACCAATCTGGGACGACCAAGGGCAACCTGAAGCTTACCGATGGTTCCCCCGTAAAAATATTGAAATGGCCCCATGCCGATGGTAGCCACAAAGGTATAATCTACCGGTTTTACCTCGATGAATGGGCAGATAACGTCCCTATATGCCAGACGGTCGATGATGTCTTCACGCTCTGCAGCACACTTCTCAATGTTTCTGGTGTTAATATCGGAAGGGAACCTTCCCTGGTGAAGAAATTATCCGCCATTGGCGTGAAAAGTTTCTTACAAGACCAGTCGCCTGAAAATGTGGCGCGTTGGCAAGACCTTCTTCGACGCACGCTCGTCCCTTCGCTATGCCTTTGCGATGCCAATGTCGATGCCGTAGCTGCGGTTTGGGACCTTCTTAAGCACTACCCAACGCAAGTTCGTTATAACATCTACTCGGAGTGCTATGAAGGGCAGATATCTCGGACTCCTGCTATGGCCAAAGCTTTCAGGCATGCCAAAGCGGGCACGATAGCTACTTTAAAACGCCTTTCTTATCAGAATATTTCCAGTTCGGCAAAGAAACTTGCCAAAGTGGCCCTATCATCACCGGGTATCGTATGCAAGGTTGCTCTTGAACAGATCGAAGCCTATACCAATTTGATCGAGGCGTTCGTAGAATGCACAAAGTACTTTACGGAAATGGGTCATGACGTCCTTGTTTGGTCTCTCTTAAGCTCACTCGGTGGCAAAAAGCGAAGTAGGACCCAGGAAGGGTCTGTACTCTTGACCAGTCGATGGCTGCAGGCCCTATCAAAATTCTCCGGAAGGGTTTTCCGGCGGTATAGTAATATGGATCCGACGCCAGTTATTTATTACGTGAACGACCAAATCACCCACGGGAACCCTACCGATTTGATTATTTTGCGGGAGCTCATCACTTCTATGGGTGGAATTGTCTCGGATATTGATTTCACAGATGCCCAACTGTTCGCATTGAGCGGCGGTGAAGTCCTACGACGCCAGACGTTAGTTAGTCTAGGCGATAAGCGGTACGAGTCTGCGAAGAGTGCTTCTCGTCTTATGAAGGCGTTGGTGCAGACGGACCTCGCTTGCCGACTCCTAACAAATATGGCCCAATACCGGCAAGCTGCCATCTATCAGTTACCGGAGAACGAAACTCATATCAAGTACTTGGCAACCGTGGTTGATGACTCGCAGCAAGCTCTTGTTCAATATGTAGAGCTGCTACGAAATAATCTGGCCCCCGAACAGTTCGATGCACTCATACCCAGTATTCCACGATTGATGACAGACTTTGGTCTTGACGCCAATCTGGCCTTTATGATAGGCCGAGCCAGCCTCCAATATTTCATGATGGGTCCTGGAGAGAAGGTCGCTGTTACTGCTTCTGAATCAACGCCAGATGCGGACGGTGACCTGTCTAACGAAACGAAAGGCAATGTCGACGCAGCGCCCACAGTCAATGAGGACGCCGGGGATCAAATGGCAGTAGACGTGCCGGATGCAGACGAGGCAGACCAACCTCAATTACCTCCAGCAGTAAACGGCCAGAAACCTGACCGGTTCCTAGAAGTGCTTAGCCCCATTACCAACGCCGTCCGAACCCTATTGCCTGCAGAAGTATGGGACAAAATTAGTCCTGAATTCTTTGTGCTTTTCTGGTCTCTGCAAACGGGCGACCTCGTGGTTCCGATGAACAGTTATGAGGCTGAGATTACCCGTGTAGAAAAACAGTATAGCGAACTCAAGCGGGAGCGAGGCGATATGAGTACCAAGAAGAAATCCCTTGATGCTCTTATCCAGCTGAACAAGGATCTCTCTGCTGAAGCTAGTACTTGTCACGAACGAGTGAGCAAGACCAAGATATTGCTTGGCAAACAAAGTTCCCGATGGTTTATCTCATCAGCGAAATCAGAATCTATCGCTGATACATTCATTGAAGAGTGTCTCATTCCGCGAATTTTACTCTCACCTAGTGATGCAGACTTTTGCCATCGCATGGTTAAGTTTATGCATTCCAGTCGAGTGCCCAACTTTAGGCTCGTCGACTTATATGACCGATTTTTTGGCGTAAATAGGCTGCGTATGATGATATTTGGCTGTACCGTTCGGGAAGCCGAATTCCTCGGTCGTTTTATTAAACTTACGTTGGGCGACCTAGCGAAGTGGCACAAAGATAAAGATATCTACGCCAGAGAAGCAATACAGAACGGAAAAATTGGATTCGCAACAGCTTTTGAAGACAATGGTAAACCGACATCATTCATGGAACACGACCAATTTCGTGACCTTCTCTGGACATGGCATCGAAATCTAGCTACGGCTCTACGAGCCTGTCTTACTGGGACGGAGTGGATGCATATTAGGAACGCCATCACAGTATTGAAGGCAGGACTTGAGCACTTCCCTGCCGTTGACTTCATGGGTCGGCAGTTCCTACAGATACTCGGAAAGATTGCAGAACGCGAGGATGCAACAAAGAATGGGGGCGAAGATGGACATAGCCACAGGGTGGATCTCTCAGTTACAGCTAATACTGCAACTTCAGCCCTCAAGAAGTACGCATCGAAATGGGTTATGGTTCAAGCATTTCGGTCTAATACTGTAGGTTCTCGACATCATACGAAGGATCATATATGTGCTAACTGTACTATAGAGCGGGGACTCTGTAGAGGAAAAGAAATCAGCAGAGCCTACCAAGACTACCCAGTCAGGTCTACGGCCAAGTGCGCCAGAGTTCAAGCCTACGCCGACAAGGTAAGCTTAATTCTCTTGAAAATAACTGAATGTCCGTCTCATATAGTAGCAGTGTGCCCACGCGAATCAGAGCAAATGCCGAGGAAGAAGATGGCGAGGTAAACGACGTGAAGACATCAAATGGTGGCGAATCTGTTAAGAAAGACGCAAATTCTCGGCAACATACCCCTACCAACAAAGATACAATTCAGAAGCCGATAAATGTTCCTCAAAAGATTGACTCGAGGCCAATTCCAAGCCGTTCCTCGACTTCAAGATCCATACCACCTGCACCACCTGCTTCGAATTCTAACCAAAGAGTAGAGTCGTCCCGTCCATCCACTCTAGCCCCCGCCCCTGGCCTACCTAGCCGACCAGAAGTTCCATTTCCTGCTCACTTTACGCACGACAAATTTGGACAGATCACAACTTCCGCGCATGCCCGCGATCATAGAGAAAATAGGGATCCCAGAGAGGTGCGAGGTCCAAGAGATCCGAGAGAGCTTCGTGATTCCAGGGAATTGAGAGATCCCAGGGACCAGAGGTCGTCGTTCCGAGCTCCAGATGATTCGCGTCTAGCTCAAGTACGAGATCAGCCAACTAGGGATCGTCGCATACCGGAGAATGTTTCAAGGGAGCTTCCAAGATCTGAGAGGGATCGTCCTCCACACCGACCAGAGCCCGGCCGGCGAAACGAATCAAACGCCCCTGATCGCGATGGCCGCGGTCCGCGTGACCGTCCAGGACCTTCAGGCGGTGTCAGCCGAGGACCTGATTCGGCCAGAACGCAACGCGACAATCAAACAACCACAAACCCCATGCCACCACCTCCACAACCAGAGGTACAAGGCCCGACGGTGAACCCGGAACGCGCACGCCTTATCAACGCGGATCGTCCGGATGAACGTGCAAACATGGTAAATCCAGCTCGTGCAGCTCTAATCAATGAAGGCAGGCCTAGTAGTCGCCAGTCTAGAGAAGATAGTCGAGATCGCAATGGTTCCCGCCCGGTGTCTCCCCGGAGAGATAGCCGTCCTGACTCGCGACCTAGCGATTCATCTCGTGACCGGGCTCATCGTATGGATCACCCCCCTCGAGACCACTGGAATGAATCATTGCCATCTATTGGACCAAAGGGCAGTAGGATGATTGAGGAGGGTGATCGAGGCTTAGCCGAGAGGCCTCGAGACCCTCTCCCATTTCCAGGGCCACCTCATGCATCCAGAAGTGAACCTGATCACGGTCGATTAAACAACCAAGATCCAGAATATGGCCGCCTAAGCTCTATCCCCTCGATTGGTGACGCACCTAACCCACCTGAGGGGCCACGTGGTCGTGGCCGGAACTCAGCTCGTGCCCCAGCAAATAACATTCCGGGGCGACCTGATCCTAGGTTCCCGAGCAACGATCCTCACCGGCCTCCGTCACCAGACAGGCATCATCCCCCTACTGGGCCCGCGTCGTCTAGGCCGCGACGAGGTCAGACTGGAGGACAATATGGTCATGGAAACGGTCCGGCTATCTCGCCGACGGCTACTAATCCTCCGGCAGGAATACATCCAGAAAGGCTAAGGCAATTGAACCCGGGTGGCTCTACCGGATCGGTACCACCCCCCCAGTCATCATTTCCAGCTCCTGCCCCTAGTCCGGTCTCTGTGCATCCAGATCGAATGGGCCAGATTGCGGCATCGCCTTCTGGTTCCCACCAGGGCAATCGCTCTGCTCTACCTCCTTTACAAACCTCCGATCGCGCACCCATGTCTGGTCCATCAAATCATCGTCAACCGTCTGGAGGCCACGCAGGTGCCTTCGGGTCAGATGCTAACATAATGGCCGCGCCTACCGGACCAGCAAACTCTAATGAACGTTCTAGGGCTGGCGGTGGGAGACGGCAGCTATCGGGTATCAACACTATACTTTCAGGAGGAAGCCCTACGGTGCGTTCAAGGGGCTCCCGATCTAATCTGGCTGGCTCTGATGCCCAAGTGCTTACGGGAGCGTCTCCCGTGTCCACGCCGGTTCATGAACGTCCTGACCCGAATATTCTATTAAGTGAGCGCAATATGAACGGAGGGGAACGCCCAGGGCGAAATGATCACGAGCGAGGACGGAGAGAGCACAGTAATGCTGACCGATCTCTACGCTCCTCCCGCCGGAGCAGTCGGGATCGTAGTACAGAAAGGGACCAGAGACCAAAGGAGCACCGTGATTACCGAGACCGGAAATCTAATACCGGGGTCCCTGGACACGGGAGAGAAGGCGAGATGGAACCGCCACGTCGATCTGGTCGGGACTCTACAGGTATTGGTAGAGAACCAATACCCAGTGCAGGGAGAGGTGATTTAATGGGTAACCCTCGTGACGGGCAGCGAGAGCCGCGTCATCGTGGGGATGGCGGAAGCGGAAGACATGAAGATTACGGACGCGGTCGAGGTGGAGGTGGACCAGGTGGAGGGCAACGTGGAGGTGATGATCGTCGAGACGCAAGGGGCGGTGACGATCGAGGCCGCAAGCGTCGAAGCGATGATTTCGGAGGACCCACCGAGAAGAGGCAGAGACGTTAGGATCGGGGTCAAGAAGACCAAGCTCAGCCGTACTATGTGAGATTACCTCGATAAAGTTCTTTATTTTATTTTTGTTTTTTGAAACTCGACTATGTATCATGAAAACCGGCTCAGGGAGGCAACGAGCATATAATTCGCAAACAATGGCAGAGACAACGGAGGCAGTGTCATTGAGTACTACATTTCCATAGCATTCATCTGCAACGGTGTCAAGGACAATGCACGTGGGACACTTCTGGCCTTTCTTTTTGACAATTGGCCTTACCAGCGTTCGTTTTCATGTCGTTTTTACCTAGTACGGATTAAAAGAGGGCACCTATTTCCGCGACAGAGAAAGCAAGCAGGCAAGAAGGCAAAGGAGAGGCCACAGAAAAAAACTACTACCTTAATTCACACAAATTTCTTCCCTACATGCATCGTTTATTACGGCGTTTAAGAGATACCAGAATCAGAATCAGAACCTTGACAGTCGTGGGGGGGGGGGGGGGGGGGGGGGGGGGGGGGGGGGGGGGGGGGGGGGGGCGGCGGGGGGGGGCGGG